GCCAGAATCACACAGGGACCACCGTGATTAAGTGCAAGCCAGTGCTTCCCTTAACATGTGAGACATTACGGACCCCCCTCTCCTTCCAAACACTGGAGAAGTGTTGTGTTCTAACATTTATGTGAAGTAATTAAAAACATCCAGCAGTAATTTAATAGTTCTCACCAAGTAGAGACATGAAGTCTATACTGTTTTTTTTCACTCTGTATAAATAACCTGGAATGCAGTGAGTACACACACACACACAGTCACACACACACAGACGATTCCCGGTTTTTTCCTGTCTTTTTGCAACATTTAGTGAGAAGTACCGCTCTGTGACATTTAAACCCAGGACAGGTTTGAGCTGTTACAGACGTGGGCCTGACTTTTGAATTCATGTTCCGGATAACATGATCCATACATCACAGGCCGGCAGCAGATCCAAGTCAAAGCATTCTTATAACCCCAGCCTGCTGCTCTGAAAGTCTTATAGTCTGTCAACATCAGTGAGCATTAAAATGAATTCAAGCGCCTGCTGCAGCAGCAGCAGCAGCAGCAGAACATCCAAGTGTGCACGGCTCTGTGAAGTGCATGTCAATAGCCCAGAGAGGCAACAGTGCAACACACATGTGGTTCCAATCTGTGTCTTTTCTCACAGAGAGAAGACCCCATTCATTTATCTGACTGCAAATACAGCACTTAAACCCTCAACAGGAACTGCTTTCTAAGCTCCTTTAACTGTGGAGCTAATTAATGCTTTTTGTTTTTACAAAACATTTTCTTTTCTTTAATGAGATTTGAAAGATCATTCTCGTGACGAGTTTACATAACACTGAAAATCAGACGGTGAATAATAAAGTTAAAAATAATAACACAACGTTTATAACATAGGAATTCTTGCCCACATCTTTTTTGATACTTTTCCTAATGGTTTATGTGGCTGACAAATACACATTAACTTAGCTTCCTACACGCAGAGATAATGGTCCAACTGCGCGGTTGCCCTCAGCTTTATTAAGAACTTTAGCGTCTATAAGCTCATTGTTTCGGTTTTTGGGGAGAACAGTACTTACTGCAGTTAAGTGCCAACGTTCACTGCAATAATGAAATGTAAATAAACAAATAAAGGCTCTGCTGATCTCACTGAATACCACAGAGCGTCATTAACTTACTTTAATAGGGGCTTTTGCAAGGGATAAATTGGGACATTTAATTTAGCAAAGTTTTACCGATTTCATGGCTACTAGGGTTTTTTTATATAAATCTTGAACATTGTTCATTTTTACCTATTGTATGACATACTTTTTAAAATATTTTTTGCATTTGTAATCTTTTTTTTTACTTATTTAAGTCATATTTACCTAGCATGTCGTGTTGCTACTTCTATACTAACATTTAGATACATCGTCTAACTATTTGGCTAATTAGGCTAATACATTCTTGCTAAACTTAAGATATATCTTGTCTTATTATTAGTTGCTACTCTGCTAACAATCAGATACAGCTAGTGGTTAGCTGTTTGTCTAGCTGTTAGATGTCTCTCAGCTAATCTTTTATTATTAGTCTTCATACTTTATTTAGCACTTTTGGGCTACCTTCTAGCTACTCATTCTAATTCATCTCTTGTCATGTTCGTCTCTACTGCAAACCGGAAGAAACTTTTGACATTTACATGCTGTACATGGTAAAAGACAAGGGAGTTGTGTTAGATACAAAAGCACGGCTTGACATTTTCCACTCGGTTTTGCAAAGGTCTACTTCATATTTTTCCACATTATGCTGTTGAAGAACTGGAGATATATGCAGCGATCAGTTTTAATATCAGCTATTATTCATCACTGTTACACGCTGGCATCATTGGTACTGACACAGTTCATCTGTAATGTACAAGTACCAGAACAGTTCATTTTTACTTGTAGTCAGAGTCAGAGAGAAGATTTTTGTTTCCTTTTCATATTGGCTAAAAATCAAATGCAGTTTTCCCTTCAGATAGACTGATACCTTCACAAAAAGGATGATGGTAGAAATAGCTTTTTAATCACGGCATCCTTTTGACAGAGATGAAGAAATATAACCCCAAGCGAAAAATGCAAGTTTAACAAGGTTTCAGAGAATGGGAACAAATGGTGTTTCACAGGAAGGCAGACAAGTTCTTCCCTGGGTGACCATAAAGAAGACAAAGCCTTTTACAGTATCAACAGACGCACAGTTTGACCTTTTGGCCCCATGGGGCAAAAGGTGAGCAGAGGCCTGGTTCCAGGAGTCTGCCGACAGTCCAGACGTATGTCCTCCTCACCGCATTCCTTCCCTTCTTAGATCACTGAACAGCTCTCTCTGGCTTTCTGTCTCCAACCCAGAGCAATATAACTCTGTGTTTTTTAACAACAGGTTTAAAAAAAAAACATCGAGCTGGAGCTTTGGTGCAGGTGTCTGGGTTTAAAAGATGCAGCTAGAGGTTAAATAGTCAAGAAAGGATTTCCTACTTCTACTCCAAAGGGATTTTTAAAACGGTGTAGTCATCGTCAGCAGAGAGTCTGCATGTACATGTGCTACATAAAAGAATAAGCCTGTGTAACCTGCGGCTCTGTCTTTTATATTTGAGGATGACTTTGCTGTTGAGCACACCGGCTGCATCTCAAACCAATTCTGACTTTATATTCATAACATCTGAGCGGAGTTAGGGAGGTGCAGTCCACGAAGCGCGCAGAAGGCAGAACAAGTAGGGGGAAAATGTAGAAGATGAAAACTAGGCCTTTGCACTGTCACGTCTACAAAGGGAAATGTGGTCCTGCACAGGCTGGAGAGTGAGGTTGTCTTCTGCAGCAAAAGCTGACTCATCTCTCACCCACACACTGAAATTCAAAGACAAAGTCACGGAATCAACAATAATACAGTCCTTGGTAACATGGACACTCTCAGCCACCTGACAAGGACAGACACCGGTGCAGTTTGTCTGAGCACGGCAGCCTACAGGCTGACGTGCTGTAGTTCCCCTGCAGCAGACTGAGACACGTCACTTTCCTAAAGTATAATGACAGCATGCACAAACAGGGCCCGGAAGCCTCACAGTGGCTCTTGCCTTTTCAGACATGTCCTCTAAACACAAGGCCTCTCATCGCATACAGCTGTGCCTGAGCCATACATAGGTGTGGAGCGCCCTCTAGGGGTCCCGGATCTGCTTTGACTAGACATACGCCAGCGATAAGTGCCAGTGTGCACACACTAATTTCACTTATGCCAGAGGTGTCGCAACTTTTTTTTTAGCAGGTCCTCTGTGCACCACGTAAACATATCTATGGGAAAACTACTCCCCCGTGTGGAAGTCTTAAATTAGTTCAAGCAGACACAAAATAAGTTAGGAATAACCTTGATTTTTACCACATTGGTTTTCAAATATTTCAGCTCAAGGTTTAAGCAAAAAATACCTTCGAGAACTTAAAAAAGAAAAGGCCAAGAAACTAACCAAATATTGGAGGAAGAGAGTAAGCCAAAAAACATCTAAATGTTGTATCACAGAAACTGGAATATCCCATCAAAGATATCATAAAACAAGCTATTAAATAGCAGGCTGAGGGGTGCTAATCCTGTTGCCCTTTTCCCCCTCATGAAGAGAGTAAGAGACGCGACAGACTGAAATAAAGCCATAATAATACTTCCATGTTTATCGGGTGTTTTCTTTGGGTCACAGACAGTGGAGCTGACAGGCCGACAGGACAAGAGCTCTGCTGCAGTGAGATGTATGGTCCAAGCAGGACACAGGTCAAAAGTGGACACCGCCACAGTTCATCACTTTTATGAAGAACTGTTTCTCTGTCTTCAGGCCGTTAATTTTCTTTTGAGGAAGTCTTCCTAATAAAAACATCCTGCCGATTTCAAAATTCAAACATTTAACATTAAGTGATTTGCAATATTAGATTAAGTTCAGATGGTCCAGACAGACAGACCAACAAAAGATGACAAAGTGAAATGCAAGATGAAGAATTTGTCTGATGCCACAGCCCGACAAAACCAACAAACATCAATCCTTATTAAGCCAGCATCAGACGGAGAGAACTGCCCAGGTTTGGAACAAGCTCCATTTCAAAAATCATCAGCTAACATTTGTAATGTGGTAGCTTTTCAAGAAGCCAAAAGATTATTAGTACATTCTTTGAAAAACTCTATATAGCTATTAAACTTGGACAGAGGTCATTCAAGTCATTGTCTGAAAGGTTCCTCTTTGTAGAAGGTAACCTGGTAACAGGAGCATCCACCACAGGCTCACAATATATTTTCCACTAACTTCCACTAACAGGATAGATGTTCCAGCTTGACTCGTTTGTCAGATCCTAGTTTCACAAACCAAAAGTTTTGTTTAATAGATGTGATAGTGAGCGTGAGAGGAAGTCACAGACACACAACTACACACATACATAACACAAATCATCACAATAATGGATCAATAGCTCAGAATAAACTCTGAATAACTGAAGAATCTTTGTTCTCAAACCTCTACCAGTATACATTAAAGTATACTCTATATATTACAGTGATTCCCAAACAAGGTGCTGAGAGATCATCAGGTGTGCTGTCCAATTTCATTAAATAAGACAAAAAAAAGTTTGTTCGTCTGTGCAACAATGACAGGCAAAGGTATTACCACAAGGTGGCAGCGAATGGCCATAAAACTAAAAAAGGAAAATTCTGAGCTGTAACTCTTCACGCTTCAATAGCAATGCGTTCCACTAGAACACGGCCAGGTTTCACACAGTACTTACATTAAAACAACTCTTTTCATTACATACACTTTTGGGATATTTTTGTTTGTTATGTCGAATGTCAAATATGTGCAGTCAAAACATTTTTAATGCAAGCAGCTGGGGTGAGGTCTGAAAATGTTTTATAACATATTTTCTATTTAATAGATGATAGACATGCAGCCAGAGCTTTCTGGATGAGTTCTGTATCCATGCTTTTTGGTGGGTAAATAACAAAGATGCAGTAAGGATGTCAAATAAAGTACCACCTCTTTGTAGGAGTTTTTTTTCGCAGTGATTTTAATTTCAGAAAATCACAAGTTCATACACTCGCCATTTTCACTAGAAGTTAAATGCAATGGGAAGAGAATGGGCTTCAACATCTGTTACATGTCAAAGAAGCAGAACCGAAACATACTGGTATCCTGTCAAATACATATATATTTATTTATTAAAAAAAAAGAAAAAAAGTTCTTGCCCGATATTACTTTTTAGACTACAGCCATAATTCAGTTTTGACCCATCTGCACACTTGAATGAACCCACTAAATTTGACTAACAACTGAAAAAAAAATTTTAAAAGCTTCTCTCTGACTAAGTATTAAATTACAGATCACGGATTGATACACACATCTCGCCAATTACTTCAGCAATCGCTCAGTTTTAAACAAAACTATTGGGACAGTTTCAGCGCAGCGTCATGCGTTCTTCTTCAAGCCCACTCAAAGCTGGAACAGGTAGAGCAGAAAAGTTCATTGTCAAAGTAACTTTATTGAAGGCAGATTATTGTTGTCTCGAAGTCTTTTTTTTCCACTATCTATTCAGTGCTTAATTGCAGGGACACTTCTCTGGATGAGCTATATGAAAAAACAAAACAAAAGTCCAAACTTGCTCTTGCGGACGATACAGTTGATGTGCGAAGTGAGCCTCTTGATGATTTTACACATTATTTCTAGGAGAGTAAGGTTTAAGACAGAGGGTTGACACAATCCATTACAATTAAGTACTGAAGTTCTGTCCTTCTGGTGGTTGTGGAAGCTTCATATTTTCTTTGGTCATCATTAGACGCCTTAACTCTTTAAGAACATTTTTAATGCAATAAGAATTCTGCCATTTTGCTAATACCGGTATGATACGTGAATCCACCTGTGGGACAGAACAAGAGGAAGACAAAGTGGACATATCAGTCGCTGTGACATGGACCACTGACAGTGAATTACTGCTTGTATTTTCATTCGCAAGTGCAGTTTAGATGGATTTTTTTTTATATCAATATTCTGCGATTAGACTCACCATCCCATTGGAATTATTTATCCCATTCATGGTAATTTTTGTTACAAATCTAACAGTCGGGGCTGTTTCTGGGTATTTAGGTCCACATTCCACTCTCAGACTGTATATCCTGTTCTCGTAATTGGTCTGAGAAACAAGTAGGAAAAAGTGTGATCAGTTATTTAAACAGTAGTGTTTGTATGTGGAAGAAAGCACATTGCTGAGTTACTGGTGCTTACTCTTGCTGGTCCAACAATCATGGCTGTCCACCGTGTGAGACTCATGTCCTCATCATCCTCGAGGCCCCAGCTGACTGTGCCATCGCTTTCACCTTTCTGTCCTTCTTCGAGTTCATCCAACAAGCGAAAATTGCGAGGAACTATAACTCCTAAACAATTAGAACAGAACAGGTGACGTAAACTGTGGAATAGTTCATTGTCCATTTTTTCACGCTTCCTAATCCTTTACCCAGTGCTGATGCTTCTTGTTTCCATGGTAACTATTCTGCACCGCCCCATACTACGCAATGATTTTGTGTTTACCATGGGTCAGATATTATGAATTTTCCTACTCCCTTCTTCTGTTTTTGTATTAACGACATATGACACGAGGGCATAACTGTTTCAGTGCAATTCTAACGGAGCTACCATACAGCAGGGGGCATGAGCACACTGATGAGGACACACACCAATGACCTCAGGTGACACCTCTGAGAAAGAGGGGAGTTCTCTGTCAAAACATGTCGAGATAAAGCTGCACACCTGACCATATGAGCAATATTATCTGCATTGAGACATAATGATAATGGAACAAAAGTATTTATACAGAAAAACACATGCTTAGACAGACATCTTGTGACCAATGTCATTAGAGCTGAATTGATAATAACGTCCTTCCAAAATTGTCAACATGTTCAGCTAATAGGAAAATGTTCCATGGAAGATGACCATAATGTTGGCATAAGAACAGTGCGACAGTCACTCATGGTCATGTAAATGATGAACGACTTGGAGCTCATCTCTAGAGGAGTGGTGGAGCTATAGAGGCGGGCAGCACTTAATTAAAGCTACACTTATTCATAATGATGATCATGCAGAAAAAATACGCACAAAGGGAAGTAAAAGAAGCAATGAAGGAATGCTACACAAGTGAAGCTGACTGAAAAATATTTCTAGAACACAATGAAGATATCATTCCCCATTTTCACACATTAAACAAGGCATACACACAAATAATGCGGTGCGTATGCCTTTAAGCGAGCACTGCCTTTTGGAAATGGAAACTTTTTTATTTCAGATAAATTTAGAACACATTATTACAGATTGTGCTTTACTGATTAAATGTGATGCCATTCCTTTTTAAAATTTTAATGCATTTCATCACAACTTTATACATTTCCCCAAACATTGCTTCACTGTCATACAGTTTATGAGCAATAAAACTAGACCTCTAAGCATTGCCGCTGTGTGATGTCACCAAACTGGTATAAACAAGGAAGAGGGCAGAGACGTTTCCACCATCTCTCTTCTGATTGGCCAACAAGAATTTACAAAAAAAATCATCTCCACCTATTTACTTTAACAGTACAAAGCAAACACTAAATAAAGGTAATATTTAGGTCTAAACAGTCTCAACATTTATATGCAATGAGATAGATAAACTGTTATATATGATGTTAATATTACTAGTCAGTCCAAAGTTACATTAACTATGATAAAAAAAAAATGTGGGCGTCAGTGACGAAAGCAGTAAAACTCTTTACCGTTTGCTATTTATATCCAAACAAAATCATGTAAATTGTGTCTAAAAACATTGGGCACCAGCTGTGTGACATCTGTGTCAAGTGTCACCACTTCCTTTGGATTTCTTCTCATTCTGCAATGGCAAACTGAACGAAGCATGCTCAAATGATTTTGTTAAAACAACTGTTTTATATGTTACGGATTTTGCACATCAGCCAAATTATTAAAATACAAATGTAAACTTTATTTAAAGACAATAAAGTTGCTTTGCACCAAAACCACTTAATTTATAATAAAGGCAAAATAGCAGATACAATCTGTTACAGAAATTAATAAATGTTTTGAGGAAATTCCTAGCTTGTGTTTAAGACCACTGCACTTCTACTTTCAGCTGTTATTCCCTTACATTGTTTATTCTGGTTAAATAAGCTTGAAAATGAAAGGTTTTTTCTACTAATAGAGATAACCATTGGTCAGCAACTGTCATCACGATTTCCTCAAACTGGTTGGATGGGATTACAGCATCAAATAGTTATAAAGTCACTTCCAATTCAGGCACCAGTTTCAAATTTGACACCTATGTACCAAGAGGACTGTTAGCACTAGTTGGCTGTTTGTAACTACCTTGTACAAAGATGATAATTTTGCATCATATCACATTGTCTGTAAGGCTAGAGATTATTCATGGTGAATTAATGCAACATTGTCATAATCACGTAGTAGTTTGATTAAATGAAATGTGTTGCATTGTGTTGATGTTGCAGTTTTTAACCCATGTTTGTTTGTTTATTTCTATATATAGAATACAAGAACAATCATCCTAAAAACGTTCTACGTTGATTTATTATTTGTGGCTCTAGTAAATGAATCCTTCCTATAGTTAAAAATGAAAGCGTTGCAGATCGAACTAACTCGACCTTAAGTAGTTTTCGTGAAAAATCGGGAGTGACTTTTACCTTTGTTAATATTAAACAGTTTATTTGGCTTTTGTTGTTTTGTTTTTTAGCAAGCCAGTGTAATAATGTTGAAGAAAATCTACATTTCTATCTTGCAGCTTTGGTCAGGTCCAGACACGAGCTTCGACTACTTCCTGAACAAAGCGTGGTAACAACACTTCACTAGCTGTAACATTATAGCTGTTGGGTGCGTTCCTCCGCTCCACGCCCTAAAATATCAAGCATACATCGAAAGCTAAACTAGCTTTGCTTGCAGCCACCGTTTCATGTAAAGAATCAAAATGTCATATCCTGCTCATTGAAAAATGCGGCGCTAGCAAGTAAAGTGCTAACGACAGCAGCAAGCTGTGTTGTCGAAGTGACTACACCACTGTCAAGTTTACAACCAGATAAGCATTAAAATATAGCGCAGATATTTGCCAACGCGTTGTTTTAACAACAAACTAATTTACTACACACGACTAGACCGTTATCTTGTAATTTGGAGTCGTCGTTACTTAGAATCACAGTTTTTAAAATTGCGAACCAAAAGGGGGATCGGCAGACACTGCCGCGTCGCATTGGAACATTCTAGTAGCAATCCAACCAAGCTAGCGCGATAGCTACGTTCAACAAAGCTGGCACGGTGTTTTGTGACGGTCAAACCACAATCATAAACTCTCAAATAGCCTTTTGCACCAGTTATGGAGTGTATATTATTACTCATTCGGTTATAGCATCGCCAAGTATTATTTTGACACGGCGAGCCATTTTATCGAACTCCCTAAGACTGAACTATTCACAACGCCTTACTTAGCTACGTTAGCCAACACGGTGGTTACAGGAAATAGACGGCTCCGATGGGGATCGCCGTCATGGCTAAGTGGACGTTTGTGGCAAAATATAAAACCCCTGATCATATCGGCGAATGAGTTAACACTAAGCGTAGGTTTCATAGTTGACTCGGATGTGGACCATTGCTCGTTTTTTGTGGATCTAAATATGTTAGTTTGAAGGCACACAAACCTGAGGAGGTCGCCATCTTCTTCTTCAGCCGAGTCCAGAAGAAGCATACACCAATGTGACGTCAGAGGCGTGGAGCACAGAGCGGCAGCTGATCAGTGAGCAATGTAAGGTATGAACTGCTGCTCAACAATGTTAAACAAACCAGTTTTTTCAAAGACTTAACATGCAGTTGCAACACACAGTTTTGAAAAAAAAGAATAGAAAGAATTTATTTTTCAAAAAAAGAAACGAGTGAGACATCATGACAACAAACATTACATTAAAAGATATAATCATATTTATTTTGTGTTTTATACTGTCTAGGGTGAGGTGGTATGAGCTTGCTGTTATTTGGTTTCTGTTCTGTTCATGTATGTAATGCTAAGATTCAATAAATATACAAACATACATTGTTGTTTATTCACTACTAAACTGTTTAAAAAAATAAACCAGTCAGGGTTATAATGTATTCTGCTGATATCAAAATTGTTTTGTCAATTTCATGATAATCAAGCATAGAAAATGTTAATTGTCAACATTTTATTTCCCCATGTACAAATGACCAATGTAAGCTGCAGTTACTTTTCTACCTGTGGTAACAGAAATAATATACATAAACAACCTAAACATTTCTTTAACAAATATTTAAGACAAGAGCTTTGTTGTTTTTTTGGTTTGTTTTTTTACCATCAACAACATTAACATGTAACGAACAGAAATACACAGATTAAACAGCAAAGCGTTGTTTCTTTTGTTTCAGTTTTTATCATTTGCAATGGTAACGTTAAGTGAGTGGGTCATCTGGTAACCCCTCACATTAATTACCAAATTCTACTACAGGAAAAGAAATAGTTCAATTACTCAAACGTGTGACTTTTATTTTTTACAGCATGAGGACAAAAAGTAGACCCAAAGACAGGATTTAAAATTAAGTTCTGTACATAATTGCAGGGTGTGGTCTTAGGCGAGGAGACGAACAGTTTTTCCAGTAACTGTCAAGTAATCCTCGTCAGCCAGGGCTCGCAACGCCTCGTCAAACAGCTCTTTAGTGATGGCCTGAAAAGAATGTGGCAGAAACACCGTCATCACAGGAAGTGGCAGCATTTTTATTGCAAACAGGAAATACTTCAGATCAAAGACTCACGCTATCCAATACAGACTCTTTACATATATAAATGTGCAAATAAATACACAAACAAACTTACAGTTTCAGACTGTCCCCTCAGGTCGTCCAGGAGCTGCTGGTATTTCATGGCAGGTGTTTTTCCTTTGGCCTGGATCATTTTCTTCAGAGCCTGGGCAACTTCCTCTTTACGCTTGCGGGCCGTTAAACTCATACCTGAGAAATAAATGTAGTTATTAGGTTATTTAGAGACTCAAAAACTTTAAACTTTAATTACAAAAATGTAGTATTTTATTATTGTGTCAATAATATTAAACAGGCCCAGTGTTGCAAACCTGTTGTCAGAATTGAGATGTCCACAAATCCCGTCCTGGGGTCTGTTGCCGATTGTTTGAGGGCCTCACGGTGGAGTCTCTTGGCTTCTTCCACGTCAATGTTCTCCACCTTCTCGGAGAAACGCACTTTAGCGTGAGCTTCGGCCAGACGGATCAGAGATTCCAGCTGTCTGGGGTAGGCCGACACCATGCCTCGACCACTGCCAATCTTCCTCATGTCTACGTAGGCCTGAGGACAAGATGTATAGATGTATAGTTCGAATTACATCACAGTCAAAAAGTTTTTTTTTTTACTGTATTTAATTTAATACATAATTGGCTGGTCGGGCTTGAAATTTTGCATATTAAGTTAAGAGTCCAAACCTTAACTACATATAGTTATAAAAAATATGTCACAAGGGGGAATAAATCTTTCAAAACACTTCCTATCCTAGTACAGATTTGGTGGAAGGATAATAATACTTTGATACATAGTACTAACAGGTTGGAGGTTGCAGCTCTATATCACCTCCCCCTGCTTTAATGGCTCATTGTTCTTATCTCTAGTGTAGGGGACTGAAGAATTTGCACCGACAGAACAGGCCGAGTCACTAAAGAGTCACTGATAAAAATCAACACTGAAAAATTAGTTGTGCAGGTGCCGCACGACTGGGCCCATCAAACAAAACAAGCCACACAAAACGTCATTATGTTACCTGAAATTGCAGGCTTTAACACTTGTTAGTACACTCTGGGACTCCAAAAGTATCAGGAACTCAATGTAAAGTTGTAAATTAAAGATTTCCAAAACATTGTTAGTGCTATTAAATTATACTTATTACTAGAACTAGGTCTAGCTGCCTTATGTCCCTGCCAGGACCTGTCAGTATCATTATATCACACTACTGTTGCAAGGTCATGGCTGGGTAACATTTGAGAATTTATCTGGAATTATCTGAAGCTGAAACCAACAGAAATGATTGATTTAATCCACTTGTCTCCAATAAAAATGGTGTAAAAACCTAAATGCTTTTATTTAAAGTCTCATCTACAAGATTTTAAACTAAGTACTGAGGAATACTATGAATAAATGTTTGCATTTATTTTCAAATACATTGGTTTAGGGAGAGTAAACGAACCTCGATCAGGGTCTGACTGGCTTCTTCACTCAGCCTTGGGCTGATGTATGTTCGTGCATAAGCAATGTAGTCCCTCAACACCGCCATGTCCAAGAACTCCTCCTCCATTTGCTCCTCACTCTGGTAGTACAGCGACACCAAGTGGTGGGCCAGCCTGCGGTCGTATGCCTCATCTTGAGGATCCAGCATCAGGAAAATGAGATCGAACCTGGTATAGCAGAAAAATGGTACCAAAAATGTAAAAAAATTAAGATTGAAAATTAGATTGAAAATTTTATCTTAAACTTTTGAGCAATAAGAAAAAAAAGCGTGATTTTAGTTTTTGCTAATTTGTTTTATTGGCTTCGATTATGATGAAGGTCAGATCTTCTGTAGATGTAAGACACAGTTTTTATTTATATAAAAAAAATGAATGTGTGATCTGTGACATGTGACCTATTCACCTGGACAGGAGTGTGTGAGGAAGCTGAATATTCTCAATGGTCGTCTTCTTTGGGTTCCACTGTGATTCCACAGGGTTGGCAGCAGCCAACACCGCAGTGCGTGCGTTGAGTTGACAAATAATTCCAGCCTACAGACGAGAGAAAAGAAAAAAAACAGACACACATGGAGTGAGACACGGCGTTCGCATGTTGGGTGTTTCTTCACACGTGAGGGGGTGGGGAGTGTTGAACACACCTTGGCAATGGAGAGGGTCTGCTGCTCCATGACCTCATGCAGCACAGACCGCGTGTTGTCGCTCATCTTGTCAAATTCGTCAATGCAGCAGATGCCGTTGTCGCTCAGCACCAGTGCTCCGGTCTGCAGGACCACCTGCCTGGTTTCCGGGTCCTTCATCACGTAGGCGGTGAGACCCACGGCGCTGGAGCCCTTCCCTGACGTGTACTGGCCACGGGGCACCAGGTTGTACACGTACTGCAGCAGCTGGGACTTGCTGGTACCAGGGTCTCCGCAGAGCAGGATGTTCACATCTGCACGAAAGTGACCGCGGCCGGTCTGGCTGAAGTCTTTGCGAGTGCCACCAAACAACTGCAGCAGGATTCCCTGGAATGAAAAACAGGAGAAATAAGCATTAAAAAAGTCAGAGACAAATGATGCAACTGATTGATGATTTGCATGTTTTTGTGTAACATTGTCAACCCTTAAACTTTTTTTTTTTAAGCAGCGATAAATAAATAAAACCATTTTTTAAGGGCTCCCAATGCACCAGGGCTCTGCCAACCTGTCAAGTTGTTTGTGTTTGTGTATTTGTATACAATACACTCGACAGCATTAGACAGGAAATGATGCAACACAAAAAAGAAGAAAAAGAAATCCCAAAAGTCTGAATATGTGTAGGAAGTATTGCAAGAGGTTTCTGGGATTTCAGATGGCAGCACCTGCCTTTGAATAAAGCACACTGTATATATTACTGCATACATTCTCAAGGTGCAATAGACAGAAGTTTTGAATCTTTTTAAAGAAAAAGTGATTTCAGGAAAACGGCTAGAGGACTTTCATCTCCAGCAATGCCACTTGGAATCAGGAAATGATGACTATTTTCCTACGGCAATCAGAACAGCAACACTTTAATGCACTACAGTGGTTTTAACCAATCGGAGGATGTATTCAAATGATAACCCTTCACCTTCTTGATGTCTTCATGCTCGTAGATACTTGGGGCGAGGGCCGAGGAGAGGCGCTCGTAGACGTCAGGTTTTCCGGCCAGTTCCTTCAAGGTCTGAACTCGATCTTCGGTGAAGAGCTTCTGCTCAGCCTCCTCGTTCACACCGTGCAGGCGCTTCTCGTCTGTCTTCCGGAAGTGGATGGCATCTATGTGAGTCTTGTAGACAGCCTTGACGTTGCTCTGCCGTGGGTTTACTCGCATTGGGACGGCTCTGTAGACGCCTGAGTGGACAGAGTAGACGCTGTTGAGGCTAGCTTACGTGGATTACATGTTTAACAAGGAAAAAATTGATGCATTAATATAATAAAACAGTTTCCATCACAGCTGGTCAGCCCAGCAGTTCTTACCAGTGATATTCACTCTGTCCCCAGGCTGCACCTTGTCCACCAGGTCATTATGGGCGTAGACGACAGTGGTGTGAGGGGTTTGACCAGCAGGCATGTCTTCTGGAGACTCCTGAACTTTAATCTGTTGTGGGGGAGATGAACAGGACGGAGCAGATGTCGTGAGCTCAACAGTGACATATCTCTAATTACCACTTCATGTATTTCTCATATTAGTCATCTACTCTTAGCCATCAGGCTCGTTAAAACCCCTACCAAAGTCTCACCATTTGTTTGTCTGAAAAGACGGAACGATTGTGAACCAGTGTCAGGCCGTGGGTGGTGTTGCAGTTGCGACACACAGCCGGCTCGGCGATGCGGCCACGATCCACCTCCACACGGGTGCTGTAGGCACACACCTGGCACTGGAAAAACGCCTCCTGCATCTCGGGGATAAGCTGCGAGGTACGGATCACCATGCCGCTAATAGTGATCAGCTGATCGATGTCTGCAGGGAGCAAGACATAAGGCAGACAGAAGCTTTAGTCTGGAGCCGAGACCTCACATTTTATCAACAGGAGGAAGGTTCACAGAAACCCACACTACATGTGGGAGGGAATATGTTGAACTCTGGCCCTGATACGTGTGTTGTCACTGTGTGTGGATCAGGTCACATGGTGTAGAGTAAGGTGTCTACGCACCTTCTGGGTTCAGGCTCCGCATGTTCCTTGTCTTCAGGGCGTTGTAGGGGCGGACTTGGATCTGGAATTCAAGGATGGAGTCTGGGAACCGCTCGAAGAAAAGTTCGTTCACTGCCATGTCAAACGTGGGAATGACTTCCTGTAAAAGAAGTGGGGGGGGGGGGGGGGGGGAACATCTTAGCACTTTTACAAAGTGGTACAAAACTCTTTGAGAAACACAATACACTCAAATTTAAACACATTTTTGTCATCCTATTAAATAAGAAATTAATTAATAAAAAAGTAAATCAAATGCAGGAGTCATGTGGCTTATTCATGAAATATTCCATTTAAATCACATTAAAATAGAGGGACTCAAACTACAGAAATATTTGTCACCCTTTAGCTGGTCCTCACCTGTGGGTAGCTGATGAGCTGCCTGTACAGCTCTGCATCAAAGGACTGCACATGGAGACAGTTCACATTCAGCACTGGATCACCAACCACACTGATCTGTGAGACAAAAAAAAAAACTTTACTCATTTTATTCTCTGTCAGCCGTTGGTAAAACTGGTCAACAAACCGACTTAAACAGTGACATAAAACACCCGATTCTCAGCCTCACCTCCTCCAGCTTCTGCATGTACAGCGGCTCGTTCAGATCCAAACCAGAGTTCTCATCTTCATTGGAGGTCGGGTCGATGAATCTCTGCAGGAACCTCTGCAAACAAGACAGCAATGAATATTCAAGAAAAACACTTTTGTCACATGTTGCCCTCAAGATGGAAGAAAATTTAGAAAGACTTCAACACTGATCATTTTCACACCTGGAACTTCTCCTTGCAGATACCGACGTTGACGTCAGTTCCCCAGATCACCAACCTCTGGCCTGCGTTTGCCTCACTGGCCGCTCCTCCGTCAGCAGCAGACTACAAACAAACATGCACATCAGTGAACTTTTAGTTTGGTGTTGTTTGTTTTTTCAAATCTTCTGCATAAATGTACTTACTGGCTCGGACTGAAGATCCACTTGAGGAGCCTTACGGACTGACCCGAGGTCAGGACGCTGCCGGGCTGGGGTGCCACGCACTCCACTGCGAGGCGTCCCTTCAATCCTTGAGCTGGGGGTCCCATACATTAGAGGGGAGCTCATGTCCACTTCATTCGGTTGGACTGTTTGAAGACAGGGTTCATTGTCACAAATATTGATAAGATGAACATTTAAAATAAAAACATGTCGATTTAAGGACATTTTATTTATATTTCCTACCTGATCGTCTTGGGCTGGAGAAGAGAGAAGAGTCCTGCGGTGCTGAGGGACTGAGCACGTCAGTGGGAGGGGAAGTGGGCATTGGCATTAGGTCTCCGGTGGAAGAGTCCTGACCTCTGCGCCTTTGAGAAGGAGGTGAGGTGGGGCCCTCACTGCTGGCTAAAGGCAGACAATACAGGCCAAGTAGATTGTGTTTTTAAACTTGATAAAATGTCAGCCAATCCGTTATTAAACCAGAATTACTAAAATGTTTGAAAACAATTGGGACACAGAGGAGAAGCTGTTGCTTACGTGTTGAGGGGTTTGCATTCCTTCCACGTTTGCGACCTGGAGTTGAAGTAGGTGAAGACATAGTTGTACAAAACCTAAGGAGAAGTGAAATGTTAAATTAAACTGTTGATAGATGCAGATGCCTTGAATTAGGATTATAAATAATTCAGATTTGGTGCTGATTCTGTTGTCAGGACACAAAACCTGTTGAATTTTTCAGCAACCGTTCAACTCAGTGTAAACCATATCAAAAAGCTTCTAATTATTTATTCTAAAGACTAATTTCAACAATGACGGACCAAAATAATTTGTAGACAAAATGCAAGAGTAACTAAAATGTGTATTTTACTGTTAGAGCCTATACAGGAGCTTATACTCTTATATTAATATACACTTATAGTAATAGACTGCAAAATATTTAGTATGACATATGACACATTTTAGAATCTGGAACTCGACTGAAGGACATGGTTGCATTATAATCCCTCAATTAATTAAATTATTCGACAAATTCCTACAGTTAAGGTTATAGATTTCAGTACTCAAATCTCTGACCAGTTCCCTTTATTCTTTTTTTGTTTTGTTAAAAACCAGTAACCTACAGTAGTTGGCAGAAATATGTCACTTTCATTCTTCATAATAAACCAAATATTTAATAAAGATTAGTTATCTTCATTTCTAATGATGCTTTTTCTGATGACGGCGTGTTTATAAAGTACTACACATCACGTCTTTGTATCTTTAGTGGAGACCCTAACAATCACTCTTCCACCATTTAACATGAGGCTGTGGGAGGAAACAACAGACCGAGTCTCGGGTGCATCGTTTTATTCCTAAGAAAGTAAAGCTTAAAAACACGAGGCGTCGACACAAGCGAAATGACACGTTTTACAACTGGCACCTCTTACAAACGTCTGCTACACATAAAATGACAATATTATAAAGGCATACCCAGCCTTTTCCTCACCTCTTGTTGTACACACGTCCAAAAGTTGCAGAACTGGCGCGAAACTGCTGGTGACGTTACTTTCGCGGGGAACTTTGGACCAATGGGAGGCCAGAAGGTTGTGTTTCCGTTTGAATGGTTTATCCCTGTGAAGGGGAGTCTATGTCGAGTTTTAATGAAAGTGTTTAACATTACGCTGGAACACTTCACTATTTGAACAACAAGTAAATAAAACATGCATATTTAATGGTATTCGTGTCCAAAAATATTGACTTTATGATGTCCCTGAATATAAACTGTTATGCATTTGGTTTGTCCCAACGTTTTTTCCTCTTCTCTTAAAGGAACAGTTAATAATGTAGACCATCAGAGGAACCACATACTTGGCGCCACCAAGGGGCACCATTGTAGCAGCACATCTAATATTAACACAAGAATGTCACCAAGTGTGGGATCAATAAAGTTAATAAAATAAATATTTTTAAAAATGGACAGTTGTCCCACCCCCATCCAAACCAACATGTTTATTTGCCATTTAACTATCAATCAAAGCTTGCACTGCTGTCAACTTCGATTAGTCAGTGGTGATGTGCGATAAGATGAAGTTTTCATTTTGTAAAAGTATCTTTTGGAGAATAAAGGTTGGAGACCCGTGATTTAGACAGAAGAAAATGCAATGCAGCTCAATTTTAACTTGATGCCATTTTCATCGCTTGTAATTAATGTTTATAACAAGTAATATGATCAGAAGATATATAAAGCAATGTTTATTGGAAACTTTGGGATGAAACTAGTGTTACTAACTAAAATACGTAAAACAATACCACCAGATGCTCTTAATAATTCCTCAGATTATGGTTATAGTCCCCACTACTGGACCAGTAGTCCTGACCATCAGCTGACCGAAGATTTGTATGTACAACCAGATTTTTTTAAATTTAATTTCTCTTTTTATTAATGTACAAGCGAATTCTAGCTGTCACTTAATTCTAGAGAAGATGTTTTACACATGGGAAATAAAAATACACGTGGTCCTGAGCTTTCAAGATGATAAACTGCTGTTATGTTCGTTTGTCACGAGGTGGCACAGTTCCCTTTCAAAACATGTCAGGGGAAAAGGGGGAAATGGGAGGGAAAAGTACGGCCTGCTTTCCAGGAGGAAAGTGCTTTTGCATTTCCCAGAAGTCTCAGGACATGAGGAGGGCTTCTTCAAAATACAAGATTTTAGGATCATGACATCATAAGTCATGTGTAGAATGGGAAATATTTAACTGAGTACAGAAAAATATTCCTGACTGTCACTAACCATGCATTACTTTGGGGTAGTTCTGTGGGATACTAGGAAGAGCAGTTGTCCTTTTACTAAAAGGTTGTGGGTTTGATTCTATAGCCTCCTGAAAGTGGCGCCATCAGCAGGTAGATGGAAACGTTTTTGAAATGTAAATGTTAGTCACAAACTGCAACCAAAAGTTGCAGTTTGTGACTTTTTCAAATAAGTATTGCGTGACCACAACAACAATGTATTTCAGGTGTCTAACAGTCAATGTGTTGAATTATTGAAACCCTCTTCTCATATATAGAACTACAGGAAATGTTTCCCCCGTCATTTTGACTCTTTGTGGTCATTTCCTGGCTCCGTGTGAATACTTTGTCTTCCTTCAGGGGGTATTTCTGTATTCTTGTGCAGTCATTCTGGGTCTTTGTGGCATTCTTTGGGGGGTCTTTTGCGGCCAATGTGTAGCTCATATTGCATTCGTGGAAAATATATCCACATTGTGGTCATTTTACATTTGGCTAAAACTATGGCTTTCCTTCTGTGACCATTTTATATTTCATATCTACGTCTCCTGATGTTTGCTGTGTGTCTGTGTCTGGTGGCCAGGACTGCTGACAAAGGGGCCAATTACTGATGAAAAAGTACACATGATATGCTAGTATATTGTACAGTGTCATATACTATTACAGACAGGGGACTGCCTGTATATTTTAGGTGCTGTATATATATACTTTATATATATATAAATAAAATAAAAAAAAATATATAAAGTATTTAAATCTAGAAGTCTGTTAATGACTGCTGTGGTTCAGCTCTACAAAAACACCAATCGTTTGATTTGTTAACCTTGTGAGATAGTGGAGTGTTTGGACAATGTGGAAGCGTGTTGTGTCCCTGGCAGAGGTCTCCTCCGCACACCCCTCCATTTCCCAAAATGTGCCCCACCCACTTCAGCCTTCTTGTAGAAGAAAGGATGTAGACACTTTGCTGCTTTTCTCCTTCATCGTTCTTTTCTCTGCCAATTTCTCCTCTGTCCACATGGGTCACGTCTCACGTTTATGTAAATGGTGACATTCCCTTGATTTGTGTGGTAAACTTTCTCCCCCAAAAGAAAAACATTTCTGTGTGGGCTGTTGTGAAAGGAACAACATATGACAGATGATTCTTGTGTTTAAACAAATGTACACTCATATCTGGTGTGTCCAAATGTGGCACGGGGCCAATTGCGGCAGCTAAGTGCTGTAACGTGGCCCTGCATTTCTTTTCTTTTCTTTTCTTTAATTTAAATGACTGATCAGCAGGATAGCAATTCAATGTTGCTGAGATATTGTGGTTTTTGTCTCTCACATTTAGTAAGTTGTTGTTGGACATTTGGTTTCTATTGGCTACTAAGTAACAAGTATTTTTATTTTCTACCTTTAATTTGTAAATTTGGGCTTTGGCTTGGTCTTGGTCTATTTTGTTATGATTTAGATTATTCGTCATCTAAAAAAAGACATGGCACCACTTCACATACGTAACATTTGCTATCGCCAAGCTCTTCCTGACAACAGCTGTCCATCACACGTGGGGTTCACTCGTCATCTATTTACTGTTCTTTTCTCCATGCATCACATTTTACATGACGTGGAACATGTGATTGAAATTATTGGTTCATTATCAAAGTCTTGACAAATGTTATGTAATATTTTCTATGTTGTTTCTTCATGTTATTTTACTGATGCTTGTGACTTCATCTTATGCTGATTAATCCTTTTCAGGGTCTCTGGCGGAAGAGGAGGTTGGCTGAGGGCGAGGGTGGATACCCTGGTTAGTTTCAGACTCTCATTCATACCTAGTTACATGTCAACCAGCAGAGTACTTCTGCTGTTGTATCTTCAGAAACCGTCAGACAGCTCCATCCGGTTCCTATTAACAGTCTATGCCTAAAACTAAATACTTTTTGTTTTCGTGATTACAAAAAGCCTTTATATATTTGCCCTTAGTGAGGTGATACTGATACTGAACCACAACATGGAATGTCACCAGTAGGGATAATGTTCCAAATTCTACACAGTGTACCTTTAGGTATCACAGGTGGCTTACAGGTAGTTACCTAGCCTGACCCCCAGAAAAAAGTCTGCACCCCCCTTTACTTAAACAACTAGGCTTAAAGAAAGTGTCTTGCAGCATAAAAGTCAACACCTGAGGTTTGACCCTGTTGGATTAAACCCCACAAATACATTTCTATACTTTAAACCCATTAGGCACATAAAGGTGCTCTGTTTCCAGATGCTTCATGCACCCACCACACATTTATAGAGCGATAATTTAAAGTCGATCCCAAACATCCAGAGCAGAGTCTACAGTGTGTAAACAAGTGTGGACCATTCATACAGTCATAGTAAAGAGTGGGCGGCAGTGGCAACACGCCCCCCTCCGTCTTCAAATGGGAAGTGAAGGGAAACCACGTGACCACTGTCTGTTCTTGACTGGCTCCTGGGAGGGCGGCACGGGTGACGTCAGAGAAGGGAAACGATACAAAACAGTGTGCGAAAATTCAGACTCCTCAGATGAGTGACAACAAGTGTGAGAGTACCGTGACAGTAGACTGACAAGCGCCAGATCTTGGATCAGTGTTTAGACTGAAGACAACACAGAGACTATAGAGACAGAGAAGCCACGGTGTAGCACTGACAGCTGTCAACTGTCCTGCGATCAGCCTCAACCCACTCACGCACACCTTCATTTGCCTCTCACAACACCACGTGGACGAGCCAGCAGAGTTCATGTGTGACATATACAGCCAGGACTTTCACTGCGTGTCTCCACAATGCAACATGAGCTGGTCCATGGAGCCCGCTAACTTCTACGAGTGCACCAAGGTGGCAGGGCCGCATCACGGGCTCTGCAAGCCGGGAAACAGAGGCGATGGGGCGGCGGACGGCGGCACCATGGTGGAGCTCAACAACGCTCCGGCCATGTACGACGACGAGACCGCCATCGACTTCAGCCAGTACATAGAGTCCATGACAGCCGTGCCGAACCTGGAGCTGTGCAACGACGAGCTCTTCCTCGACCTGTTCAACAGCGTGAAGCAGGAGAAGCAGGATTACTACAACATGCAGAGCTCCGTCATACCCGCCAGCCTCCAGCATCAGCAGCAGCTGACAGCTGCAGCCTACACAGCGGACAGGAGGATGGACAGAGAGCTGGACAAGGCTCCGTTCACTGCTCCCATCAAGCAGGAGCCTGACTGGAGCGACAGCGACATGTCCTCCTCCCTGCCCTCTCAGATCAAGAACTGCGCCGAGACCTCCGTCAGCCTCCCAACGGGACAGCCGACTCCTCCGACCACTCCAGAGCCAGTCTCCCAGGTCAGCTCCGCCAAGTCATCCCCGAGGAAGATGAGCGGCAGGGAGAAGGGCAAAAAGTCGGTGGATAGGTACAGCATGGAGTACCGACAGAGGCGAGAGAGGAATAACATTGCAGTGAGGAAAAGCAGGGACAAAGCCAAGAGGCGCAACCTGGAGATGCAGCAGAAGTTGCTTGAACTGAGTTCCGAGAACGACAAGCTCCACAAAACCATCGAGCAGCTGACCAGAGAGCTGTCCGGCCTCAGAGATTTCTTTAAGCAGATGCCCAACTCCTCCTTTGCAGCTCTGTCCACGAGTGTGGAGAGCCGGTGACACACAAACACATTTTCTGTGAACTAACTGCGCTTTTACTAGAAGACATACCTCAGAGACTTTTTTTAACTTACCATCTGTACCAGATGTATTTTAAGCTTACCATAATGGCACTGGAAAATATATGATGTTGCTGCCATATTTTTGTGGGATTTCCTTTGTATTAAATTATTTTACCACTGCATTTATATGACATGATGATATATGTGATATGGTACATTTTTATAATTCCAAAAACTTTGTATAAACAGAGCCAGAGCATGATCTTTTATATAGTTTGTATGAAACCATGAAAATGCATAGTTTGTTAATGGAATCTATAATAAAAAAAATGATTGAAAAAGACGCACGTATTGTCTGTGAGTAGTCTTTGCACGTACAACTCGAAGAAGAAGTATCTCAGGAAGCAGAAATGTTTAAGTCAGCAAAGAAACGGTTTTATGTACACAGTGACCTCAAATACAGAAGTAGAACATGAGTTCAGATCAACATCACAATGTGGTTGGAACCCAGAAGCCTGTGTTTTAACGTCAGGTCCAGGCTGATGGACCACGTGGGCTGCTTTGACAGGACTGCATGCCACAGGTCTACCCTGGGGCCTGTCAGTTCCTGCTGCTCAGGATCACATATCATTAACACAAACAAGAACTTGTCTCTCTGCATGCGGCCCGTTGACTTCAGCAACAGCCCTGAGCTGTAAGGGAGGCCTTCACTGGGGATGTGGGGGGGAGGGGGGTTGAACTGAAACTGGCTCAGACCAAGACCTAGTGTGCATGCAGCTCCTCAGTGGGCCAAAGGTCTGATATCACTAACTACTAGTTCTGACAGCCATTAGAGGCAGATCTCTTCCAGGCCAATCCAGGGGGCAGGTTTGCTGGTGATGATTCGGACGTAAACAGTGATGGGGCCCACCTCCTTTCCCAGGACATTCTCCACATCGTAACCTGGGAACTGAGACACACAGTGTATCAGAAGGGTACTGCACAGGACACAGGAACCATGCAAGTGTATGTTTTCTTCTCTTGGACAATTGAAAATATCATCTCTCCTGCAGCTCTGGCTGGACCTGAGGCCAGTTCTAATGATGTCAATAGATCAGAGCTGTAACGAAAAAATATTTATTCATCTAAGAATGAAAAACGATCAACTGCACATGTTGATGATTTGCCTCAGATTTAATCATTTCAGGTCTGTGCGTGGACATATCACTGATCACAACTTTCAAGTCATTTCTGAAAGTTCAGCACGGCCCACAAAACAGATCTAACATTTAGCTGTGGTCAGTACAGAGGCACTGAAATTTCAAATTCACGTAGCCATCAAACATTTTCATTCTTTCAAGTAAATGTTAATAGACATTTGCTGTAGACGAACCTCCTGCTGTTGGTACTGCAGGACACATGGTGTTATGAATGCATATCATCCAATCTGATGTGAATGGAATCTGTAGCCTTTACTGTAGCCATAGTTGTGCATGTATGTTTTGTGAGCACTTGAACTAACTGTTTGGAAATTCTAGTGTTTAAAAAGCTTATTAAATTAGGTGACTGTTTGACATTTATTTGAGGTAATGATGTAAATTTGTTGGTTTTTGTGAAAAAAAAAAACTGAGTAATTTATGAAGTGACACTGTTGGAGAAGTACAGCTCCAGAGACCAGTAGGAGCTCAGCACCGTAACACTGCAGCGCATCTTCACTTTCGCTTCATGCCAAGACAGTGGCAGCAGTTACAAAAGAAAAATATGTTTTGTCATATTTAGGAATGTTGAATTAGCTTGACAAATCATGATTAATCACCATTTATTCTCATCATTTGTCCACACCTCCCCTGTGAATAATCACATTAAACATTTTAAACCCCCTGAACTTTGTGAACCACTGTACTACGACATTCAAACTATGTGAACAGCACAACAAGCTGCTAAAATATCTTAGCATTTGAAGATTGTATCTGCAGCTTGGCAGCAGATTTCTTCAATGGCCAGCATGACTCAGAAATGTTTTTGGTATGACAGAGAACAGATCTTTATCAGGGTGACACGTACAGATGACTTTCCTTTCAGAACATATTGACAGAAGATCAATGCACCGTGCGGCTCTGCCTGGTGTTATGTAACGGTGTGTAAAAGTCGGCCTACCTCATCGCCCTCCAGTGCTGCTGTGTTCAGAATGGACAGGATTGTCTTTTTCTGCAGCTGTGGAGCAAAATAAAAAAAGTGTGGAGGGCGTCAATGTTGTAAATAATTGTTAAAATCACTGAACTAATCAGGCTGTGCTCTGTGTGGACGGAAACACTGACAGGAGGGGTCAAAAACCTGTCTCCACACTGATAGATTTATCTGACGTTTTATCAGTTTACATCTTTTATTACAGACTTATACCAGGATTTCTATCAGAGCAACACCACCTGCTGGTTATCAATACAATGAAGCTTCCCCCCCTCCAGGTTGTAATGAGCAGAATATGACTTTTATCTTTACAACTCAATAAAAGTCTGCAGAATCTCGACAGCAGATCAAGACGGTGAACAAGAGAAGATTCAGTGTTGTGTTCAAGGACACTTGAGCAGGTTTTAACCAGGTCAAACCTGAGCTTGATGCGCTGTGATTAAAGCTCACAGAGTCAGAGCGTTAGGTAAGAGAAATGACACGACTCTCATGTCTGTCCTGTAAATCTGATCGAAAGAGAGCTCAGCTGTTAGTTTAGATTTGTGTTAACGCAGTGAAGGGCTGGAACGGCGCCACTGTTTGACAGACTCCTCCAAATCTTACAGATCAGATTTGATTTTTTTCTCTCTTTAACGCAAAACAAACAAAGCAAAAAAAAAACTGCGAGAAAAGTTAATTCCAGGTTATTTCACTGAATCTGTCAATTACATATAAAGCGCAATCATATATGAAAATATCACATTTTTCTTTTGAATCAAAAGTCAGCGGAGAGTGTTCTGGATGGATTATGTTATCTTTTGGTTGGAGCTAAACCAGCTGCTCCCTTGCTTCCAATCTAAACAAACGCCACTATGTGTTGCATTTAGAAAACACAGATATACAGTACAAGTGATGACAGCTACTCACCTTAAACTACTGAGATATTCTTCACAATATAAGTCAGACTGCTGTTGACTGATTGAAGAGCTTGCCAGTTTTTGTTAAACTTAACTAATTTGTTTTTCATTAAACCGTCAAAGTCTCACCTTAACTTTTAAAGTGCAATTGTTTATTGAAGAGCTGAGAAACACCTCCAGCTGAATCCTCATGTCTGGCTTGTCCACTGTTGTCTTACAGGAGACACAGTAGAAGCTCTGACTGTGGACAGAAATGGATGACATTAGGTTTGGATTTCTAAGAAAAATAACTTTTAGCTAATGTGACTGTGTGAGAGACTCACTGTCTTTCTGCTGCGGTCTGTAAGTCATCGCTTCCACAGAAACTGCAGACGGGCCAGGAATAAGCTGTGTTCTCGTCCACACCGACTATCACCCCTGCAGACAGTACACTCAGAATCACCTCTGGGACTTTCTGGGGAATTTAGGCCATTTTACACATCTGGGTAAGAGACTCAGTTTGGTCCAAATATTATATTATCCCACTGTTTGTGAATGCACTAGTTCAGTGGGAATGATCACCAACATTGTCTGTTGACCGTGTGTAATCACAAAACACGGTATCACGTACCTTTAGTGTCCTTAGTCACTACTAACAGAGAGAAAATGTACAATTGTCTGCTCAAAGAATCAGTTCATGTTGCACAGCTCCTGTGATATTATTATAAGCATGCATATTTCAGCAAATTCTGGTAAATTCCTTTACAAATTGTAATCTGAATAATTGTAATTTTTTAGTTAAACTATGTTGTACTCAGCTCTAATCAAGCTTAAACATACTGACGTTAAACTGAAGACTGAACTGGAAAAATAAAAAAACCCGCTGCACACACTGGTTAAGACGTACGTGCATGTGTGACAGTGTGTAGGAGACAGACACATCCCTTTGGGTTTTATCTGAGATTGCGGTGATGAATGCTGCACATATCTTACTCCCTTCTTCAACTCAGTCTGTCTTGACAACTAGCACTACTGCTGCATCAACAAAAATGCAGACTTTAAATATGACACTCAATGAATCACTGATAAATGGTTCTCAAATTCTGTGGTCTGAGCCCTTTTTTTATACTGGTTATTTGCAGAAGATACTATTTGCACGCAAGTACAGGAGACAATATGTTTGTTTCGTTTTTTTTCCCCTCAGCCACCTGACCAAACAGTTACAGCCAGGGGGGCCAAAACCAAAGGAGTTCACAGTTTGATCTTTGCCCTCAACTGCAACACCAAGTGGACAGATGCAGGCCATTGTTTGACTGAAGACACTTTCTTTTCTTTTCAAGTCTTTTAAAATGTTGAGAATCAAGTCAGACCTAAATAATGTGTCAGACGTTCACACAACCTTATATTTTGTTTACACTACACTACCCTGGATTTTTAAGTATGCAGGGAAGTCATTTCTACTCTAGATGATACAGGATTTGACGTGAGTCCATCAATATTTCACAGGCGCTTGTGTCCTACAGATCTAAACAATGGCATCCTGGGGACGGGGAATAAGAAACAGACGACAGCAGCCAACATCAAAGCCTGTGGCTGAGTTGTTAAAGTCATACATGAGAAAAAGCTGTTTTCCTTCCCTGAGAAAAGAACAAACTGCCTGTTCTGCACAAATCACTGCAAGACATAGTGAGAGTGTGTGAGTGAGAGAAACTGACCTGTGAGAGTGCAGAGGGAGTGGGGTGTGGTCTCCAGACTCAATGGATCCAGTTTCACAGGTTGGGGGAGGGACTTCGGCTGGAGTCGGGTCAACAACTGCGGCGGCTCCTCTGGCCTCGCTGTGGGCTCAAGGCTGGAATCAGGCTCCGCAGAGAAGAGCTCGACAACAGACAGCTCTGCACACAGGAGGACGCCTGGACGTTGGGAGGAAAAGTAAATATGTATAAACAATCAACAGTCTAGTGTGTGTCTCCAGAGGAACACAGAGTACAGCTGAAACTTCCCCAAAACCCACAGCCTTTTCTAAACTCAGATTTCTTAAGACACTGACCGCTGAAATTGCTTCTAAAATGAACAGCTTTTTTAGCACTTTTTTATGTGCTTTGGTGAAACAGATACATATGGGCGAATAAAAAGGAAGAACAAAAATAATATTTAAATCAATAAGTTCAATAATTGCATTTTTTTAACAGTGAAAGGGATACTTAACGCAACACTCCTGATAACGCCTTCTTTATTTGTAGAACTTACATTAATGGAGTTTAAATACAGAGATACTCTCTACACATGCATTTCTATATATATTCCTAAAATATATCCCTAAATTTCCCAAAGGGAACTCCTGAGGGATTAATATATATATATGTATTTATATATATAGGTTCTTTCTCCTGTCTCAGGACTTGGAACATAAATGTGTATCGCCTCTTTCATTTGGAGTTTTCCCAGGATTTGGCCCGTTTTTCCTGAAAAACTGGATAACTTTACCTCTTGGGCCTGGACTGCTTTTTAAACAAAACCATGTGAGGAGTTAAGAGGAGAAATGTCTCTGTAGAGACATCTGAGACATGACAAAGGCCCCCTTTCAGCCCAACTTTTTGTGAGGAACCACAAAACCACTGTAAACCACGGGTTTAATCTCCATTGTGTAAACTGTTAAATTGCCAAATGGACAGTAGTGCTTTTCAATTGGAGTTCAAGATGTGGATGACAACAATCAGCCTGTGTTCTCGCCCGGCAGGTCCAAACACAGGGGTAGTTTTACTGAAACCCTGTAGTCGTCCAAATGTTTCTAACACAATATTGATTTTTGCGATTGTTTTTTATTTACCTGCCAGTTGTTTTGATATATATACATGCGGTTCTTATGCAGCTGATTCTGTGTGGCCTTTTTTTTGTTGTTGCTCACCACAGGTTGGGCGATAACACGCTCTCCTCGCAGTGTTTCATTTCAAGCTGTTCAAATGATCCGATTTTTTAACAAAAAAAAAACACAAAGGTTACAGAGAGAAATAACACATTTATGTCACGCAGCTGCTTTTCATTTTCTTTACTACATCATTAATCATCTCATGACCCCCCTCAGATTTATCTGGTGAACATTTGGAGGGCTCTAAACCCAAGGGTGTGGACAGCAGGACTAGGGCCCATTCCCAATTACCCCCTGTAGTCTTACCCCTACTAGAGGTTTAAATATTTATATTACTCTTTTTTTTAAAAGCATCCTGGGAATATTCCTACTCCAGAGTCTTAGGCTGAAAGCGCTTTGGAAGGCCAGATGACCACTATCCATCGTTGGCCAAAAGAAATGGAATACCCTCTATGTGGCAGTTTAAATAACAAAAGAAAAAGAGCCAAGTGAGAGAATTTGGAACAGATCTGTGAAGGAAAAGAAAAACTACAGTGAATATAAACCTCTACACCCCACTGTAAAATGACTTTTTTAAAAAAAATAAAAAATCATTCAATATTTTCAACTGCAGAACCTTTTCTATCTTCAGTGAGAGGGTGTGCATCCTAAACCTGGTAATATTTGCCCACCCTTACACACTAAAACACCCCAAATCAGTCAGATCAGCTTGTGAGGTCATCTCTCACACAGCCCTTTTCCCACCAATGACTTCTGATCAGATCCAGATCGGGGCTCTGTTTGGATAATTCAAAACTTTAGAGCCGTTCTTTTGATGATTTTGATTTATGTATTGGCTCTTTGTCTTTCTGAGATGATAAATCCTCGCTACATTCCCACTGCATTGACAAAAGTGCCATTTGCAAATAAAGAAAAGCAGCCGCAAAGAAAGATGTTGTCACCCCCTGCTTTACAGTGTGTTTTTTAATGTCCAGTTTATTTTTACACTGAATATAAAAAAAGATTACTTCTTTAATGATGTGGTTTAATCAGTGTTCAGTCTCTCTACTAATTTAAGTCTTTCTATCCGTGTTTGTTCTGTAGTACTATTGTTGTCAATACATACTTGCTGCATAGTTACTTGTTAGTTGTACTTTGCCGTAATCTATGGCTTCAAAAACTGTATTGTTACCATGATGGATATGATGCATTACAGGTATTTGCAGACTAAGGATTGTACTGTAAGATGCAACATACACTTAATAGTGATTATTATAGTCACAATTAATCATTATAGAAAGCATGAATTGCTTGATGGCCCTAACTGAAACAGAACTTATTCCTATTGAAGTAGTCGCAGCACCATTTTAAGTGATCCTGTTACATCATTATAACCAGGTCAAGGCACTTCGTGGAAAGGTGTGTTTGACATTAAACGTTGAATGTGGTTTGATATGTTACCATGTTCCTTGATGGCATCTCTGAACGACATGTGACAGGCAGCGGGGGAGTGAAGTGCCTCGAGGACAGAGGAAGTGAGCACGCAGGAGGTGCTCACACACATGGCAACTGTTCGCCTGCAACCCTTCTCAGGCTGCTCCTCCTGAAGACTCGGGTCTGTCAGCACTAACCAAACCTCGCCCTGGCCTACACCACAGCTCTGATGCTGAAAACAAACAGCACGCACAGACACAGAAAAAAACAAAACAAAACACTGACTGAGAAAGAATGACCCAGAATGTGCCCGTGTTAAGTGACCATTACATAATGAAATCTCATAAATAAAAATTAGATGCACTGTGATTTCTGCAAAACAGCTCTGATAAGATTAGTCACACTGTGTGCAAATAGCTGCACACACTGCTGGACTACAATAACACCTTCAACACAGGGTATTTGCTTTTCAGTGGAGTGAGCTGGTGCCAAAGTCCACAACGTTCTGAGCCACTATCTCATTCTGGTCAAAGTTTAAAGGTTGAACCAATCAATGGGGAGGAGCAGCCGAGCCTGACACAGATTGTCTTACGCACAGTGATACGCGTACCGCGTAACGTCAGAGCTGTAATCTTATCAGTTTGTTGGTTAAAATGAACTGTGAAGCAGCTCCAGAACACAGAATGTTTATTCTGTTGCTCAGATTAAATCAGGTTTAAGACAAAGCCCCCCCACAAAATACCTGAAGCTTCTTGTATATCACTGTGGCAACGAAGCTGCAACGACCAGGCTTCTCACCCTAAAAAAAAAAAAAAAAGTTCAATATCCATATGCTGAAGATAAGCTATCGTCATCTTGGAAGTTTTGAATGTAAGCTTGTGTGCTGTGAGAAAATGTTCACCTGTAGTATCTCTCGTAAGGTCTGTATCCTGGGGGGAATGTAGAGCTTGGACGAACTCTGCCCCTCCGTGGGTTCAATAGAGGTTTCCTGACCTGAGAGAAGGTAGCAGAAGCTCGGAGCTGGAGCTGCAGCTCTGCTTTCCTGTAAACATTTAAATATGTTCCATGTTAACCAGAAGGTATACAGATTTTAGAAACCGTGTCCAATTCTTATATAAATAAATTAAAACATAACTCTCTCTAGGCACAATCATTTTCTACTGCGATTTTGATAGTGTATGCAATTTTTATTTTTTTTTATAATTGATGTTGAGTGAATATCCAGTATGCTTTATCAAGCTCTATATTAGGTCCAAAATGTCAATTTTATTTTTTAAGGCCTGCAGCATCTGTCATAAATTTCATCACTTATGGCCTGCCAAATTTGACACCATACATATCTGTTCTGTCAAAAGTTCAAATATCTTTGACCAGTAACTAGAGAAATATGGGAATATAAGTAAAAAAAAAAAAAAAACAACAAAAAAATCAGCCAAACAAATGGTACCAAAAGTTAATTTTATGTTATATTCCTTGAGCCAAGGCCCCACTTAGTGAAGAAACACTTTTCTCTTTCTCTTACAGTGGACGTGCTTGGTGTGTTTCCAGGATCTCTCAGAGGCAGCAGTGGAGGCCACAGACTGTCAATCAAGCTGAAAAGCCTGCTGCGCCTGTGACACCGACACAAAGTAGAATTATTAGCCCACATTTATATGCCTGTGCTGACCAACGCTGTATAATTTGACACAATCTTCCCACTGGACTTCTTACACATGTTTGTCATTTAACGTTCCTGAAGCCAAAAAATAGTTTTAAGTTTTAAGGTGACAGCTAGCTTAACCCTTGACCATTTTATGTTCATTGAGTTTTTTTTTCTTCTCATTCACAAGGGTAGAGTAAAGTTTCACCAGGTCATACTGACTCTGAACTTTGGCCACAAAAACCTAATCAGTTTGTATTTGAGTTGGAATAGGAGTCTGTGCCAAATCTGAACTAAAGCCCTGGAGGCACCGTTAAGACTGTATGTAAAGTAGAAGTTCGTGGTTGAACTTGTAGCATGTACAAGCTACAAACTAAAAATTCTATAAGTCTCATGCTGCTAGGTACCATTAGCTGAGGGAGAAAACTAAAGTAAAGAGGAGGAGAGGTGGAATAAAGGAGACACTGTTGAATAAAGGAAGAGTAGGAAGAAGATTTGCAGCTTTGAAAACCAGTTTCACTTCCACTGTAACATGAATCGGTAAGGATGGCACTTGTTCCAACATCTAGTAGAATTACCAGAGAGCATGCTGGGGCTGGCAGGGCAGATACAGGTGACAGTGTTCACAGGCAAAATATCACACCCTATTTCAAAGATATCATCACAGTCACAGTGGTGCAAAAGTCACAGGTGAAAAAAAATCACATATTGAACCTGTGATGATGCCGCGGTATTTCCTGTAGGAAGAGCTAATACATATGTATGAATAATACATAGTAGACAATAGTATCTCAGTCCTCAGTTTCAGTGTCTACTTCCTGAAACACACATGACTTGCAGGTATCTTGTCAGTGTCAGCCACTTATTCATGCGTGTAGGCGCTGTCATATCAGTGGGGTTAACAACCTGTTAGTCAGCCCGTAATCACAGGGCTTTTTGTGTGGAACTGGTTGTGCAGCCCAGTCAAGACCAGTGACGCCGGCTCCAGCATGACTAAGAACAACTCAAGTCAAGTACTCGCTCCACATACTCTGGTTTATGGTACTGAGCTCAGTAAATGAACGTGTTTCGGTGATTCATTGAGCAGATTGGGATTTTCCCCTAGCTTCAATCTTCATCTTCAAAATCACACCTTAGAGATTACGCTGGCGCAGGTCCGAGCTACTTCCTGTGAGAATCACGTGGTTCTTATAGAAGCAGCAGGTGACCAAAGGATTTGGTCATAGAAATAATTACTTTGAAGAACGTGCACCGTCAAGCCAAAACCAAGTCATACTCACGTCAAACACACAGGTGGATGAAGACCACAATATGTTTTTATTTTAATGTAATTAATTATAATTACACATAACACTCTGACATCATTAATAAACAAAGAACCTAGTGTCTCCAGCTGATGAAGAGCATAAAAACCATGGGAGTTGGTCACAACAGAATTTTCTTATTAAATATTTAGAATAAAAATGTATTCAAAAATCTGATGTGCTTTGTATGTGTCGACACACTTGGACTACACACCAAATCAAATGAAATAATGGAGTAAATAGATCTGTTCAAAAGCCATGCATTGGTGTGTCACTTGATGACAAACTGAAGAGTCATCCATCACTCTGTCTGGCTGGCTGTAAATCTGCCTCATCTGAAACTGTTTGTGTTGTATGTTCAGTATAATTACAGATGTTCTTATTACCCATTGAACATCGTGTGATAAATAATATTGAGTCTAAAAAACACAACATTAAAAAGCAATCACAGACCCAGTATGACCACCTTAGCTCTGCCACCGTCCCTGTTATTGTGGCTGTCAGTCATTCAACCTAATAACACAGTAAAAACAGATAGTGGTCAGCAGGTCTATGATGCTCTCCAGTCTCAGTGACAAGTCAAAGCACGGCCCGGATTTGTTATTAAGATATGCCCAGAAGTCCAGTAGTTTCTAAGAACCTGTAGACAAAAACATGAGTGACAGTTTTATCTTGGGCCAGCTCCACGTGTTTCTCCCTTCCGTCTAATAAGACAGACCATGTGTGAGCCTTGATGCTCGGTCATCAATCAGTCTGACCGCATGCATCTCCTGGAGACATTATAGGCTGTGGTGGTATTGAAAATACCAAGGATGTAAACATACCCTGGCCGGGCTCTGAATGTACCAATGTCAGTGCTTCTAATCTGGGAACCTGACTATGGAAACTCACGAGGGACAGAGAGTGTGCACCGCCGGATCACTTTACATGTAAACATACTGCTACTGATGGCAGGACAGTGAGATGTGCTACAAACACTCAACTCCCACAACAGGGATGGGGGTGTTGATGTTTACAAATGACAGCAGCAGAAGCCACAGAGCATACCTGACCTAACTATGGCCCGTGGGCCAGATACAGCCCGCTGGGGTTTCCCGCAGGTCAAATTTTGAACCCCATTTTGGCCCTTGAGCTAAAAAGGTGTGCACACCCCTTAACTGGAGACTCAACCAATATTGGAATCAAAATATATTTTAAAGGTATTTTAACACCATGTTATATCAACATCACTTTTGCTTTTCACGTCACTGGCCAAAAGAATTCTAACCGTGCCCTTTTCTTTACACTAACCTCTAATCACTTACACCTTCTGTAACAATGCCACTGCCAAGAAAAACCTCAGCTTATTGTTTACTTACAAATGCAAGTAAAGGTACATAACGAACAATGGGTTTTCCCAGGTTTGCAAGTATGATTTATGACCACCTCTATATGGCAGGAGGAAAAATGCATGTCAGTGTAGCTTGGTGCTTCCACCCACCCTGACTTTAGACTTTAACAGCCTGTCATATCAGGACCCATCTATCACAGGTATTTACTCTTGGCTGTTGTCCAAGATAAGAGATAACATTTCATGCTGCAAAAATCTATATCACAAGCAAGTAGTGGTCATAGGTTGAATGTTTACCCCTGGATGGGGAGGGAAAAACTGGGTGAAAAGCTCACAAGACTAGTTTGGCGTGAAAAGTAGAAAGAAAGACTCTGAGTCTTACTTCTCTCGTGTGACCCGCTGCATTACTTTGACGCCTCTCAGGACACAGGTCCTGCCCTGCCACTTTTGGCAAAACTGAAGGACATCGTCCTTGCAGGGCAGGGGTTGAAGCTGGACCAGGCTGCAAGTGCCACAGCTGTCCTGGACAAGGACACAGAGCCTGGAGAGAATAAAATATATCAGAGTCAGTTTTTGTTGCTTCATAAACTGTATTGTAAAAGGAAGCACTCACATCAGTTTTTGCAGCAACACAGTTTAGTTCTTTGACATGGACCACAATATTCAAACATATTCTATAAACCCGATGTGAAAAAGAAAAGAAATTAAATCCACCATTTGTGGTGCATACAGTAGATAGACACATTGCTCTCAGTCTACATATACACATATGGAGCTTTGGTGACACAGACATCTGGAAAATGTACTGAAAATGATAAACCTGTATAAACTTTGTTAAAAATGTATATATATTTTAAGAAAGTTTAAAAAATATTTTAATGTGGACTCTTTAAATAGAATTGAAATGACTGAAATTAACTTTAATATCACAGTCATCAACGTATGAAGGAAACTCATAGAAAATAAAATCGTTCTACACATTAAGTACAACCGCTCCTGTTGACAAGTGAACAATACCCTGCTAAGAATGGACCATTTGGAGTGTTGTACCAGCGGCTGGTTTGACAGGCCACTGCTGGCAGCAACACCTTTGTCCTACAAAGTTGTAAAGCAGTGAAGTGCAGTTTATTCCTTCACTCTGCTGCCGTCTGACAGCACACGGCCTGAGCAGCTACAGGTTCTCGTCAGTCAAGCCCAGACACAGCCCTGAGAGTAAACAGTGGAGTTCATTTCCCTGTACAACAAACAAGGTCCAAGGAAGAAGAAGAGGAGGAAGAAGAAGGAGAACAAACACAAGGAGGAGGGGAGGATAGAGAGAGGAGGAGGAGGAGAATCACCATGCATGTGCATGCTTGCACACATCCCCGACATTGGGAAAGTTTGGAGACATTTTCAACCACCTGATTGGACCTAAAATTGTCTTCTGATGGTAAACATGGGGTCTGTCTGTGTTTGTAGTGCGAGACCTGGAAATAGATATCCAAATAACATTCCTGTCATAACTTGAGGCGGTGCAAGCCAAAGTTTTAACCAACGTTTTTCCCACTTGTTTGTTTTATTCACAATCCAGAATCAGATGCACCGTACACTGTACGACATCTTGTTTAAGCACGCTCTGTTTACAGAAAATTCTGCTTGTATAAAAGACGGGCTGAAATGAGAAATGGGTCAAAGTCCACGGCGAATGGACTCCAACCCTCCCACATAAACACCATATGCCCCGGCAAAAGCCCAGGTTACAGGTTAAACACAAAGTCAATACAGAAACATTTTATTCTTCAAAAAGAAAATATCAGACAACTGCAACAGCCTGCACTTGTTTTACCTTAGCCACTGATTTAGACTTGGTTTGAAGTTTTCTAACTGTACCTTTAAGCTATTAATAAATTACTGGCGTTACTTTTGAGTTATTAATAAATAACTTGAAGGCAGGCAGTTATTTACACTTTTATATGATGTATCGTGATGATTTCTCTTGGTAATGTAACATACACCTAAATACTTTTGGACTCAAACTCTCTAAGAAACTCTGTTGTAACAAAAACATTGGGGTAATTATAATATTTGATTTAAGAACATAATTATTGGACTAATTATTTAAAATACTGGTGCTTTTTTTTCTTTTAAATATATTTGTTTGTTGGATGTTGTTTTTACATTAAGGACTGTTGTAATTAGCTGACACTAATGTATATGAGTGACAGGAAGACATATATATGTCTTATAAATTAAGTTTATAATCTGCAATTCGTCAAAGTTCAACCAAGAATCTATTCGGCCCAAGGGAGAATCTGACATTCTTAAAAGTGCATGCTATATCTTAACAAACAAGACTGATAATAAATTACATCTTTCTTTTGTCAGAGTAATCCACGGCAATCTACACCCACACATTGGATTATTCTGTATGATAATGCTTTAAAAAGGGGGAAAAATTGTTGTTTAAAGGGTTAATCACATTTTTGGCTTCACAAACGTTTATGTTCATTACAAGGGGTTTAAAATATACTTTCACTTTGCTCTGAGCCTGTCTGCACTTGAAGACACTTCAGGGCGATTGCTGATAAGACCAGTCAAACTAACAGACAGAATAGCTCGGTGTGGAGTCTTGAGGTGGTACCAGTTTGACATAAACAACCACAGCTCCTTTCAGTGCCTCCTTTTCAGCTGCTTAAAGCTTCACTTACTCAAACTGTGACCCCTCGTTCTCCAAAAGACTCGCTGCCATTGGCTGGAGTGAGTCACTGGCCTTTTTCAGGAATTTGTTATTGCGAGTGATCGCAGAAAATTCTCAGCAACGCAGCTTTCCTTCCAGGAACTACGATGAACTGAGTCTGTGCATACACACACACACACACACTGTGAGTAACCTTGTTGCAGGCCCACACACATGAACATTACTTGGCAACATACTAAGTAAGCGACCCACACATTAAGAACACAGCGGAGAGACCTCATTGGTGGGGGGCGGACAGGCGGGATTCCTTCTTATGTGTTGTGCACCAATCGGTGCAGGCAAAGCAATTAACGGGGCTGTAACAGGATCCCAGCAGCACATTGTGTTCCTTCTCCACCAAAGGAGAAAAAAACAAGGCTCTTCTCACTTCCTACAAACAGTCAATCTTCTTGTTTATTCTATTCCGAATTTACTGGAACTCAACATCTTCGTCAGGCATAAATATCATCTCAGCCCCACTCCCTTGTGTGTTAACACAGAGGCAAATCAAACAAAAGGATCAAATAAGCACACACTGACCAGGGAAGTGAGTCACAAGGGCTGGGGACACAACACAGGAGACACAAACTGTCCTCTACAAAACTCTGGACCAGGGCAGTGGGCTGTCGGACACAAAGGCTTCCTCCAAAGCAGCTATGAACACTGGAAAAGTACTATCAACAACACAATGTACCAGGTGTGGTTATTGGTAAGCAGCAAATCACGGGTAGACTAGTAATTTCAGCTTGGCTTTAATAGTAATTTAACACAGCGCTCCGTTAGAAGACATAAACAAGGTGATAAAACTGTCATCTGACAGTGTTCCAGAGAATGTCCAAATCTGTCATAGTTTGTTGTCAGAGCCAACTAAATATGTTGGACTCCAGCCCATGTGACCAACTCTTAACCTCTGCTCCACCTCTATCCCACTATGACCAGCCTGTTGAATCTGGTTGTTTCGAGAAAGAGAGAGAAAAAGAGAGAGGGAGAGAAAAAGTGAGAGAGTGAGAGAGAGAGGAAGGCAAGAGAGTTTCCGGTCAGAGGGTGGCGTTTGTTTACCAGGCGGAGGAAACAGCGTGGCAAGACTGAGTGTCAAATTACAACCGCAGCTCATTCAGTCAGCTGACCGGGGCTCTCCTCCCTCCTCGGGCCCCTGTGCTCTGAGAACCCAATGTTTTTATTACTCAGCAAAGGACAAAAACAATAAGCCTGAAGAGAGCCAGGAAATTTACTGGATTTGCTTCAAATAGAACATTCACTTACACATCAACAAGAGCTCTTCAGTAAACCTGTAAGCCATTTGAAGAACATGGGACAAAATGAACAGCATGTACTGCATAAACCTGCACCTATGTCCTCTACAAATTAAAAGAAGACCGACAATTTTCAAACACAGAAGCCTAAATAATCCGGAATATATTTTATTTCCCAGTGGGAACTTTGCTCTAAAACTGCATGCCTCTACCATTACAGTGTTACTTAAAGGGTGGGTTGTGGACCAGAAGTGGGTCATGGAGCTGTATTGGTAGGGTCACAAAAATGTGTGTTGGCATTTTATTCATTGTTAAGTCAGATTAAAACTTGATTAGAATCAAGCAGTCATTATTTTAATTTCAGTAGTCTGGTAGCTGACAGAAACTGTCATTTTGAGTTTGTTGTAATAGTGCATTCATTTGTTGTGTATTGTTAAAAAAATCTATTTTGAAAATGACCCAGATAAAAATTCAACCTGCCATAAAATGGTGGATTTTTTTGGTGATCCTATGAACTGCTATTGTTTGGATTTCAAAATTGAAAACAAATTTGAAACATATGGAGTGACAAGTAAAAATTCAAATGGCATGATTATTCTGTGATCAATCGGATTAGGAATTTTAATCGCAAACACTTTAATGAAGCAAAGCGTATTTCCTTCATGTAGTAGTAACATTTAACATGTTTCTAAAACAAATACCTAGTCAAATCAAATACAAAACCAAAGTTATTTGCCACCGTCAGTGCGTTAACATTTTATCTGCACGGTTTATGTTTTAATTATGAGACTCACTGAACTATACAACCTGTTCCACCCAGTGCAGTAAGAGTGGGCATGAATTCAACTCTGGGCTTGCTGGTGCTTGAGATTCTGAAAACATCACACTGCCTTTCCTGAGAAATAAGCCACAATCATTTACTCTGGGGGCTGGATCCATTTAAAAGAACTTGTGTCCTATGTCAAAGTAATGCCATATGGCTGGAGACAGTATGAGCACTGTGGGGGGGCCTGCTGCTCTGTGAACAATAGCTCAGCCAGTGAAACACATTCTGCCACCAAGGGGAAGCATGTGACGTGCCTGGGATGAAGGAAACTAGCGTGCAATCTCGATGAACAGCGCAACGTTCATACTGTGGGAAAGACACCAGAGCAGTGGATAAAAAAAGTTCTTCACTCTCTCTGGTGTTGAGTGACAAAACAAAGGACTCTGTAGGCTGCCAATTACACACTCGTCCAAAAGTACCAACAGTACCTGGTTTTGTCCTTCTCTGCGGGAGAAAGAGGAGGAAGAGTTGAGGATGACCTGGAGGGACCTCTGGGCCTGAGGACGGACGCAGCAGAGCAGTTAGGCAGAGGTACTGAGAAAACTCTCTGAACCACCACCTCTATGTCCTGTCCTACAGAGCCAGCCTGGCCCAGTCCTTCAATGAGTTCCAGGAGAGAAACACTGTGTTCTGCAAAATCCCCCCAGCCTCCAAATCTGGGCATGATACTAGGAGCACCGGGCTGTTGAAAAAAAACCCAATACATTACATCAATTAAATTTGGCATTTGAAACAATTAAATGGATAAATTAAAATAATAGCTGCCATTCCAGAAACCCTCCCACTCAAACCACAAAGAAGTCTATTAAATCAGAATTACTCCCAGGGTCGTGTCAACGCACAATATAATGTATCTGATTCAATATCAAAGATCACACTTTAGATTTATGATTTTGTTTATGATTTCAAATCAGCTCTAACAGGGGCATGGCAAATCGGAGCAAGGCTTTAAAGTTTCCCCAATCATTACCCCAATCACACACGTCACTTATTTCCATCTGCTCAGACCGACAGGAATCAAACATACTGTACATGTAAATCAAAGCCATGACTACATCAGAGAGTGATTACACTGGTAACACTGTCTGTCAGTCTGAAAGAACTCCTTATTAGGGCTTTGTGTTTGGATTGGAGTTCTGTGAACTCGATGAACCTGCTTGTTGGCACAGTTTCACCTAAAGAATATTATCTATTATCTTAGAAAATTAAACCAGTGCAGACATAAACAAGTGAACCAGAATCACAGCTTTGTGGCAGATCAAACTCCCACACAAATGAATGGGGTCTGTACGCAGCAGGACGGGTTCAGTCCAGGATACAACTTCAGCCGCTTTAACAGCTGATCTATTCAATGAGATGTAGTGCAAACCAATGATGTTTGTTAAAAATGGGAATGACGTAAATCTTAAGATGGAAGTTACAACTAATTGATTTTTCTCTCCAACTTGACTTTGAGCTGTTGTTTGTAAAGTGAGTTTTCACACTAGCCGTGACATTGTTAATTCTTAAAATGTAGGGGCAGGGACACAAGCTGAAAAATAATTATTCAGGGCCTTATTGTGTCTCTAACATTTTTGTGCTATTGTTGCAGTTATTTTTACTCAGTGCTATTATTAACATTATTTCATGCACTGTCTATTTAGTTTGTATTATATGCTGCCTTTAATCACCTATAGTTTTTTAAATCTTCTTTTATTCCTATAATAATAATTTGGCATTCTTTGCAGAAGGCAGAGTAATTTCATTGTACAGAGAAACATGTTTCTTCACCGGCTGGCTGAATCCTGAGTCTCAACCAGGGTCATCGGAAACATTTTTTAAATCATTCCAAATTTATAGTTATACCAAATTTAATTGATTTTCAAATGTAATTTAATTAAACTGAAATTTAATTGACAGTCAAATATATACAAACCTCATTTATCTTGCACATCTCCAGAAGTTTGAATATTTCACCAATTTTACTGGGCTTCCCAGTCATGTCGGCAGGATTAGGATCCGAATAGACCTTCTGGCTGAAGTGTGTGTTCAGAATAACCTCGTAGCTAAAGCCCTCAATTGAAAGACTTTGCCTGAAAGAAAGAAAAAAAAGAGTTCATTTGATTTTTTTTTAGTCTCTGTGTGCTTTTGTGACATTCAACTCCCTGACCTATAGAATTCATCCAAAGACTAAAAATGTATAAGTTATTGGGAGACCTGTGTTGACACAGATCTGTAGCGGATGCAAAAAAAACAACCTTAGATTTCACATTCGATAAATGAAGAGGTTGCATGAATGTAGGAGGCACCACGGCTCCTTGTGGTTTGAATGTCAAGTTAAGATAAGGTACCATCCACCTCCGCAGGTCTGTTCGCCATTCGCCACAACTTCGACGCATACCTCCTCTCAGGCAGCACTGAGACCTACCACACATATCTGTACTGTTTTTACAGATGTTAAGCAGAATTTTTTCCATGTAAGCGCAGCTCTTAAAACGCTGTGCCCTGCAGCTGTGTAGGTTGACATGTGAAATATTTTGTAAGGTGACAACACCTGTGGAAAAATCCACCGACACCACAAACAACAACAAAAACACAGGCCATACTAGTGACCTGAAATTTCCTTCTTACAATTGTGAACTATACGCTTAGATTTCAATCAGTGACTAACCAAGCAGATACTGACCTTGAACTTTAACAACATTTTGGGTCTGGTGTTTTACAGTAGCTCAGGGATGAGTGGGTATCCACGCCGATGATACAGAACTTGAACAACAGCCAAGTTATAATACGCCACGCTGTTTGTAGTTCAGTGTGATCCCAATTTTTTTTCCACACGTTTGATGGATAATAATGTGATGAGGGCTTGTAACTGACTCAGAGCCAAGAGCGCTCTGTGACTGAAACTGCTTTACATGTCACAGCTCGTCTGTGATGATAGCAGATCCATGAGGGAAAAAACACAGATAATTGGGTAAAAAAAAAACTTTTTGTTTGGATATAGAACAATATCCAGAGTCAAGAACTTTTAAACATTTTGTCCTTTTCTGATGTAAATATTATGGAATTACTACTTTATTACTAATACATTGGGCTACTGCAAATAAAACTTTTGAATGTATGTGTGATTATAAATCCCCCCCCAAAAAAACTGATAAGAGCTAAGCAGAGTTGAACCTTTTTTTTCAGACAAATGAAAATGTAGTTCAATTACACAGGTAGATTTATTGCAGCCCAATTATATTATTATCTGTGATTAGATTGGACGTATTGCACACAAAGTTCCTCGCACTGTTTTTATTACCTGTGCATCCAGTACACACTGTATACTTTTCCCTAACAAGCGCCAACACGCACGTGACTCATCTATTTGTCACTCAACTGAAAAATGAATCCACTGTCATTTTCTCTGTCAACAATATTACACCAAATTAACATATCCTGCGTATGTGGGTGCTGCAGAGGCGTTTGTTACACCTCGGTTTTACAGCTTTTACTCTGAGGAAACTGTAGCAGTTTAGAAATACTTTACAAGTTTGCAGTAAATATGATAAGAACAAGCGTGAGGAGGCAGTACTTCATACTGTCAAACAAGCAGCCAATGACTGTCACAATGGATATTACTGTATTAAATACATGGCAGGCGTGCTTTTGCTTGATCGTTATACCAGATATTTGAGCTAGATGTGTCACTTACAATCTACAGGCCAGTCACATCTCACAGAGCTATAAAACAAGCTAACCAAAGTTTGTAACAATCACACACTGCAGGCTATAGTTAATTATTTGCTTTGTCCAAATTCTATATAAATACTGTGTTCACTGGCTAGGGAGAGAGTAGGGAGTCAAAAAAAAAAAGACATCAGTCCTGCATTGGCTTAAGAACTGACAACTCTGCTGCAAAGGAAAGTCGATGAAACAATTTGACAATTTATCGTTGCAATTATTTTAAACTGAGGGTAATTAACTTTCTCTAAGTCAAGGCCTAAATTAACACTTTAAGTTTGTCTTTAATGTAAAGGCATTTGGTTTAATTAAAGGCCTGACCAAAACAAAAATTGATAATTAAATTTGACCTGATCGTCCAATGGGAATCTGGCTACAATTGGTAATTGTTGGTTGCAACCAGGCTCCTATCAGACAGTTAAACTGTCAATCACAGGCTTTCTGCCTCATTGTTCTTTTTTATAACATACTGAATATAAATTCCTGAGTGAGGTCTCATCTATTTTTTAGGCACAGTCTACAGTTTACATTTACAAAGTGGTCCAATTAGACACTGTTATTCTTATACAACAATTTCCATTGTCTCCACAATCTCAATTTAGCCACTAGGAGAAACATAAACAGACTGATTTTCCACCCATGACTACCATGAGATATTCAAAAATGCACAACACCTTTTTTTTTTTTTAGCTTTGGCTGTTATTGTTTTGGTGACAATTATTAATTAATTATTGGTAATTAATGATTACAAATCAAATAAGAGACAAATGTTCATTTTGTCTAATTGTAAACAAAAGAAGCCAAGCACATTCCTAATATGTCTTAAGAAATTCATGATGCAATAAAAATAATCCACCGGCTCTGAAAAACCTTTAAATTTGAAATATGTCAAAGTATTTTTTAAGTGTGTTTTGGACTGAAACACTTCAACCATAACCATTTGTTTTCCCTTTTATAAATGGGATAATTTCCTCTTTCATTATGTCCCGCAAGACACGAAACAGTTGTGTTTAAACTAGTCCTCAAACAAAACACTAACCTCACCTATGAAAAGACCAGAAACACTCCCGACATGACTAAGTGTGTTACTAACTGTTATCTGTCCTAATATCTCTGCCGCAGAGATCAGCATCAGTTCCAGCGGAATATAACTTTTAGTAGTGCAGAACATAATGTTCACTGTGACACGTACGACTTCTATACAGGAAGCGTGGCCGCTGTGAACAGGTGAGTGGGCAGCTGTCATCATCAGACAGGTAGCCAGGTTAAGGAGTGGCCCTGGCTGCTGCCGTCACAGCTCGTAAGTGAATAATCCCTGCAGGTATTTCCGCTCAGTCCACAGCCCACTCACAACAAGGCGTGGGAGGTGGGAGGAGTCAACCTACTCACTGCCGGAATTATGGGGGAGGTTAAACCCTCAACCGTCACACAGGAAAGTCAGAAAAGGAATTTTACCAGATACACTGATGCGCTGATAGTTGTGTTTTTCCACTACGGCCTCCTCTCCATCTGTGAAGCCTCATTAACCTTCTTTGGAGATGTTTTTAAAATCTGTCATCAACCTTTCTTCAGTTTGAACACAATGACTTCTCAGATATTACTTTTGATATTATAAAGATATTGATCGGTCTCTAATGTAGACCAAATGTTCCAACTTGTACATGACATTTTCACAGACAAAAAGGGAGGTTGGGAAGCATGTTCATTTTCTCCACAGTAAATGAGTGTTTATAGCAGGGAGGGGCTCTTTTTTTTATCTTGTGACTTCAGGAACACAATACAAAATAGAAAGAGAGAGGTGCAAAAGCCAGAGATGCTCTCAAACCCGCCATGTGTTTTCAATCTCAGCCCTCTGGCTCCCTGCACTCTCCTCTCCCAAATGCTCCAGAAAATAATCCAACTGTGTTTTTTCCCCAGCTTGCTGGAAATGACCTAACTATTGCCAGGAAGAGGAATGTGAAGCATTCCCTGGAGCTGTTTGTGACGTCAGAGCACAGAGGAGGCCCCTGCGCTTCCGCCAGCCTGGATATTCCAGAGCACACTCAGCCCAAAGTCCCAACAGCTGGAGTCAACTGCTGCAGCCTCGCTCCAACTCCAAAACAATCCCAAAAACACTCACCAACACTCCCCCGCAAGCCTCTCTGCTCCTGACGTGAGGAGATGTTCTTCACATCTGGCCTGTTGTTGCTCCGCGCAAAGAGCTGAGAACTTCGAATCAGTAATCACCACCTCAGAATGATTTATAAGGTTAATGAGGTTGTTCAACATTGTAGTATTAGCGAAAGCCTGTGAAGCATTACTTTAAGCTCAATTTGCAATGAATCAGTTTTCTGTTGTGGAACAATGACTTTATTGTGTACTTTTTTGATTTTCTGCCATCAGATGATTAGGCCTAAACTAAAAAATAAGGAAATGTATCTTTTTGACCAGAGTAATAGTGGACTAATCCTGTTTATTTCTCATGATACTATGAACAGAAACTAAAAAAAGCATATGTTTGTGTTTAAAAATCATCTGATGTCATTATTTTTAGCTGCATTTTGTGCATTTTTCTCTTCTGACAAAACTATTTTTAGTAATTCCACACCAGGAAAATTCCAAAAGTTCTTGGTTTCATTGCATAATATTTTTTTAACGGTTGCTGATTCACAGAGGAGAACTTTAAACTCTACTGAATGTTCTAAAAACATTATTTACTGGATGTTTCAATTAGAATTAAAGCAGAAATAAACCATTACAAGTAGATGTTACTAATAATCACAGGCAAAAGGATCCAATTGTTTTCTCTTTTGTTCTTTTTATGACTTTTTGTTTGGCTTAACTTTTTCTTTTTTTGCCTTTTGTGTATTTTCTTCTTGAATGAAATTCAAAATCTTGTACTCTGTACACTGTAATGAGTCAGAGAGGTTCAAATACTGTGCATGTACCAAATACACGGTAGGGAACTCACTAACTTTACTTCCAATTCTAATGAAATATACAGGAGACATCCTATAATTTATGTGGAACAATATAATTTATACAAATATATATATGTATAGTATATGTACGTAGTAGCTGTCTACAGCTGCCTACTTGTGCTACGTGACTAATATCATTATTGCCTCAGTCAGATGCTGATCTTATCAACTTCACTTCCTCAGTGAGGTGATCTGTAGGTGATTAATGGCTACTTTAAGCACCAGGGGCACAGGGACTGTTTCAAGCGAACCAAACTTGATGCATACCGTTTTGGTGGCAAACAAAAGGAAGGGGCAGGGTAAATGAAGGACATATACATCTTCCTACCATGGTGGGTGAATGTGAATGACATCTCTGGGTGCAGGCATAAGCTGGGCTGCAGTCTCTTGGTTGAATAACACCAGCACGCAAGCTGCCTCTGCGGGGACCGGGGAGCTTTGCTGGTGGCCCTCTCCCTGTGGCTGGTGGTACTCACAGAGTGCCAGTTGCATGCTGCACTCCTTCTGAACCTCCAGCACCTCCAGCATGAGCACACCAGCCCTGTCCACTGGAGAGAGGGAGAGAGAGAGAGAGAGAGAGAGAGAGAGGCAGCAACAACAACACAGATGTTCAGTGAGCATCTGTTACAGCGTTTGTTTGTACACAGAGTACTCTGCTCTCACGGACTCTCGTACTCTGTGGGAGGCATCAGGCATTATGTGAGTAATCCCCTTTTAACATCCAAACAGGCACAAAAACTCACACTGTATATATGCCGTGTAGTTGTTAGCTCAGGTCCATGCTGCGATGAAACCCCATTGGGTGAATGCACAAATGTTTGGAATTTTACCACAACTATGAGTGTCATCTTGGCCCAAACAGTAAAGATGGCAGAGATAAATAACAAAAATAAAGCTGACAAAGATAAATCAACACAATGCCTCAAGGCTATAAATCGAATCCAGATAAGAGGGCAATTTGGCTGTATGCAAATGTTTGTGAATTGTGAAAATTGAAGCACAACAGAGCACATTTATTGGCAGTTTAATGTCTCTGTATGTCGATGCCTGAATGTGGCCAGAAGGGGGAATTTTAATATAATAAGCGTAAATCACATCAAAGGGATCGCTAGAGGGCCATTAAGTTTTAGCATGCATTTGTCCAAACACGAATGCTCAATGCTTCATCTCTGCTCGGGGCATTTAGATCCCAGGTTACAAAATCAGTAGAACGAACTTGGGCAGCAGACCAAGGTGCAGACAGTACTCCAGTCCTCCTGACCTGTAATGATCTGAGTCACAGGAAGAGCATTATTTCAGGAAACGTACTGTGGCCTCCGACATGTGAATGTGCTTAGTCTCTTACATCACCACCAAAATTACTACAGCGGAATGAAACAGGTGCCATTTAAATGTATCATTCACCTGGCAGCAGTGTTGTTGACTTTATTATTACGAAAGTAGAGGAAATTGAATTTTTTTTTAAACACACGCTTACTGCTGAGTAAGTACACATATTTCCTGTTCGTCTACATTGATGGAACATTAATATTTTATACTTCCATTCACTACAGTATTTCACTTTGCCAAGCAAAACAAAACATTATTAATGTTTTGTAAATTACACACTAGTACAGGGGCATGCAAACTGTGGCTCCTGAGCCACGAGATGATATGTGATGTACAGGAACGGGTAAACAACAACAAATCATCGACACTGCACTGCTGCCATTATTCAAATGTGTTTGTGGCTTGTGGGGGAATTTTATTTACTGCTAAGACTTTGGTTTTTCACTTCACAATATGATCAAAACATTGTTAAACCACAAATAACTGTGATAAATCAGATGTGTTTTTGATCTGTTATATTACACCTGCTGCCTGTGTCCTTTTCTAAGTAGATAATCAACACTGAGAGAACAAAGGAAGGTTTGGTTTGGTTCACCACAGAAAAAAAAGCAGCTAGGTAAGCAGTTTCCGGTCGCCTACACACTTCATTCATGACCTACCAACGACACTTCTGTAGCATGATCTCCTAATGTAATCACAAAAGAAAAAAATAATCACACCTGCTGAGTGACAGCGAGGTCCATCCCACTCACAAATCAAAGTTCTTGGTTTAACTTGAACAACAACTCAGGAAGGTGGAGGAAGTTGTTGTTGTTGTGTGTGTGTGTGTGTGTGTGCACACGATCATTTGTGAGTGTGTACAACATTCTGTTTAACATTGTTCACATGTGAATCACCTGCTGTTGTTCTTGTTGAGGAGTCTGAGATGCACTGGTGCCTCCAGAAGCTTATCGCTGACCTCTGTCTGCGCTGCAGTTGATTCAGCCTTTCAGCAAGACCTCCACTGTGCAGCAGAATGACAGCAGGGTACACAGGTTATTAGTGCACGTAGAACCCAAACAAATGCATGGAACAAAACAGTGTATTTCAAAGAAAAAAATGTAACAAACGTTTCTGAAACAAACTGTCAAAGAATACAGATAGCCATCTGACAGCCTTCAGTGGGCTCGGCGACTGCAATGACATTTAGCACCCACAGCGCGACACCAGGTGTCCCTTTCATCATCACATTGGGTGTGGAAACTTTTGCTGCCAAAGTTCGACAAGTCTGGCAACAAGCACCGTTGGCTGTCTAATTTGTCTGCTTCCATTATGAAGCAATGCAACTACAGCACTCAAAATACACTTCCTGGTTACTCATAACACAGATCAGGCCACAAACTGAACAGCTTGTGTTTTTTATTAGCCATTAGTTAAACGACTATAGAGTGGCTGTCACACTGGTAGCATGTAAAAACTTGCCAGGTCAATAACCCCTAAAATGAAGTGTTAAATTTCACTACCTAAAAAAAATCATTTTACTAAACCAGCGCCATTAGGAGTGTCCCTTCAATGTAGCTTGTTTGTCTGAGCAGTTGTTTTCAATTTTTAATGTGAACCTAAGCAGCTGTTGAGTGAGTGCCATGTCTACGTGAGATAGAGTTGCACTTTATCAGACAGCTCCGATTTTGGCCAGACATTACTGTTCCACCTCATTAAGTGTTTCTTAATTGATGCCAATATTCAACTAGGCTTGATATCTTACGTTATTAAGCCTTATCAGGCAGCAAACACCTTTGTTTTCTTTTGAGCTCACAACAAATCTGGGTCCTTACACTCCCTGATTACAATCACAACAACTTTGCAAAGTTTCCACCTTGCAAATCATTGTTAAAAAAAAAACCAACCTTTGAAACTTTTTCTTCTTCTTGGCCGAGTCGTCAGGGGTCTTGAACTGACGTTCCAGCCGTTTCTGAGGTGTCTGCAGCATCGCCTTCGCAGATCTGACCCAGTCACTGACTGACCCTCTGCTGCCCTCAGCAGTTCTGAGAGGAAAGCCCTGAGAGTCCAGTCGGCTGGAGGTCACTGAGTTACAAATTGTTTCTCCATCAGACTCATAACCTGAAATCTCCGGCCTCTCCTCCTAAAAGTAAATGAATTATAACAATGATTATTACAATAATACTAATAACAACAATCTACATATACTAACAATATCACTTTTATTACATTTAAAATTAAATTAATATTGATATTACTCCCACTACTAATAATAATACATTTTTGAAATATATATATATGTCACAATTTGTAGTATAATATTACAATAATTCCCTGGTACTTCAAGGGTTAATTAGAGTTTGAGAAGTGGCTGCAGTCTTTGGTAGATTTACCAAAGTCAACAAATAGAATCAAAAGTCCTAATGATGGAGTGGGCGGTTATGGTACACTGACATACTGTCAGTCTGACTAATGACAACAAGATACGGTAAAAGCACTGCTCTTTTTTTCTTTTTTTTTTGCTGTATCACTGCACACTTCACCTGAGGGAATCAGTTCTCATGGAAAAATCCATGAGAAACCTGAGTTCCTGTCATGTGCTGACAAGACCAGCATACCACACTCTGTCAGCCAACATGCTCTCTTATTTGAATCAACTTGACCCTGCTAGGCGTCATGCCAGCAGACGTCACACTCCAACCAGCCATAGAGAAAAAAGGAACACTATGTTCCTGGCCCCGGCTCAAAAATGTTCTCAGCCGGCACTGAAAGCATTGTAAGTGCTGTGCTCAGTGCAGACTCATCCACTCTCATGTTTACCTGAACAAACAGGAGTTAAACAGATGTTTATGGCTCTGCTCCGTCATCGCAGCTCTGATCTAGCTAAGACCTGGTGCGTGGTGGAGGCTTTCCCCCTGGGACGTGGACTGAACGAGGCAGTTCACTTGGGAATGGGACCGTAAGAGAGCTCCACCTAGACACTCACAGCGTTAGCACAATAACACCGAGATCTGGCAGACATATGTCAAGTGAGTCAGCCGTGCATTTATCAGGAGTAATAAACTCTGACTTGGACTGCAATCCTCCCTCCCCCCGTTATCCTGTTAGATCCAGTTTGATTTACAGAAGGCTGTATAGAGCATAAGTTAAGTCAAACCAGGTTTATAGATCTGACTACTTTACATAAATCCAAATCTGTGGTGTATGGAATTAGATGGAGCTTTGGTGTATAAACATGCCAAATAGAAAACATTTACACAAATACATCTGTAACAGTGATTACAGCGCCCTGCAAGGCTGCTATATGACGACTTATCAATACAACTATGTTTGTTTCAGTGTCCTGTTAAATGATGTTGCTGACAGCAGCATATAAAGAAAACGGAAGTAGCTGGGTCTGTGGGGCCGATGTTAATCAGTTTTTAAGTTTCCTCTGCAAAAACTTCCTGCAAACTCAACATAGATGGTACTTCTTTTCAACGCTGTGAGTGGACAGACTTACTGCCACAACTCTGTCCGTCACGTAGTTCTTGTTCAGTGATAATGGAGGCCAACCTCAACCACATCACCTGAGTGATCTGGACACACAACTAGTTGATCGGTTGCACCTTGTGTGCAGGCTCTTTAGATAAACCCTGCGTGCTGTCAGGTCTGGGCCCTGATCACAATACCTTCACCACTCCTTACACATTCTCTTTCCGCGCCAGCCCTGCCTTTCACAAACACTGCTCCTGAATAACTTCTGAGAAGAGCAGTCAATCCAAGTCAACAGAGAAGCCTGCAGAAGATTAAACAAAAAGAAGTCTGTGGTGCAATTAATCGCATGCAAAATGCCGTACTGTACAGTATGTTGCCTCTTAAATTGTTCAAAACACAGGGTTTGCCTCCGAATAAACAATCTTAAAAATATTTGAGGTGCCAGAAACTGTCTAATATCATTGTTGTGAAAATAAATGTCCTAACTTTGACATTAAAAACAGAGAGCTGTTTTCATTAGAATGTGTCCATCATATGTTAACATCTACCTGCTTCTGTGAAACTATTACTATGTTAGAGAGCTGTTTTCATTAGAACGTGTCCATCATATGTTAACATCTACCTGAAGTAAGGGAATACTGTAATACTGAAATATTTCTCTCCCCACACTCACTCAGCACATTACAGCTATAGTACCTCTGTGTACCGCTGTGAACTTTAACAGTTTGGGATCTAATTCTACAATGTGCTCAGTGCAGCATCAAGTTTGAGCTGGCCAGGCCATTTGAGGACATTAACCGCGAGAGCAAAACTCCACCTGGTGGACAAATGGCAGTGTAACCGACTGTAAACAATTTTTAGCAAAATAATAACAGTGAAACAATAACGCAAAATAAGTTAAAAAAAATCAAGTTAAAGAACCCTGAGAGGACTCTGTGAAATACAATACAACACAGGAAATGCCATTGAAATTGCACATAATCAGCAGGAGACATAATCAGTGGTGCTTTTAAGACACGGTAAAAATAAAATGTATCTTTATGCACATTGTGCACGTAATTCACCCTGGTGAATGAAAACTAGGAAAATACTTGTTCTTTATTTAGATAACTACGACATGGCGTTGCACTTCTATTTACATAACTCTTAAATCAACCAAAAGGATAACAAACTAGCTGGACAAAATTTAACATGGTGAATGGCACCATCTAGCGCCTTTATATTCAAGTCGCACCCTTAGAATAGCGAGGAGGCTGCTATCTTGAGCGTGTATTGTGAGTTTGGCAGCGATCACAGTTTTGAATAGTTGAGCGGTTGACTCACATCTGCAGGTTTGGACAATGAATCTTTCTCTCCATCAAAAGACTCCGATTCACACTCTGAGATTTCCTGCTCACTGTCCTTGACGTCGTCCTGCTCAGACACGTTGAGATCACTGTCAGCGTCGATAACTGGAAGGTCATCTAAAGAGTATGAGGGTTAGATGTGAAGGGTTTTTTGTTTTACTATTACAGTAGAGTAATGCAGTCGTTTTATGCCCCTCTAACATCTCACAGCTCTGTGTAAATGTCCTAATCATGGAGCAGAGGCGGGACTAACTTTTCCAACCGTGTTCCGGCTGCAGATTCAGAGCCTTTTAGGATGATCTCTCTGTAAACAATTGTGCTAAAAGGTCATGATAGAGTAGAGTAGTGTAGTGACAACAATTGATGACAGATTTGTGTATTTTAAGTCATACTTCATGCCAACACCATGTGTAAATACATACACTAAAGCCATGTCGTTTCATTTCTATGAAAAATCTAATCTTCCTATTTGTAGATACTGCAATAACTGCACTGCTGCTTAAATGACAACACATCTATTCCTAGATTAGCAAAAAAAGGTGTAATATTTATGTTTATTTCCAGGAATATAATATTTTATCTATATATTTCCTTTACAGACAATTGAGGAAAAGGTGTATGTGGTAAAAGTAACAAATTTAAATGGAGTAAGTTAAAAGACCACAGTTAAAAAGAATTGTTGAATGAATTTAGTTGATTTAGTTTTATGCAAGTTGATTAACAAAACACACCCAGAACTTCTTGAAAAACATCTAATATATTGTTGAGCTTATTCTATTCTTTTACAAATGTTCTTGTGTTAAATATATGGGTGAGTTCTAGATAAAGACATCATCTTACAGCCAGATTGATTGTTTCATAGGCCATAAGTCTGTCAGGTTTTAAATATATATATATTTGACACAATTTACCTTTATCAGTGACGTTCATAAACAGTGCTTTGGTAAAAGACTGGATGTGCGTAGAGGGTCTTGGATGGAGACGCTGCTGCTGCTGCTGCTGAGCATCAGCTGAAATTTGATGCTTTTCCCGGGTATCGTAATCAGACCCTTCCTCACTGTCACTGTCACTCCATGCAATATCCACTGGGTCCTCATGTGTCTGCCCTGGGCAACAAAATATATTTCCAATGAAACACATATCCCAATACAGCATAGTTCAACACGCATTCTTTCAAACATTTACTGAGAAAAACATGAGAAAAAAACATTACCTGTAGAAGGGATCAACTTGCGGATGATGGACAGAGGTTTTCCTGACGACTTTGGAGTCTGTGAATAAAAAATGAAAATTCAAACACAATAAACAAAAAGAACACCTCTAATATTAGCCAGTAATACACCTTATTAAGTACATTTGACCAGTGTCTTTTCTCATCCACCCCTTATTCCTGTGGTTTATGTGCAGTTTGTTGAAGGGCAATTTGCAAAATGTCTTTGCTGCACAATAACAAAGAGTACTGACAAAAACCTACAACCCGAATAAGGTTATTATGCATCCTAATATTATGATGTAGTTTGTGCTATACACTGACATTTAAATGATCACACACACACATACAAAAACTTTACTGATTTTTACCTGTGGAGACTCCAAAAAACTGTCCCCACACTTCTCCCAGCTCTTGGCAGAGGAGGTGGACGAAAGAGATGCGGACTCCTTCCTTACATCATGTCCAACACTTGCAGCATCGTCCGGGAACAAAACGCACTGCAGGTCCCTAGACAACCGTTTACGCTAAAGAGAAAGCATCACGTGTTTGTAAACTAAAGTAGGTTTAGGCGAATATTTTGCAACAAATAAAACTTGTTGTGATTTGTACTGTTAAGGTAGCATTGGTGTAGACAGTAGCGCTCATTTTATCCTAGTTGCGTATTAAAAAGTTCAAAATGGAAATCTTGGTGCAGCAAATTAATATTACAGTATATGCCTAAAAGAAACGACCAAAAGTCAAGTGTTGCTAAGTGCTAACGCTAGCACGCGAGTTGCTTACCTTTCTGTGAGACATAGCGGCACATAAAAAACAAAACAACTTCACACTGCAGCTGCAGTTCTAACAGCAGACGGGTGCATTCTTTTGTTCAAGTTACCGTGGTGGCCCTGCAATGTTTTCTTCATTATTTCACTGCAATGACAGGCTAACTATTATGAAGAAATAACTTGTAGCTGTTGCTCAATCTAAAAGAAAGGGGTGTGTTTGATTATTTTACAGCGTCTAACGTAGACGGGCGGGCAACATGATTTCCCTAGTCTTCCCATTTTAGATGATATTCTTTTTTTCAATCATATTTACCAACCAAGCACACACAGGTGTGCAGCACCTTTTTTTATCCGTCATCAAACCAAAAATATTTACTGGGAAAAAAAATCTAAATAGGAAATGCTGGTTCAGTATGGAATATGGAAACGTCCTAAATAGATCGAATAAATATAGAAATGTATTTCGAGTTCAGTGTAAATTAAAGAAACAGATTAAATGCATAACCTATACACTCTATATAATTACACTCACCTGAAAAAGGTCATCCACTGCATCTTCAGGAATCTTATTAATGTTACTATAATGGTCGTTGAACCTCATAAAAAGCTGTAGTAATATGATGACCCTTTGTGTAGACTCTCAATGTAGTTTTATTTCAGCAAAATGGTCAAGTGCAACACTGTTCCAACAGCATTTCAAACGTACAAAAGCTCACTTTACACATTGTGTTTTGTTTTTTATTAAATAAGTAAAAAGCCGATCAAGTTATTCACAAATAAAATGCAAACATGCAACAACATTTTCGGGGGGAATGCATAATGAGTGGGACATGAAAAAGAAATAACCATTCATTAATTATTGACAGTACACGTTTACATTCCTTTTCATTTACACAATAATATATGACCAAAGCGCCATGGTGCGCTGCCCAGTTCAATATTAGTAAATGCACTATTAAGAAAGGATATAAATGTACTTACTGGAATACAGTATGACAGAATTACTCAATGAACTGAGCCATATCACTAAGACCTATGATTAAAAAATAATAAACCCCTCGATAAACCAAACAGCTGGAATCTTGACACACCCAAGGCTCCGGACGAGATTTGAACTTAAAAGCTGCATTATAGTAAGACTAGTCCACATGACTGTTTCTGTGACACACACTGTGGAGCGTACAGATTATCGGACATGTTGTGTAATTTGCAAAGAACAGGTGTCAAAGAGTCATACGTTGGCATCATACACTACATTTTTATTCACAATAATGTATCGTCCTCCTTCATGAAGTTGCAATTCAGAATCTTACACAATTTCTAAGGCTTTACAATAATAAATATGGTGAAGGTCTATGGACAGATTGTCCAATACAGAGTCAAATATCAGTGCAATGTATGGAGGGAGGTTAAATAAGAGCTACTATGAGCCCTTTCAGGGCTTTGCTTATTGCATTCAGGTGGATAATATTGTTGATATGCTAAATTAAAACAAAAACAATTAAAATAGGATAAAAGCTGGGAAGTTAACACTTGCACTGGCAGGTAACCGTTACCTGTCTAAACATTAGCATTACGTCACATCTACAACATGATTTGAATTGACTTTTTTTGTTTCCTGTACACATAAAGTCCTTGGAAACTTGTGTGATGGTCGGAGCTTGTCTGCTGGTGGAGGACATCACTGAAAGCCTGCCACAGCAGTTCACCAAAAGTCACAGAAAACATCGAGCAGTGAGCAGAGGGATACAAAAAAAATAAGAAAAAACCTGATGGTGCTTCTATTCGGGGGGTTGCTTTGTGTGCTCAGTCTTGGAGAACAAAAACATAAACCATGAGACAAAAAAATCCATTCAACAGTTCTCACATATTAAAAAGACGGATGTAACTGTGGAGACAGAGGGTGGAAGTCAGTATTCATCCTGTTCCTCCTGATCGTTTACCGTGTCCACATTTGCTTGCTCTTCTTCTTCCTGCCCATCACCTTCGGCCCCCTCTGCCTTGTCCTAGACAAAGAAAGGAACACTGATGCTTCAGTACACGTCATTAGACACATGCTGCAACTATTTAACCACCAGTAGAAAATAGGCTGACTCATTAATGGTTATTAAAGGGGAAAAATGATGAGTCAGTAAATGACTAACCTTCTCGTCTGAAGCATAAAGGACCTCCAGTATCTGCTGCACAAGTGAAGCATTTTCTTCATTGTGATCATGGCAAAGCATCTCCACATCTCGCAGCTTACTGAAGTAGAAGTCCCTCTCGCCCTGCACGCCCTCCAGTGCTGACGTTAATTCATTCACCTACAAACACACACGTTTGACTGTTTTGTAGGATGTTTAGATAGCATTGAAACCTTTTGAAGAACAATTATCCACAGAATAAAATCAATCTGTTATTGGAAATTAGTCTGTGGTCATTATTATAAGGTAAAAAGAAAATTCCGCTATATAGTTCCTGGTTATAGCTTTGTGAATGTCACTCCTCTCAAAAGACTGAATAACTCAGTGTAGTTCATTGGGTTTGGCTGCTGGTCACGTCATCCAAGTAGACTCTAGTTCACCTTGACCTTAGCTGTCCTTGGATTTGTCTACATTTGCAGGATCATGTTAAGGCTGATAGTAGACCAATTACATTAAATATACACAGACACTACCTAAATGGACCGTGTGTATCTGTGAGAGCTACATTTAAACCTGCTCAGCCATGGACAGAGGTCTCTGAATACATTTACATGTCTAATGTTTCTCCCCTGCCGAGCCGTGGTGAAAACACACATTCGACCTTGCACAGAGTCAGTGTATGGAAGTAAAGCTCTACTTGCAGACTGTATTGTATTTCAAGATAATGCATAGGATAAACAATGGGATGTCTCTTTAATGATTGTGCAGTATGAACCGTTATGTCTACTGATAGAAATGTGTCAGGTACATTTACCCTGTGACACACATATAATGAACAAACTGAGTATGTACTCCAAATGTGTGAAAACTGAACAGCTTTTGCTTTGAATCTTTCGTTGTTCCTCTGTTTAAGTGTTGTGTTTTATTCAAATCAAGTTCCCACTTTTTAAAAAGAATCCTAATTAAAAAAACTGATTAAGTTTAAAGTGATTTGGCTTCAGTTTTCTGAGCAACTTATTTACACAAGCATTTACCAACCTGATCGGTTAGCTGTGTGACCTGTGCTTCCAGTTCTTTCTCTCCTTTGCTCGGAGTTTGTGGTGCAGGGATCTTTTTGGCTGATGAAGGTCGGGATGTTGGTGTTGCTGACTTAGGGGTTGTAGAGGTTGATTTTGATGCTCCTGTAGACAAAATAAATAAATAAATAAATAGTCAAAGCCATTGCCATGTTTTAAAATTTGAAATCAACATTGTAAAAGAAAGACTGCAGGGAATTTTGTCAGCAGCACTGATTAAGACATTCTTGTAACAGTTCATATCTCGACCGTAGGTGCAACAATTTGTCAACAGCCTCAGTAGGAATCAACAGCAAATTGTCAAGGACAATTTTTTATATCAATAACTGATGGTTATGTCACTGTTTTTCTATGTAGGAGACTTTTTATTTTGGTATATGTCATCTAACTTTCTTATCATCTCTGCTGAGAGTTTCACCTTCACTGTAGCACAGGTGTACAATGCATCATGATCCTGTCTAAAGATAATAAACAAAGCAGGGTTTGCATATCGTTGGAGGATTTTCTTAACGACTGAGGATCTGTGATGGGATCACAGTGGACTCCTCAAGGTGTACCTACTGTAAGTGAGTGGGTGTGCAGCTGGGGAAACCTTTTAGATAGTTTCTCCAAACATTAAATGTGTAATAAAAAAAACTCCACTGACTGTGTATTTGACCTGATGTAGTCTAGTTTCTTTTGAAAGCTACATTGAAAACTAAGCAAAATCAGACCTACCTGCGGTAGGGGAACTGGCTGCATGGTGCGACTTCTTCGGAAGGTTGAAGATCTGCTCACCAGGATCAGGTGGTGGGATGGCATCCTGACCCTGTCTTGCCTCAACTGGGTCATATTCTTTACCATCATAGTTGGCGTCAAAGAACTTCTTAAACCACTGGATGAAATCAAGATTGTCCTGAAATCTGCCTTTGACCAGTTTCTCCACAGGAATGATCTAAATTAAGACAGAGGTGCTAATAATTTCACAGTAAAAAAATAAATAAAACATTGATTTTTAATTACAAGTTATTTTTAAAACCCACCTTGTCCACATTCATCCTTTTGAACGATGCTTGTAACAGCTTGAAATTGTGAATGTACTCATGCTCCAGTTTAGCTTGAAACTTCACCTTCTTAAGACTGATACAGCCGGGAAAGAGAAGATCCATGAACTGGCAATACGCAGCTCCTAAAGATTAAGTAAACAGTTAGTTGGACATATGAGCTCCAGCTTGGATTTATCATGTTTGTTTAATACTGGCAAAATCCTCTTGGACAACAAAATGCAGGGCAGCATTTCTCTATGTCAAGACTTTAAGCATATTTTTATAAAAAGAAAACTATTATTGCATGTTCCTTCTTTGCATGGCAAGAAAAAAGTAGAGCCATGCACGGAATAGGAAAGAACCATGCATGACTGTGCCAATCTGCATTTGTGTCTGCCGAGAGAAATTGGATTACATGGTCAGAGCAAGAGAACATGGCAGGCTACAAGTTTATTTATAGAAAACTCTCAGCCAGGCAGAGGTGCACTTGTGTTCACAAGTTGCTATAATAGAGAAAACAATTTGATCTCCAAAACATCTGAAAAGGTCTGTTTAAAAATGGGTGGGTGGGTTGGTGTGGGTGGGTTGGTGTGGGTTTAATTCGGTTCTCACCTGAGGAGAGTTGCTCCACTTTCGTATAATTTAGGCAGAGGATATCGTTCACCCAGGCAGTGATGTCATGCCTGCTCATAGTCTCCTGGGTAATTGAGGTAGAATATACGTTGACCGCCATCCCCCAACTGAAACAGAGATACAATAATACTTATTTAAAATATTCTATTGACTTATCCTCATACACATGTGGTTGTAACATGATTCTATCTCCAAAGCTCAAAGACAGAGTTTCTCACACCTATTCGAAGGAAACGATGACTTACTGTACCATTCTAGAAAAATAACAATGACAAGTTTTTGACCACAGCTTAGAATAATCAAGCAGAATTATTTGACTCTTCTATGTTTTTATGGACAGACCAGTTGTACAGCCTCAGCACATTTTATGACAGTTAATATGTAGTGATAAAATACAGATAGTTTATAACTCACTAGGACTATGTAATGGAAAGCTTTGCAGACTCAAGTCAATATTAAACACATTCTTGTGATTGCAAACTCCGTTATGTCACCGTTGTACAATGCCAACATTTGTGGACATTTTTTTAGGCCTGACATCAAGGTGTCCTTGGATGACAGTAAACAGGATCTTGCATGTCTTTTCATTTGGACTGTAGCAGTAACTAATAAACACTGACTCTCTTTCAATCGTCAACACTGTCCCTTTCTACACATAGGGGCTCTCTACATTTTGTCCTTAAAGTTAGGGCTATGTCAGCACTGCAGAAGTGAGGGGAGGAAGGAAGGAGGGCTGGGGGATCTCATGTCAACAAAGCGGATGTACATATGTGCTGCTAGCAGGCTTTGTTAGCCCTGCCAGGATAGCCTCCGGGGCTTTGCTGATGCCTGGAGTCAAACATGGGGGAAACCCGGACTGGTGCTGCAGGACATGAATGACTTTTATGGTCGACTCTCATTCAAACCGTGCACCCATGGTAACAACACACAGAGGAATCGAAAGAGGTAGCGGTGCTGTGTCACCGTAGGAATATTCTAGCGGGGGCGGCAGTCGATGTTCTCCTGTCATTTGACAAGCTGCAGCTCTTTTATCCACCCTTCCAAAAAACTGACACCACTCCTTCCAAACGCACACAAACCGGCTGCGAGCATTACGTGACACACACGAGCAGAAAGACGGTTACATTGCGTCAACGTGAGAGTGAATCAGCTAACATGAGGAGGAGACCGTGAGACAACAGGGAGAGATGAGCGGACCAGTGCAGATCAACACCGACACACGTCAAGGAGGAGGTGGAGGAGGAGGTGGAGGAGTAGGAGGCCACGGTGCAGCCTCGCGTCTCGTATATTATATCCTCCTTTTTTAATTCCTACATGACAGCACATGCGGTATTTCACTGCGTTACCTGTAGGCGCGCTCCCCTCGCACTGTATTTTTCCTGTAAGGAATGATGTTGGTTCCGTTGTCCGGGACGATGTCGTTGTTATTCTCTCCATTTGGGGAAAGGGCTTGGGTGGGACCGGGCATTTGGGTTTGCAAAATGTTGAACAGATATTCTGTTCTCTGTCTGGCCAGGAAAAGAAAAACAAAAACAGGAAAACAAGAGGAAGGATGGATGCCAACGCCGAGAAAGTGCTGCAGCTCCGGGTCTCTTCGCCTCTGTCTGCTTCTTCTTCCCAATCTATGCCCTAGTAGTGACGTTGCAGCACCCTGCACCACGTGATCACCGGGGCTGGCTATCTGTTCCTAATGGTGGGCTATTTCAGTGCACAACAGCACATTACATTGATCACTGCTGGGCTTGAACATCATCGATACAGCTCACATCAATGAAAAAGCGAATGTTTTTGTCATGTTTTTGCGACGCCACTTATAAAAAACACGAATCTGATTAAAAGAATAAAATGCAACCCATCCTATTTCCCCATAATAACCCATAGCTCACAATCAAACACTTGGCCTGGCACTGCATCAACCAGCAGATAAAAACAAGCATTAATCAAAAATGATTAAAGTGTTACTATAGGTAATGATAACACATGGTATGCATGTAGCATAAGGCTGTTTTGATTAAAGTCCATAGTAATAAATGGGTTCCACATTCATAAGGAGTGTATATACATTTATTTAATGCTTTATAGATATGTTACAGTAGTTATTGACTCAACTTACTATGAATAAAATCATTAACATTTATAACCTCAATAACCACTATAGCGTTTGCTGTCTCATGTTGTTGCCTCTTATGTCAGCTGCATGTCCAATTAATCATAAAATCAACCAGTAAAAGATGAACTGCCTCTTCTCATGTTAGCCAACATGTTGTTACAAAATGCAGAGAGTTGGACACATCCAGTCAAAAACCTTAGCATGCAGTTTGCAAGCAAAACTTCATTAATCATTAAATATTATTCACATTATCTGCTTTTTGTTTATATATTCAAGTTTTAGTCCCAGTGCATAACAAGGAATGATGGAAAAATAACAGCTTCCAAAACAGCAGTGGCCTGTTGCAGCAGCTAATACTACATGGACATGTTGCCTGCCAGGAATTTAATATAACTACGTCTAGCCTATTATTTATGGTTAACTTTGTTTTTCATTAGTAGCATGGATTCCAAGCAAATATGTAGTGCATTATGCAATGCACACTATAACATCTGTGTCCAAAAAAATTCTTTGGCAACATACAGTTATCATAAATATTGAAAAGACTTTTATTTAGGTTTTATTGTAGAAAATCATGGTAAGGAAAGACATTTTCTAAAATGTGTTGCAATATGCAACAAATTGTTTGCATGTTTACTGACCTGTCCTACTGACCTCTATCAATATTCTGTGAAATTCTAGCACAGCTAGAAAAGAGGTGTGTATTTTGAAATCAATACATCAGTCCATATTGCATTTGTCAGTCCACAGGGCAGCTGAGATTCTGTGAAGTGATGCCTGAGCTTTTTCTCGACTCAGCAGGGAAACTTTTTTTTTTAAGAAATCATGTCGTACAACTGGAGTAAGATAAACCTTAGTGATTTGTTTATACCTAATTTGTATAATGTGTGACTACACAGATTATATGTTGGACAATACAGTCGAACATATATGCAGTCATTTTAACTATACCACTACTGCCACCACATGGCCAAACTTAATGAGACACCTTTTGCACACAAGTTCAATACACTCATGGTGTCAAAAGCCATTAAAATAAAATCAGCCATGAGAATGTAGTTAATTACTCCAGTTAATCTGTGTGCAAAGAATAATTAATATCATCCTAAAATCACCAACCACAAGTCACACATGGATTAGCCGCCAGCTTAAGGTATTTAAAATAAGAACATAAGGACTATGTTGTTTCAAGACTTATGACCTTCAAATAAGGACAAGTGGAGCAGTTCGACTGCTACTGATCATTTCAACAATCTGATCTCTCTGATGTTGTCTTATAATGTTAATGTTATAACAATGTTTCCTGCCGTCATAATGCAAAACACATTGGTCATAACAGCTTAAATATATGATGTGCTACAGCCTGTTAGTGTTAGCTCGTACCATTCATGTTTATACATACTTTCACCAAGCTCTTCAAGTACTTATCAGGCACTTCAAGCATGGCTCCCTCAGACATCCATTTAAAAAAGTGCTTATCTCTGAGTGAAAATAATTTTCTAATGCTTTGTGTTGTCACATTTGATGATGGTGCATTTGAAATAAATGTAATATTTTATGTAAACTTACTAATTTAAGGACCTTTCACAACATTTTGTTGCCTGTTGGTTGTGGAAACAACAGCTAATTTAGGGTCTTCATCATTCATTTTGTTGGTCCTTTTTAATTAAACATAGAGCTAGTTTTGTAACCAAATATATTTATTTATAGAAAGTAAAAGAACAAAGGATGATAACAATGGCTCTCCTCAACACTGACTTCTTCTGTCACCACGTGCACTCACTATTATTGACTTCTGTCACCACGTGCACTCACTATTACACACTCATTACCATAACTGCTATTGTGTGTTTAAATTCTTAACAGAATCTTAAATATTTTATATGAAAACTCAACATTTCCAAAATATTGTCATTATTGTATACAACATTTAGTGCACTGTTAATCTGAGTATAGACAAAATCTATTGAGTCAGTAAATTATGAAGAAGGCTTTTCTCCATCTGACACCACGGTTAAAACAAACACGTCCACTCACATGTGCCGTTTCCCATCATGCTTTAATGGCTATCCTCACATTTAATGGATGCTAATGTACAAAATTGACATCATGTTATACACATAAGGCAATGACTTTAAACAAGCAACTGAGACCTGCACACTAGAAAAATATTTAACACATTTACATTTAAATTGCATCTGCTATTACGTGATAGAGTCTCTTATTAAACCAGCTGAATTCTTCCAATGGAATTCTTTAGGTTTAAATTGCAACCATAGTTTGAAAACGAGAGGACAGATGCACTCCACTCATACTTTTCCCTCTCACATTCTCTAGTCACACCCTGGAATGTCAATAAAAATGCCCCTTAAGACCCTTGGTCAACCATGATGGCGGCCCCAGAAAACTCTGCAGCAAGCACAAAGTAGTATTTTTTTGGCTAGTTCTTCCATTTCTCCCCTTTTTTAATTGGCCATATGAGCTGGACTAACATGCAGCGTTAGTCCAAAGTGGACACAAGGTTGTTGCCAGCTGTCCAACAAAAGCTGGTGCATGAACATCTTTCCTGGCAGCTGGAACCAATCCTTTTTCAACAGTTATGACATCAGTTTCTCTCATCACTAGCCAGCTTTAGAGGCAACACTGCATACAGCCCATTTCAAATGTTTGGTCTATTCTAGAAAGAGGAAAGTTCCCATGATTTAAATAAAGCACCATATGTTGGTAAGGTGAGAGGAACCTACAGTCGAAGACACACAAGGAAATTTCAGCAATTTACATTTTTTTTCTTCAACTTTCCCTTAATTCACTTCTTCTGTTCTGCATCTAATTCTACTGTGAAATATTTGATCTTGTGGGAAGTGATAATAAATCAAATAGCAAAATCTGCTGTATTTAACATTTGACCATGAGTATTAATATTTAATTTTATTATCTTTCTTACTTTACTTATTTATATGCATCTCCTTTATGCCTCTTATTTTACTTTATATCTGCCTCTTGTTTTTTTAATGCCCCCGCAGGAGCACTTGTGGCACTAAATGTTTTATCCTAATAAAATATTGGAATTTCGTATTTTACTGATACACTTTGGAAATCTTTGGCACTTCAAAACACCACATTAGGAGGAAGCGACTCTGCAACGTAAAAGCCACGCAATGGGGTACAACTAGCGTTTCATTCTAGCAAATCAAGTGATCCCTGTGGAAACACTTGAATTTGTTTCCTCACGCATGCATCAATAAAATCATTCCCACGATCACTTGACGTAAACATTTATCGTGGTACTCGGTAATATTGTCGATTGCATTAATCCTGTCAATCAGTTTGCCTTTTTATCCTCCCACATTGTCTTGAAAGAGCGCTTGTTCCCATCTGTGCTACAGTATTTTACGGGGCAGCTAGCTGCTGTAAATGAAGCTAACTCCAGAGACTGGGAGAATGACTGGAAAATATACTAGTTGCACAGCGAAGCAGAAGAGGTTTATTTCAATTGTTGTTGTTAGATCTTCAGTTTAGAATTCACACTTTGCTAAATGTATCCATGTCAGCAGCGTTGCACTGATAAAGTAAAGTGACAGCCGACATATGTCCTGACCCTGACTAACATCACATACCGGCGTCAACCACACGACCACGTCTACACGCTTTTGTTTTTGTTCACGCAAAGACCGTGTTGTTAGTTTAGAAATTAAACAAATATTAAACTTCAGTAATCAGTGCATTTAGACTCACCAGTGAGCTTCGTTCTGCAGGTTTTCAGGTGTATTAAAAAATGGAAAGTAGCTGTTTTCCGGCTGAGTCACCCCACCCTCAAACGCACCAGACTCGCAGCATCGCTGAGCAGACTGAAGGCATATGATTGGACAATCTTTCATCGGGATTTCAGGCGATTTGCTCAGGGGTGTCATAGGTCGAGAAGTTAACCAATCGTATCTTGATGCGTTGATCACTCAAAAAACGTCAAACAACTCTGTCTTATCCGGTGTGGTTTGATTTTTTCACTCCTCCCCCTTATATATATATTTAAAAACAATAGTAAGTATTGTTGATCTGATTATTTACAACTAATTCTATACTAATGCATGCCGTTTTTTAGCAATAATACATTAAAATAAGAATACTTTTACGTAAACATATATATCGCTTACAAATGAACAAAATGCACAGAATACAGTATACAGCATAATTAATTATTTCATGCATTATTGTAACCGAGTATCAATTGCTTACATTATTTTACGTAAGAAAACAGTTTGCTCTTATTTTGTCAGTAGACACAGTAGTAGTAGTACTAGTAGTAGTAGTAGTAGTAGTAGAAGAAGAAGGAATAGTAGAAATAGTAGTAAATAACAACAATAATATAAACAATAATTAACAACAATATTAATAATATTAGAAACTTAAAAGTCTCAAACGATTTCAAGTTTTATTGAATTCAGAGCGTTTTTTTAGGCTATTCAAACACTGTCTTCTCCGTTACTTTTTTGTAAATTTATTTACAGTACACCTACCACTACCAAGAGAATATTTCTCTTTTTAACTTGGATTCATACGTTTTTACAAAGGAAAACGAAAACAAATATTGCTAAGAGCAGTCAGTTGGACGGAGCATTTACACATTTTTAACAGCAGGGTGCAGTCACGTACTTAATAGAAAATACAGTAGTTGAAGCTTGGTACGAAATCCACCATTAATAAAGTAGTTTGTTACTTGGACTGGGAGAGTAGATAGAGTATTGCTCAGATGAATTAATTTGTTTTGTATGTATTAAAAATGTACTATTCTTTAGTGTTTTTTGCGGTGGGAGCTCTTACCTAACAGAGCAACAACAATATCACTGGTTTGCTTTTTGTGTTTTGTTTGCATATTTTCCCATTCTGTGCATGGGTTTCCCCTTGTACTTCAGTCTCTTCCTATAGGATTAGGTTAATTTATCATCTGAAATTAACAATATTTCGGAGTGTCGACCAGTGAACTGTCTAGGTGTAACCTACCCCTCACATGACCATGAAAGGGAAGTGGCAAAAATAGATGGATGTTTAGATACGTTTGTATACAACAATAATAAAAATCAAATATCTTTACACTAGTTTCAAATACTGCTAAAACTGCTTAACTAAAAAAAAAACTCTCCTCGTATGAATGTGAGATTCAGAGCTGGATGGCTGCTTTTATGTTACCTCAGATGGTGGCTCTGTGTGATGAATTATAGACAATGGGCTGAGGGCAGCCAGCAGTGCATTTATGACAGATAATAAATGTGCACTGCCAAACCAAGCCAATTGAAGTGTGCCGTTCTGGAATGGAAAATGAAAGAGAGAAGGAGTTCATAGGCAAGAATTGTGATATTGTGTCAACACTTTATTATGCATCACCACCATGCAAAATCACTGCTATGAACTTGCTCAAAAATCAAACTAGATATATTTCACACATTTATGATTTTAGATTGGCTTGCCACTGTTCTCAAAGTGACAGAGTAAAGTTTCACACACACTCGGGAAACACATTACCGAGTGTGTGCGGGCGTAGGTGTTTTGTGTGCAAGTCATGCACAGATTCGAATAAGAGCACTGACGTTAACGAATGAGGAGACGACGAATGATCTGTGATTGAGCCTTAATTCATAAACCATTAATAGTAAACACTATTTGTTACCAGTACATACCGGTATCTTACCAGTATACGCCTTTGACCTATTTGGAGACGTGTGTGTCACATCCTTTTCGTCCCTATGTGTTAAGACATTTTTGATCTGTCTTTAAGTCAACATTTTTGCGCCAACAGTGTAAAATCTGTTACTGTTTAATCACATCCCGCTTGTTCGCTACATGCTGCGTTGACAGTCTGAACAAACTCTCTGAAGAGGTCATCCAGTCAGTTAAGGCAGGGTGCATTGGTATCGTATGTGAAGTAAAACAAACCTACATAATCAACAACCATTTGCCTTTTTCCACAAAAACGATTAAAAAATACAAAAGCCACATGACATCAACAGTGAGAAATAGGAGAAATAGCCATATATCAAAGCAAAAAAACAAAACAAAAAACACAAGGCTAGAATTTCACATTTACAAAAGAATGCAATTGATGTCATTAACAACTTCAAGTCCAGTGTAAGTTTGAGATTCCATAACCTGATTCAAAGTCACTAAAAATCAACTCAGACCCATTAGAATTGAAACAATTGCCACCCCATGAACATCATGTTTTGATGTACAATGCAAATAAGTCCCCAATAATTAAAATAATACTAAAATAAAAATTGAAATCATATAGTTTTTATGGCACCTGTGGTATTATTGACAGTTCAATAATTAATCTCTTTACATTAGCTCACAGTTTCACCTTAAATATGTGGTTGGTTAAAAATATATATCTTTACATAAATGTATCCTGTGGTGAGACTTGTTTTTTTTTTTCTACACAGGTTCTTTGTTTTTTTAGAATGCCAGAGCCCAGTGTTGTCGTGTCCAGTGTTTTCTACTTGTGTTGCTTTTCATATTGCTCACCTGCATGAAAAAAAGAGACTCTGTTAGATTGTACTTAGCTCTAACAAGTACAAAGAAAATAAATGTTGATGTGGTTATAATATGAAAAATATTCCTCATTTTAAAAACTTACCAGTCCCGTGAACAAACATAGTTACTGCTGCAGAGTAACCTGTAAAAAGCAAATTCAATAGCTTAGAATTAGAAATAATGTACATATACATCTTTTATCTTCCTTGCAGTGGATTACACAGCTTTAGTTATGTTATCTTTAGCTGTGTTGGTAGTAATAATAATCATAAGCAGCTGTGTTGGTAGTAATAATAATCATAATAATAGTGCATGTTTTTGTATAGTCTGATGATTGTTTTCCTACTGTGGAGATGATAAAGAAATTTGGCTCCACTTTTTGAGTATCAAAACCGTCAGGTGAAATGGGCTGAACAGACGTATTTTCTGTCCCTTTTTTCAGCTTCATTTGCAATCACCAGAGCATCTCACCACTAATGGATGACTTTACAACCACTCAGAATTGTTTTCTGCATATTAAACTATGTATTGTAGTTTTTGGGGTTCTATTTTCCTACAGTTACAGCCCTAACCATGACATTTCCTCTTTCTCTGCTTCAGTCTGGTTCTCACCATGCATGTCTTTTCCGGCTCCTGCCTGTGCTTTATGAGCTCGTCCAACTTGAACTCGTCATCCAGCTGCCGCTCCAGGTCATGCTCAAAGCAGTCCTCGTCTACAGCACTGGCCCTCCTGCAGTACAGTGGTTTGATATGAGACCAAAGGTGAGCGCCAGGGGAAGCCCGGTTTCTTCAATTGTCTTTTAAATACTATGAAAATATTCAATTGATGGCTAAGCAGTCCTACAGACATTTGTTTACAGTGGTTTGGACAACTGAAGATGAGCTGAGCGCTGAAGCATACAGAACGGGATAAAAACCTTGTTTTGTACATGAAGGGGTCTGAGGAGGTCGTGGCCATCAGATCACCACGTCCGTAGTCTGAGTCCACAGTGCTCTCAGTCTCACTTCCTCCCTCTGTTTAATAGGAACACATTAAATCAGTTATTTTTTATATCTCTCAAGGACAAAGAGACAGTGAGCACATTTTTATTAGTTCCTACCAGAATTTAATTCCCTGACTAGTGACGACATGGTGTTGGTGATGGAGTCAGCAGCAATGAGCAGGTCATTCCTCAGATTTCTTCGTGGACCTTTTAAACAAAGGATAAATTAAAAAAAAAAGAAGTCACCATCCACAGAGAGACGGGCAGGAACCTAGAAATTTGGTTTCAAAGTAACTGATGAAGGCGATATAAATACTTCTGCATTGGCATAACAATGTTTTTTGTATTTGTACTTCAGTTCTTTTAACTATGATTATTACTACGAGGAAGTGTTTCTTATTCAATATAATATGATATGATATAAACCAATCAGAATGACAGCTACCTCTGTAAGAATATGTACTGCAAATTTACAGTTCAAGCAAACTATATTCTGCTTCTCAATCCCATACTTTCTTCACCTTGAGCAAAGGCTTCTTGAACGTCCCCTCCCACGCCCATGAGTGAGTCCTGAGGTGTGTGAGTTGGGGTCGTGCAAGCGGAGTCCGAGTGGATGGGTGTGGGTATTGACCGGCTGATGGTGTGACTAGGGGAAAGGGGGGGGGGGGCGGGGAACACACCAGAACAATATAGAACAATATAGTCATGAGGTAAAGTAGTGGAAGACACGACCGTAGAGAAACAGCAAGAGAGTGGAACGGTTCGAAAACCCGAGTCAAAGTGTTTCTTATTAAGGCAAACACAATAAGCAGTAATAAAACTTTTTTTATCCCCTCAGCTCCAAACAGAGCAGTGAACCTCCAGTTAACCCTGGTAAACAACTACAACAACAATTCAGTTTAATAGGTTTTAGTCTCAGTTCTAAAAATCCACACATTACACACATGAAGGGTCATTAAACTGGGTTTTCTTGGAATGCAACACTATTGAGATACACAACATTTTGCATGAATTTTCCAGGCATGACCACAAACCAAACGAGACAAAAACAGTGGTAGGGTTGAGTAAACAAAAAGTCTTTCAGATTGTGTTGGAAAAAAACTATATTTAAAGCATCATTTTCTACTTCAATTTATAATCAAAAAAACTAAAAGTTCCTGAGGTTTTTTTCTAGACAACAACAAAGTCATTTTGCAAACAGGCGTCCAAGTTTCCATTTATAAAAAAACCCAATGCATCACGAAATAATTAAAAAGAATAAATAGAATAAATCAGATTTTTTTGGGATGATTGCCTCAGAAACAGCTCTAACCTTTGTTCACCATTTTCATATATGTGTGTGTATATATATTTATTTATACATACATACTGTATATATGCATAAAAAAGGAAAAATGGTGTTAAGAGGAGTGACTTAAATAGCGCTTGGTTGTTCAGGATGGATGCCCTCTAACGGACATTATGGGTAATTTCTCAGGTCTCCTCATCTGTAAAGTGCAGTGTTTGCTTTACATTAGCTGGAGTGATCAGCCGCAGCTGGGAGAAATTGTAATACAAGGTACATTCATCATCTGGCCATATTGCCCACCACCTGTATCAATATGAGAAGCTACAGCACATGCCCATGTAGTATTATATAAACATGCAAACACAAAAAAAAACTGCAGTATAATTGATTCTGTCCAAAAAGCAAATGTAAAAAAAAAAAAAAAATACTACAAGCACATTTTTGTCTTCAGGAAACAGAGTGTGTCTTTGTGCGGTAATGACGAGGGCGACTTGATTTGTATGTGACTACTGTGCAGTGAGCGTGATGAAAGACACGTTTCTGCTACCTTGAGAAGCATCATTAGCTGCTCCAGCTGCACCATGAGTTCCCTGCGACTCTCCTGCAGACTAGACATTCTTTGTTCCAGCTCATCTTTGCGTTGCCTAACAGAGGAAACAAGGTGTACAGGGTGATGATGTTGTAATGTCATGTCAGCAGGTAAAAAATGGAGAAGTAAGAGGCGCTGTGCCCATCTGTGGTGTCGAAACATTTTGCGTCGCACAGAAAACACACAAAGTTAAAACACAAGTGTGAATTCTACTGCAGCCCAAGACAGAGACTTGGACTGAGACTAACAGATTAGTTATTAATAATAATAATAATACTGTGACTGAATGATAACATTGAAAACAAGTATGAAAAATAACAGGTAAACCTTTATAGTATTTTCTGACCACTATTAATGTATTTTAATTTATTTCCAGGTTAAACTTATGCTGTATATTTTTTGTATATTTACATGTTGCATATTTGTGTCATGGTGTCAGATGTTGTAAATGATGATGCTCATCTGCCAACATGACTAAAGTCAAATGGCCAGACTTCACTCTATCTTTCTTCCAGTTTTCCGTTTCGAGGTCCCGCCCTCTCTGGTGCTGAGCAGTTACCTGAGAAGACGGAGCTCAGCCAGCAGAGTTGGATTCTGCTGAGCTTTGTCAGGAGGTGGTTGTGACGCCTCCTCATGCTGGAGGCGCAGACGCTGGATTTCCTGCAGAATTTCTCTGCGACGGCAGACAAATATAAATCAGTAAACATTGTGAAATGTTTTTTTTTTTTTACTTTTGTACAGACTGTATTTTTATGTATCCTTTACTTAAGCAGTTAGTAGCCATCAACTGAGTATACTTCAAAGAATAAGAATAATAAAAATGTGTTTGCTTTTAAATAAACACATGTTAACTTTGGTTTTCTATTTCCAGAGGGACTGAAAACAATACCAGTGACTGTTTTAGGTGATGACGTGACACACTGTAGGTAATCCATGTGCTTTCAGTTCAGTATTTATTTCTGTCTTGGCATTCCTCTGGAGACAAAGAGCAAAGGGCTGAACAGTCTCAGAAAGCCAGTCATCCCTAACCTGTTTTTGCTCTCCAGCTCAGCAATGAGCTGCCTCTGCTGTTTGTTGGCATCCAGAGAACAGGGCAGGTCTTTGGGGACGCGCTGCTGTTGAGCCTGTTGGTGAAACCAAGCAAGGGACAACACGTGAGCTGGCTCTACCTCAGGATGATGTCACCCGCTTCCTGAATTCATATCTCACAAAGGGAAACACAAAGGTCGAGCCACCGAACATCCGTCAAGACCTCTTAAAAATTACATCAGTGCGCAGGCACAAGAGAAGTGACCGGTGCCCTTTGACATTTAAGCAATAACACGAACAGACAGTGACAGCACAGGTTAAAGCCTCTTCTTATCAAGGACAGGGTTTTTTCCTGATCTGGAGCCTGATAAACTCCAACATATTATTGGATGTCTAGTATCGTTTAGATATTTAATCTCACCGCAGCATCAGCAGCCAGTCTAGCAGCATAGCGGGCAATGAGGCTGTGCTCTTCATCTTGATGGTTACTGCTCTCGAGCAAGCTGATCAAGAGGAAAATAGAGATGGGAGTCACAACATGACACAGTTAATGACACACAGCAGAAGAGATGTTAAATATGCAGCAAGGAAACAAGGAAAAGTCAAAGATAGAAAACACACAAACACACAACTCTCTTTAAATAGTGTGTCATTACAACAAATATAGAGTAGTCGTTTTGAAGGGATTAGATGGTCATATTAATGCAGTCAAACCTAATGACATTACTAGAATGTATACAGTAAGGCTGCCGGCTTCGTCCTTCCATCAGTTTTGGGATCCTTAAGACCTTTCGGACCTCGGGTTTCACTGGTAACATTTGTGTGAAAACGAGGATTTTTCTGTCAAACTGTCCAACAGCATGCATCATTAGTACTGCCAGACATTCAGAGTAGGTTTTAAGTGAAGGACAATGACGTTCTGCGGCACAGCACACAAGCCTCCACACCCACTAACCATGTGTTGGGGTTGTTTTGGAGTAGTGTGACATAGAGGCCGATCAGAACATGTTCGTCTGCAAGTCTATCTGCAACATCAAGGTTGTAGTTCAACCTGGAACAGTGGAGGGAGCGTTTTTATAAAACAATGTTACACAGACAAAAGAGAGAGACAGAGAGAGAGACAACAGAAACCACAGAGATCAGGATGAGGACAGATCAGCTGAAATGCAGCCTTTCATGGCTGACTAGATAGAAACAAGGCCATATTATGTTTGGGAGAGCCACCGCCGATGAAGGCCAGGGCCAAAGAATAAAGACTGTGTTCATGAACTGTATGAGCGTCATGCACTGTTGGAAGCTCCAACCAGCACTGATCACTCAGTCCTCTGTTATTAAAAAAAGTCGTTATTTTTTTAGGTCACACACACTCTCCTGTACATATGAAACATGTAGAGTCACTTTATTGAAATTTTGAAATTTGAATTGTATGATGTACACTTCATCTGACGTCACTAAAACAGCTCCTCTGGTTTAACAACTCTCTACAAGACCACCAGTTTAGTAACAGTGTCCTCAAGGCAAATTAGCACTCCCTGGTTCATATCCTGTAATTATTTATCATTTATATTAGTTCACACATGCATTAGAGTCATAATAAAGGCACTCTCAAATGCACACCTGTGTCACTTACCCTCTCCCTCTCAACAGATGTGGAGCAGCCCCAGTCAAGGGCTTTCTCTGCTCAACATCATTATTCTTGCTGTAAGGCAAGCCATTTATATTCAGTGCCATGAAACCACAAAAAGGCATAGGGACAACACACAGAGACACACACACACACAGAGAGAGATACGATAAAAGAAAATAGAGACGTTGTGGGTCAAAGAGTGGTTCTACAGAGCGCAGGCCTTCAGGGACCGTGGCCAACTGAAAAGATCTGTTGTCAAATCCAGGGCGTCTATTGTCCCTGCTGTTTTGTTCACTCACTTTTTGGTGGAGTAAGGGTTCCCTGATGTCGGCATGGAGTGGGAGAAAGAGTAGTCGTTAGGGACGTTCACCGGTCTTGGAGGCCTGCACAGAAACAAACAAAGTAAAGTTAAATGTTATTAGAGATATGAGACGGATTACCTCAACACCACACATGAAGAGCTCTAGTTTATTGATACAATTAGTGATGGTAAGAGATGGGTAACATTAATGGTTGAATTGTTCTAGTAATAGTGCTGGTGTGAGGATTGTTCAGATTGATTTGTTTTGGTGTTTTATGACCGTATTTGTGTCTATATATGTGTATATGTATGCAGTTAATATTTGCCTTTTCAAAAATGGTAAGTAAAATATAATCAAATCATCCTTGAAGTGATGCAAAAATATACAATATTTAAATTTTTTTAAAATCTACGTCACTGGTGGCCATGAAAGATGCATTTCGAAAAAGAAATCGTGGGCCATACAAAACCTATCCAAATGCTGCACATTTCTCTGATTTGTATTAAATTGCTCTGTGACCCACTTTTGGTCGCTGTTTGTGAAATGCTTCACGACTGTCACTGGTTTGACGCATTCATCTTTTGGCCAAGTTGTAGGTTTTGCTGTTGCCTTCAGTTAAGAGACTGAACAGAGATTTCCCATTCTTTCACTTCACTTAAACACACCGTCACACTCCAGTGGATTAACTGTACATTATTCAGTTAATAGAGATAAAAGTCGCCAGTTTGACACCCATCCCTACCTGAGATCTAGTCAACGATTAAAACATGCAATGACTTAAAGGAGAGACGACTGGGTCAACAAACACGGTGATAGTGATTCAAAATAATAATAATGAGTAAAAAAAAATGATGCCCCATAAAACATATTAATTTGGAAATGTCAAACAGTAGAAAAACAAAAACTCACCACGTATCTCTATTTTGAGCAGAATAAAAAAACAGGAGAAGGGACAACAATAAAGTTACAATACAGTACAAAACAGTAGAGGCAGAAAGTGCAGTTTCAGGATAAACAGTGCATTTGATCATTAAATGCATAAATAAATGTCATAGAAAGGCAGGATTTAAAAGCAGTAGAAAAGAGTCAGTCTTCACAGACTGCTGGTGTTCAAATGGTGTTTTTGGAGATTATATCATACATGTGAGTGAAAAGTAGATATCTAAAGAACCGAGAAAGATTGTTTAAAAACTAAATTATCAAATAAACATAGGGTGTGCACATTAGCAACAAAAGCAGCTGAAGCTTTGGATTTTTATCTGATTAGGTTGTTATCAGCAGGTGCACTCCTTTGTCTGCTTATTTATAAGGAAATGCAAATGTGCAGATCACTATCCTTCCTGAGGCTATAATTTAGCCTCATTGATCAGTGGAACCAATACACTTTAGACTGAAGAGGAGCCACAGGATAAACATCAGCTGAGGGCTGAAACCAGGCGTTTCAAAACGGGCCACATTTGCCCGGGGCGGGGGGGCAGATGAACTTACACAATATGAGCTAGGTTGAACGGTTCCTCTGGCGTCTCCAGAAACATGGGGTGAAGAGGCTCTCCACTGGTTGCACAGCTCAGCGACTTACTGAGCGCGCGGGATAACTTCTTAGCAGGGGATTTCTGGGGGAAACAAAGCAGTGAGGCACAGACTGTGAGGACGACGGAGACACTGCTTTACTTTTAGCACACGTGACAACGAGGTGGCGACCAACGCCGTCACCTGCGTTGAACAATTGCCGCTCTCTACGACGTGGTGAAGCAGTGCGAGAATAGCCACCATGACTGGTCCGGTGCAGACACACCCCCCTCTGCCCGCCCCTCTCCCCTCCTCTTGCTCCCTATGTCACCTCCCCCACCTCTTACCCATGACGTGTACTCCTTCATTTGGTGCTGGTTGCTATGGGAACCACTGGCATGCCCCCTCCAGAAGCAGTCCTGACAGAGCTGGTAATTATGACATTGCTGGCAGCGGTAGCGGAAGCCCATCATACTCTCAGTATGGCAGTAGGAGCATTCGACCGGGTGAAAGACTGCAGGGAGGAGAGAACGGATCAGAGACACAAAGACACACACTCACACAGACTCACTGACTGACACAGACACATGTACACAAGCGAATGTGGCAGCAACCACAGATGTTTTGCACCTTTAAATAACATAAATGTGAAGCGTGCATGTATTCTTGAAATTTTGTATAAAACATAAAATAACACAAAAGGTAGAAGATATCTGCAGCAACCTTGTAATCTGCATGTATTTGTTATGTACGTGTAAAATTACCACGCAAAGATTCACGACATTATTGGTAGCGTGTCATTCTATCTGTTGATACCTACGTAGGCTGAGAAACTGACCAACAAATGCAGCAAGGTTTTTACACTGCCGAGCCATCCATGCACTGAGCAGACAGCCTTCAGTCTCCTCACACAGCTGACGTCATGCTCCTGCACCACAGCTGAGCCATTAGCATTCCAGATAAAAAGCTAACCAAGAGCTAAGACAACACGCTCTCCCAGACGTTAGACAATGACAGCAAAGTTGAAATTCACAATCTGTGCCCAGCCAATAACACGGATCATTCTATTCAACAGAGAGAGTGGAAAAGATTCACTAGAGAAAGTAAAAAGACAACAAATGATGACATATAACATGGGCCGCTGAGTGATACTCAACGCTCCATGCTTGCAAATACTAACACAAACCTTCTTCCAAACTCTTGAAAGGCAGATGCTGCAGATTGAAATATTCATGAAGTGTGAACATGTCACAAAGTTACTTTAGCTCATATGGAGGTGGACTGTGACGATGAGTGCATCACTAACACCCTCTCATGCAGGGGGTGCGATGTGCATTAGCGTTGTCTTTATCATTCGTGCGGGGGTGTGTCTGCCTGAGTGATCAGAGTGACTCAAGTTCGTGATGAACTTCACGGCCGTCCTCCAGCACTGATGCTAGGCCTCTAGATGTTTATAAATATTCTCACCGTTCTCCACGTTGGCGAGCCGATGCATGAGCGGCAACCACACCAGACACTGAGGAGGCGGGTCTGACATCAACGTATCCAGGAATGTGTTGAGCGAGACCTTTTTCTGTAGAGGCGCAGCACAGAGGAGATTCACCCACACCGTTGAAGCCGGAGCAATCACACATCTGCTTAACACTCACCTGTTGTGCGAAGCAGCCTCTCGCCGCTTGTTCTGTGTAACCGAAAGACGGCCCCTCGAAAACCACCATGGGTAATTTCAGGACCTCCCTCAGAAATTGGTCAAACTGTGACTGTGCCATTATTCCAGCAGAATCTGAAATCTGGGAAAAAATATCTGGAAACAACACAGGGGGAGATTATGCAAATTAATCAAACTAATTACCCACCCAGTCAGCTAATTACAGTGTTACACAATACAATTATCCCAGTTATTTGTGAAAACAAATCAAAGTAAAGCAGTTATTCAAACAAGATGTTATTGCACACCCTGAGATGGCTCTGCCTTTCTGCTTCTTACATGCTGTTACTGCAACTTTAAATTACCAGATTATGTCATAACTCTCACACAGTGACTAATGACTTCTTACTTTTTGGGCCAGTAGACATAGAAAAAAAAACACGTGCGGAAAAAGTAACATTAGATTTGTAGTTTAAATAGCAATACGCTGCTGAGACTAGCACAAACTGAGCCAACTTTATAAGGACACTGCGTTGATTAATCACAGGAGGAAGTGTTGGTTTTCAATTTCATTTTTCACAATTTAAAAACCAAAATAAGGTTCTTCTTACATCTTAATTTGTCCAGGATTTTCCCTCCACAGATGGTCGCTAGTGCCATCTTCACAACAAAGACAGATATCTTGCCGAGGCTGTCCCTAAAATGTGCAAAATACATTTTAATTTGTGCAGATTAACATTTTAAATATTTTAATTATTAGCCAATATAATTAACAAAACAAAACAAAGAATAGTAGTCAACCAGCCAGTGTTGCTCATCTCACAGGTTACTCACGGGTCATAGGCCGCTAGCAGGAAGTTGAGCAGCAGGCTGATGGACTGATCTATGTTGATCTGGTGGGTGGTGGGCATGCGTTTGTTCAGCTGGTAAAAAATGGTGGAGACCACCATCTCCAGACGAGCCACAGAGAGCTCCGTGTTGAGGTCCATGGTGTTGAGCCCGTTCTCCCGAAAAGCCTCGATGACATTCCAGATGTCCACCAAATGCACTGAAGAGCCAGCAGGAAACACACACACACCAAATATAAGCGATAATGCGAGGTGAACAGTAGGGTTGTAGTCAGTTTAAAAAAAAAACAAACATACTTACAGTTGCATTTCTTCTGCACAAATCTGAGTTTACAGGCTGTTCTGTACGTTGATAATCGTATAGAATCCAGATCCTGAGCCCCTGAAGGAAAAGTTCACTTTCAGAAAATCATAATAAAATGACATTAGAAAATAATTATAGTCATAGAGTATATTTATATTGTGGTAACAAAAACGTTTCTTCTAAGAAATCAGCTACTGCACCTGTTAAACTGGGAGGAAAGTGTGTGGTTGTGATGTGTATGCCAATAAAACTTTGTCATAGTATAATTTCATTTCTATATGAGATGCATTCGAAGTCAGTGCCTTCGTGGACCAGTAAACTGCAGAGTTGTCGGCAACAATTTTCTAAGGTCAATAAGTCGTTCTAAGAGCGTTTTATAATAAAAATTCTGCTTCTCTAACTCCAGCACTGTACACTGCAGAGGCAAAATGTTGATAGTCACCTGGTTTGGACACAGTAAACAATATATGTATTTAATAATTATAGACTTTATAACCCAAATTGTTAGTTGAATAATGGTTAAAAAAATGCATGTGACAACCACATATGAAAACAATTAATTCACCTCAAAATGTTGCTCCTTCCTATGTTCAGTACAAACAATGATAAAATAAACTTTTTAAACTTATTATTTAAAACTTAAGTATTTAAAAATTAATTAAAATTATTCATTAAATGAAGTAACAAAAGTTCTGAAAAGGTAAAAAGGGAAACTTCAGCATTAATGATCCCATAAATAAATAAACAGGGCCATCTCTAAACTGTTGAAAAAGCAATAAAACAGGACAAAGAAACAGAACTGTATTTTATGTTGTGTAAAGAGTAAAAAGTGAATGTGCTCCAGTCACAGGGCCCGTCAGTCTGTGTTTAAAAAGCATTTGGTCGACACAAGGAAAGAAAAATAGCCTTCAGTGAAAGTTACAGGAGATATTTGCCATTTTTATGGCCAGTGTGTAAAACAGCTCGGTATAAATCACGCGGCGACGTGTCCGGGAGCACTTACTCATCTCCACAAACAGTTGCCTTCTATCTGCCATGTTGTCGCCTCTCTGCCCACAGTCTTCAATCATTCTGGTCAGGGAGAGGAAAAGAACAGTCAGAGAACATGTGCTGCAGTTATGTTCCATCTACACCATAACGGTTGATCATTGAAAACACACTACTTTATAATAACTGTTGACGTTAAACTGTGGTCTTGCAAAGTGAAAAATAAATGCTATGCAATACAGCACAGCAATAAAACACAATGAAAACGTAATAATAATTCCCCATAATTATTACCCATACAAATGGATGCAGAAGATGCAGATTCACACATGTAGCCGGGGCCTCTCCTCAGTTCACAGTTCATATTAATCATAACTCTAACCCCAGCCCTAATCCTAATCATCATCCTATAATTTAGCTTCACTTCTCTTTTCTTCTTTCATCATCGTTGATGTTGCGTCTTTAAACATGGGGGCGGGGCTTAGTGCCAACTCCAAAACCTACAGCACGGCAGCTCCGTGACTGAGGCATTGTGAATGACGGTGGGCAGGCAGTGATAGGGTTGAGGTGTGTTGATTTTGTGTCTGTAGTTATCACTGACTGTCTTAACCTACAGCTCAAGTGTTTCATGCCATAGAAGTTCCATTATAATCTGTGGCTTTTGAAAAGCTGGACAAATACGACATCACAATTTCCCAAGCAGACAGTCCTAATGCTACAGGTCCTGGTTGTGTTACCACCAGTGGACACTGGACAATTGCTATTTGATGGGAGAGGTAAAAAAGTACCTGACTGTGTGAAATACAGGGTACCCAGTGCATTCAGTCAGAACAACCAGGGGCACTACAACTCATTGTGCCCAACGGGGGGAATCAATGGGCCATTTGGTCCACGTAGCAGGTTAATTTAGCCGGGGGGAGGCCATGGGGGGGTTGGACATAAGAAAGCAAAAGGACAAGACTTTGAAAGGGGCAGAGCAGCAGAGAATGCTCACACTATGCCTCGCTGCACAATGTCCAAGGCAATCTAATACACCTAGTCATGTGGTTTGTTGCCATGGCAGCAAAGAACCCAGCCACTCTGTTCGTAAAAACATAGCACCACACGGCCATCCCTCCACACACACACACACACACACACACAAACACCTTTCACTGCAGACAAAGTTTCTTTTACAAACTACGTGGGAGTAAGTTTGTGCTCTAGTTAATATCTTCTGTGATAGCGCTCAGTGGGACGACAGTTAAAACTCAGTGGCACGTCTTGGGCGAGTGGATTGAAAGCACTTTTTCTGCAAAACAGTCATTCAGGCGTGTTATTTCAAATTACTCTGACAGTAATTGGCAGACCTGAATATTATGGTGCAGTTGCCCGTGGTGCAGAAATTAGAATTATCCCCGTGTTCAATTGAAAATAACTGCACAGATTTTCTTTTTGCTACTTTTCTTCAATTTACACTGTTTTGTATTTTTGTTTTTTGCAGTCAGATTTACAGCTCAACTCAATCATTAAGCACATACACAAACCTAAATATAGCTCAAAGGCCTCAAAATAACCTGTTTAAAAAAACAACAAAAAAACTAAAGATATTTTAGAACTACAACCTAACTGACATCACAACATTAGCCATACAGAAAGATAATCTGTAAACTGACTAAAAATTACCAAGGAAAAAAAAGGGGAAAGGGAAAAAACTAAAATTTAACTTGGCAGTAGTGACAACCTTTAATATAATCTTTCTAAATATAATATTACTAAGAAGACACTGTATGTTTCTGCAGGAAATTATGTCATTAATTGTCACAATGAAAAATCCAGGTGATTAAAACTGGCTTAAATGTTTATAATGCAATGCAAAAACAACAGGAATGACAAATCGCTGCTCCACTCTTGGGTCAATGATAAATGAAACTACAAGTGTAAATCACAGATGTTCATGTAAAGTATCTGATGTCCACGGTCCACTACAGTATATCACCATGAACGTATTACACCATCTCATCCATCACTTACAGTTTAAACAACTGTTAATGTGTATAAATATATGTAATGTTTCCATAGATTAACATCAATGTTCTTTTCCACCTCGGCAACACCGGCTAGGTGGCCTCCTCTAGTCTGAACGGTACAATCTACTGCAGACATTAAACCAGCAGAGGCAGGAAACGCTACGGTTAGGCAGAGAAACGAGATGGTCAGCATGCCGTACCTTTCATGAAGCCCCATGGCTGAACTCCTTTGCCTTTTCAAGCTGAGTTGGTTCTCCTTTTAGCAACAAGCCTATTTCTATCAAGAAAAACATTAAAACAAAAGTGTCTCAAAAGCAGGAGACCGACTGATGATATCTGAAATTAGAAACTGTCAGCGAGGATACAGCCCGCCGCTGCCTCTATCTTTAACTACAAATGAGACGGCTCCACATTCTTGTAGAGCTTTACTGGCTCTCCAGTTGCTGACCCCAAACCTCAGCGCTGGCATGGGCCCAGCAAACATTAGTCTTTCTCTGTAGCACTGTGGCATTAACAACATTTAATAAATAACTACCCCCAAAAGAGCAACTCTTTGTTTACAGTCCCACTAACTTTGCAGAGGAACTTTCATACTTTCACAGTAATGACTCACAGAGTATTTGGACTTGACAAATAATATCCCCTCTCTTCAGTCTTTTGTTAATGCACTGAGTCCACGAGTGAGGCTTCTTGATTCATGTGTAGCAACACACTGTCAAAAACACAAACTTGAGTATGTAAAGAGCAATCTGTGTTTGTCTGGCTCGGTACAGGACACAGCAGCTGTTGCCACTGATTGGGCCAGAGTTATTTTTACATCATCGGACTGTAAACTACACAGGCATCCCAATATGCTAATCCTCTTTCCTGACGAAAACCTACATCGCTGATTTAAAAGGAACTCAGGTTGTAAGTGTTGAAGTACAAGCAGTTTGAAGATAGGGAACTCCTCTGTCCTTCCTGTCTGGTACCAGTCGCTGATGTCTGTGGCAGGGCCCTGTTGACGATGATCACCATGGTTTCTGCCAGAAAAAGGCCAATCCTTCAGGACCCTGATGTTTAATGGGATCACACCTACAAATTAGCACTGATGACAATGCTGTTTTCCTGTAAATGACACGGTGGTTTCGCCCTCAGCCATGTTTGTTTGTTTGTTATCCTGTCTGTTTGTCTGTCATATTTTAAAGCAGATTTAGACAAACCTTTATACACATACAAGTTACAGCCATCAGGAAACACTGATAGAAATGGATCAAATATGTGTCTGATTTAGCAGTGTATCAGACTCTGGGAAAAGTTATCCTTCAACAGGTCTCTCCATCATACTGTACTTTTTCTAGTTGAATTTGGTGCATAGATAGCAACTGCTACTTGTTAGTAGGTATTCAGTTTTTTTTTCTCCAGTCCCCAAATCCTCCAAAAATCAAATATCTATCCATCTTGACCTTTGAACTCCTCTTTGGTCATCAGTTAGAGAAAAAATAGTGGCATGTGTTTGTAGCCAATTTCTGGGCCCCACTATGGAACACTCCTGGTGTTTTTCCAAAACCTCACCTTGCAACTTTAACCTGCACCTGATATGACTCTGTCCTGTTCTTACATATGTTCTAATTTTTCAAGCTAAAATATGCAAACGTTGCAGTTCTACTAGACAAACCGTGTTTTTAAAAAATAAATACTTTTAGATTCCCTAGATTATTTCTACATATTACACAATTCCTAACAGACACTCTACAGCATTGTTGTCATCAATACTCTCTAGGATAAACAATAATGATAGTACTAATAATGATGATGATGATGATGATGATGATGATGATGATGATAAAAACAGACGACTGACAAAGACTGACTGACATTCACTTGTCATGTTGGTGACACCTGTACGGTCGACAGACGCAAGATTTTGTCGTTTCACCAGTCTGCCAGGACGACCCGTTCTTTATGAAAATATTATGAGAATAAAACAATGATGTCGTTTTATTCCATTGTCTCCGCCGTAACTTGAAGGGTAAACTCAGAGTGACAAAGTAGGTTAAGATCGCTGCTGTGCAGCTCTACAGCCTGTGTTGTAGCAGCAGCAGCAGCAGCAGCAGCAGCAGCAGTGCACTTGCACAGGACTTACCAGAATTTATATCGAGGCATGTTTTCATGCACCATCACTGTTTCCTCTTCACAGAAGTCGGACTGCCGCTGTGGTGTCGCCACGCCGCTTCCCTCAAGGCTTCTTTGGTGTGAGGTCCCGCTGCATCGGTGCTGCACGAAGTCTTCTGCGGAAAAGCTGGACGGCGTTGTGTGGAAATTTTCAGCAGCAGCAGCAGCAGCAGCAGTGGCTGAGATCAGAAACACAGGCAGCACTCACCTCCAGTGTGTGGCCTTCACGATGACGTAATGCGGGATCTCTCCGCTGACGTCACCGTGGCCCGACTGCAAAATGTCTCATGAAAATAAATAAATAAATAAAAACATTTTTGTGATGTCATCTTAGTAAGATCTGTATCCTGTCAACTTGAGTAGCAATACAATCACTGTATGATACTATACTACAATACATTTACATTTTACTAGGGTATTACTATAATAGATATTACTGATTATATTACTATAGCACCAATTTTAATATTATATTATAGTATATATTAAAATATTTATATTATTGCTGTCATTATTGCATCGTTAGTTTGCACACTAATTAGATTCAGTTTTTACCTTTAGAATCTGTAGGTCCGCCCCTGATCCATTGTAATGCAATTAAAATAAAACCATTAAAAAAAAATCTAATATCTTTAGACGTGTTTTACCATCTTTTACTTAAGACTTTTTTTCAATTTTATTTTTCATTTTTCATGAGAATTGTATCATCAATTCCAGTTATCTTCATAAAGATCTTTTGGCCTGAGAGAATGTGTGTGCTTTGTGATTATGTTTTAATTACTTTTGTGTGTATTCATGCAATGTAAATATTTATATGATGTCAGTACATTTTATTTGTGCTGCACTGAAAAAAATGTGCATGTATTATGCTACAACAAATTCATAGGCACATGCAGGTTCCTATGGTGTTGTGTGTACGTACTCTGGTTTGGGACACAGGAACCACTGAGCCATTGTTCAGTCTTATCAGTTACATCTGCTTTTCCTACAGTGGCATCTGCTTCACAGACACGTGAAAACGTGTGTGTTCTCCAACAGCCTATGGATTACATGAGAGACAAAGCAATGGGTGAGAAACAATACATCATACACATCAACCAACCAAACGTTCTTTTATTGAATGTGTAGCCGAGTCACACCCTTCAAACAAAGGCACCAATATAGTCCTGAGGCTGCTGCTGACACTGACTGCTGAACACTGATAGAGTTCTTGAACAGACACTGATGAACAGCCTAATGTAGCACTGATACTGCGGTTTTGAACAGTCACTGGTGCACTAGAAAAGTCAGTGGAACATCTGAACTTGTCCATGTCCATTTAAACAGTTACAGGTATCAATAAACTCATTAAATATTAGAAATTTTTAAAACAAATGTTTTATATTTTATTAAATGTGTTTCTAAATATATTATGTACATTTAGAGTTTTACTATAATGTATTATTATTATTATTATTATCATTTTTCTTGTTGTTGTTGTTTTTTCCGGCGTTCTAACACAACCACTGGTATTCTTAAACATTTAGTTTTAATTTTTAGCAGTCACCTTGAACAGTCCCTGATACTGTGGTTTTGAACAGACGCTGTAACGCATCAACAGTCTGTGGTGCTCTTGAACGCAACTCACTCACTCGGAGCACAGCCCCCTGTTGCTTAGCGACCGCTACTTGAGATTGACAGAAACTTTACTGGACCACTTCTAAAGACACTTTTCCAAACAAAACAAAACAACGATCTGCACACGACAAAACGCAACGTCTTCACACCGTTGCACAGAGACGAGCTGCGGCTGTGATGACAAGTAGCTTGGCAGCAGCCAAAGAAAGCTGACGGAGAACCATTTTCTCCAACCTCGCTTTCACTTTCTGCGGTGACGACCCACAGTGCACGGTTTTATCCTGAGTTCTGACTAAGTTGCAACGATGCCGGATGTGGAACCTCTCAGATACCCATCCAGAGAAGGACCGGCCAGTCAACCAGGTGAGGAGAACCACTGTTTCACTGGAGGGTTCAGTTAAAAACCCTAGTTACTGTAAATGTGTTGTCAGTTTAGCAGAAACATACAAATATAATTTACAAAATATGTAGGTACTTGAAGTCAGTAACATAAAAAAAACAAACCGTCAAATGTCAGCATCAACAAATGCAAAATAGTCACAGAAAACAGCATGTAAATCAACAAAAATGACCAACAAACAATGGGAAACTTTCAACTATGCAAGTGGAAAATAGAAAAAATCTTTATGTAAAAGGTTTTTGTAAAATTCGGTGATGAAAGATAGAACAAATACCTACACAGTACTCATCAGACTAAACTGACTGTCAAATTATATTTGAGCTAGTTTTAGTTTTTAGTTTCCTAATTTGGTAATTAAAAAAAGATATGGTCATTAAAAAACCAAAGTAATTTAAAAAAGATATGGTCATTAAAAAACCAAAGTGTCCAGTGCAGGAATACTGTGTGATGCTGTAACTCTAATCTCTAATATCTCAGGCCCACTGATTGCTGATTGGCTGTCAGACTCACATGGGTCCACTCTGTGGCCATAATACACCCTGCCATTATATAGGGCTAATTCATTCCACCGTTGACAGACTCCCTTACACGTTGCCACCCCACCTGGTTCTCACAGTGTGTATTATTTATCCCATCCTCTTAGCAACACAGTTTCCATCCAGCCATTTTTTTTCTTTTTAATTTTACTATTGCTGATGTAATGATTGGTGAGAGAAACCCTGAACCAGATCTATAGTTAATGTGTTGGATGTTTGCCTGTGTTTACAACACAAATTATTTAATTTTGCTCTACTGTGCTGTGCACAATAAACAGCGAGCTGTACTGAAGGATCTTATCAGCCTCCCTTCACTCCCCATGTGATGCTGCTGATAAGACCCTGATAGAACCACTCCTTTTGCATGTCAATGGAACTGTAGCCATTATGGTCCACTAAGATGTGATCTGTTTGCAGACATGAGATTAAAAACAGTGCAAGAAACCTATCACCGTAAGGTCACAACTAAGAAGAAATAAAAAAAAATAAAATAATGATTGCCCTTTAAGTCGCAAGTCTTTCCTAAATGTGGGTGTGTATTTAAAACAAACACCAGGCAGAGGTTATTTCATAAAGGTGACATAAGGTCACAGTGTGTATAAAGTGTTAATTCTTGTGTTTTTATTCATTTTCCCTCAGCTTTTTGGGTGGAAAATAGATCCAGTAGGTGGCAGTGATGCAGCTCAAAAGATGCCAAGGAGAGGAATGGGGGTGGGATTAATGCACCTTTGCAAGCTTTGGGCAGGATTTAAAATTTTAAGAAATAAACCTTTAAATTAAACGTTTAAAAGTTCAAACCGTTTTTAGTTCATTTTTATATTAAATTAAAGTTTCTGTCAGAAAATAATACTTCAGTCAGTCATAAAGTTTTCAGGATCAGAATGCCAAACCAATGAACCAATGAATGATGAATATTTTACAAAGTTGTTTACATTGTTGTCGTCATGACCTTAGTGCAGTACTTACAGTATCTATGTCAGATGCAGGGCTGCTCTCTGAAGGCAGACATATTGGGTGTCCTTTATATACATCAGTTGTCAGCAGAAACATTGAGGCAGTAAAAAAACATTAAACATTGTTAAGCATTAAAATTAAAATAATATATATGTAAAAGTTGCTGTTTCTTGCACGCTGTATCTAAAAATACATGTTGCATTCTGCAACATTCTACCTTTTTATTGGTTTTGAATTAAAAAAAAGTAAAAGTAAATAATGCATCATTTAATTAAGCATTATTCCATGGGTGAATGTACACGTACTATTTCGGTCTCCACTATTTCTGTTTGTTTTTATTCAAACACGTATTTAATCGGTCTACATTATTGTACAGTTGTACCTTATCTGCAGCCAGATGGCGTCCTTTTACCACCGAGAAAAACACGCCTCGGGTTTGTCTGGAGATCCTCGCCTGTCGTTGTCCCTGTTCTTCCACTGATGCCTCCAGTGTGTTGCAGTCTATACATATTAAATCACAGAAACGAACAGTTTTCACAGCCAAATAAATTTTAGTAATTACTTTTCAAAATAAACCCTAATGAAGCAGTGTGACAAAAACTTAGTTGTTTTTATTTTATCACTGAGTGGATTGTCCCTGTGTGTCTGTGTCTTCCTTGAAAATATATTTATTTTAGGATAATTCAATGGTGTGAGGTGAAAAAAGAGTGTTTTTCTCTGTTTCCTCATCTTCCTGCAGACCTGGATGTGGTTTCCTCCGGTCGACGTCGCACTTGTGCTTTGCTCAACAGTCCCTCGCCATATGTCAGCAACGCTATTTGCCATATGCAGGAGCTGAAGACTGCTGTGGAAAATTGGTGTCAACAGGTAAACTGATGGCAGATGTCAGCTGACCCAAACATTCTGAAAAGAGAGAGAGAGACACACAGAGAATGAAAAAACACCTTAAAAAAAAAACGTTTTTTCCCCCTTTTGTTTTGATCACACCTTAAAAAAAAACAACGTTTTTTCCCCCTTTTGTTTTGATCTAGTGTGGACAATATCGAGCGCAGTTTGACCAGGAAAAGCAGCCATACAAGAAATTTTTAAGGTGACCTTTTTTTTATTTTTTTATTTGGTTTTCATTTGCTGCTCTTTGTGCTGTTTCAAATGTGACAGCAGTTTAACTGTTTCAACAGATTCCAACCCAGAGAGCCCGACAGTGAATCAGTGATGTCAGAGCTGTTTGTGGAAGGCGTTGCAATTAGTGCAAGAGGTAGACAAATAATGTGTTTTCAGTCATTTCTTAATGATTTCCTCTCAATTATCCTTGTAGCAGAGACAAGCAAACACTGGCCCTAATGCTCATGCAGATAATAGAGCAGCACATTAAGTCAGAAACTCTCGTTTTAGATGATGTTTCATTTCTTGTAGCAGTGACTGTGACAGTAATAGAGTCCTGCTTCACGTATTTCACTCCAGCTATAAATTCTCCACTGTGGTTGTGCAGATGAAATCCTGTAGATGAAAACATTCTGTTGCAAAACGGCATACCTAATGGTGATTTATATGATTTGAAAGTCAATATTTATATATATATGTGTGTAGTAACAGTGTATTTCATTCTGTAGAAACGTCTCCGTTGTCCTCGTTGTTGAGGAGAATAAATGATGTCCTTGGCGAGGTGATGTGTCTGATTGAGCGTCTGGAAGCCGATCGACAGTTTGCTGAGGAGGCGCTTCTCATCGAGAAGCAGAGGAAGAAATTCCTGGAGAACAAAGTTGACCGTTTGTCACTGTGGAAGCAACAGGAGTGTTCCTCCGTCGTCCAGAAAGGTCAGTTATTTTCCTATTGTCCCTCTGTGAGGCCGTCCCTCGTGATCGCACCACTCACTTTCCCCTCAAATCCTCTTGCAGCACACGAGGCTTGTGTCAGAGACATGAGCGATCTGAAGATAAAGCTGAAACTTGAAAAAGAGAAGCTCCATCAGGTGCAAAAGACACTGTCAGACACTGAGATGCTGAACCACAGATTACAGGAGGACATCAACTTTGCCAAGAAACAGATTCCCATTGTAAAGGAAAACCTGGATCTGCAGGACACCAAAATAAATCAAATCAACACAGTGAAAGCAGAGGTAGCTGCTGTTGGACTGACAGAACATTTTTCATTCTATAAACAATGTTCAAACATCTGGCTCTGGGAATGCAAAAGCTGAGAAAGTGTTTTTTGACCATTTTCCTTCTTTTCTTGAGGCTGAAGAAATGTATTTGAAAGCACAGAGTGAACTTCTGAAGGTTCAGAATGAACTGAAAGTGATGGAGGACGATGCCAGCAATGAAAAAGCATTACTGGATGATGAGCTGCAGGAGATGAAGAACCAACTAGCCAAGAAGTCGTGAGTAATAATTTATAGCAATTAATACTTCATTATTATTATTAATTATGTAACAGTAACTATATGTTAAGTCCAGAACAGGATAAAAGACAAATATATCTTGAGGTAAATCTTGAGATTTGAGTTCGATTCCATGTTTAAAACAAGTCATGGCTGTGTGAGGAAAAATCAATATATGATGAAAACCACTGTGGGTGAATCTTAACACTGAACCACTAACTTATTATCAAATGTTCTTTTTTTCCCCTCAGGGAGGATTTAAACCAGTTAGAAAAACTTGAGGAAGATTTAAATGCTGAGATAGTTGCTGCTGATAAAACTGTTGCTCTTACAGAAGAAATGTGTGCGACCTTAAGGCAACGTATCCCAGAGTTGACCGAGTCTGAGAAAAATGAAAAAGATCAGGTAAAAATTTCACATCTATTTTTAAATTTTAAATCTTTTAATTTGTTTAGACTTTTAATCAAACCCTTCCATCACAGATTTCGGTCCTGAAAGTTAAAATACAGGATGAGATGCAAAAGAACAAGAAGCTAAGTGGGAAAATAGGTTCACTGGAGGAAGCTGTGGAGCGATCTGTGAGTATAAACACAAAAGAAACCACAGTCCCTGAACACCTCTTCAGGTTGTCGCTGCTGCTTTTCTTCGTTATACTCAGACTGAACGTCTTGAGTTCATTGAGTAGAGCATGGCATGCAATTGCCAAGGTTGTGATTGGACTCTCACTGGTGCTGTGCATGCTAATAATGGTTCAATCCACGGCACAGTGAGGTGTTTTCACAGTAAAGTGCATCCACTCAGCAGCGTGCTGTATGTGATGTTATCCACAGAGACTTAAGGGGGAAGCAGAGGTTTCCTGCATAAAAGAGCAGCTCCAGACAAAACGCTGTGCTGCTGCAGCTCTCCGCAAGGAGAGCATGGAGTATGAGCAGAAAGTGGAGGAATACGAGAGGAAGACGACCGAGAGGTACAGAGGAGTTGACACATCCTTGGGTTCAGACGTTGGCATAACTCAAGGATTTGGACAAACTTTATCTGTGTTTTTTTTTACTCTATATTTTATGAAGTGGTAACTTTTAAGTCTGCTCATTTAGTCATTTCCAGCTCAGTCTCCACTCTGCTTATTTCCCTGTGTGTGCATTCAGAGGTTTCTGCTGTTCACTCACCAATAACTTCTGTAAGTTGTCAGGCCCATTGGGAGAAAACTTTTTTTTTGTTTTAAGTATCATAAAACACCATTGAGAAATATTACATTCGCCTCCAGTATTTTTATACAACTTAAAACAAAATTATAAACTGCTGAAAATAGCAGATATATTTGGTTTGAAAGACATAACTTTGTCGTTCTGCAACAGCAAAAAAATCTGTCACCACACAGTTTTGATTAGAGCCAGACAGAATCTATGAAAGTCAAAGGGAAAAAATCACAGACTGAGACAAAAAAGTTTGGCAGCAGAACCAGACCAAACTGGTCTTGGTGATATTATCCAGTCCTGCGACCCACTAAATGTATCCCCATGACTCAATTAGAGCTCCAGACCTGCTGTTCTAAAGCATCCTCTTTTTATAGGTGTTACAACCCACTGTAGCACACTGTGTTTGTTTACATTACTGTGCGGTCGTTGTTAGTGAAAAAGCAGTGGCACAGATGCGCGCGGAGACAAAACAGATGCTCCAGAAAATCATTGACAGTGATGAGCAGTGGGAAAAAGCCAAGGAGGAAGTGACCCAGATTGTAGCCAAGCACAGCGTCGCCCGGGCTAAGCTGCAGGAGCAGGAGAAACTCACCTTCCAGCAGGAACAAAAAGCCAGGGTCAGGACCAACACAGCCTGTGTACAACGTACATGGAGTCTGACATTTTAACTGCTTCCTCTCAGTATTACTCACTGCCTTCTGTGTGCTCCCCAGAAGGAGATTGAAAGCCTGAAGAAAGATCTGACAGGACAGATAACTGCCCTGGAACTGCTGAAGGTGAGTTCATGAGGCGCTTCAAACTATTCACTCAGAGTTGAGGGAAGAAATATGTCGTCACAAAGCTGAGATGCAGATGGATTTGACCGAATTTAATCAGATTTCTGCAAACGTGTTCACTCCGCACGGGCTGTAAAAGTCCACAGCCACGGCGTGTTGTAACCGGAGCTTCACAAATCCAGACGTTTGTATTGATTTGTAATTTTTCACCCTACGCCGTGAACTGATCTCACCTTGTTCCTGTCATAAAACCCATGATGATGATTAAGGTTTGACCCGTACATTTCTTCTCCATCAGGATCAGTGTGCAGATCTGAAGGAAGAGCTTGAACGACACAAAATCAGCTCCGAGCTGACCAATCACAGGCTTCAGAAAGAGTTTGAAAATGTCTCCTCAGCAACAAAAGCTCTAGAGACAAAAATAAAGGTGATTTTTTTATTTAGTCGTAGTTGAAGTGTTAGTCAGTCATACAAACAAGTACCATCAATATACAGCAACACAAAGTACATGTGGACTGAACACGACACAGGTAGGAACATGCTTAATAATCTGTCCTAATAATAATCTGTCCGTCTAAACTGTAGAGAGGTTTGGCTGCACTACTGAAAACAACAACACAAAGACACATTTTATCAATTTAAATTCATTTGTAACCTTGAAAATAAAAAAAAAAGAGTTCACATTCATAAAATGGAAAGTAAAGTATCATCATCTCAATTTTCAATTTTCCTTTGATTAGAAAATCAAGAAAGTGACAGAAGATTTAGAGAATATTCAACAAGAACACAGGAACACATTACTCGACCTTGAGCGAGAGAAAAAACTCAGGCACCAGCACCTGGAAGCTGCGCAGGTAAGAAGTCGATTTTCTGATTTTGTTTTTAAGTGAAATAACTTTGAATAAAAGTCAGTTCTGCAGACTTTGTTTTAAACATTCCTTCTGTTTTTTGGGGGCGGATTTTTGCCAGGATTTACACACTGCAACTGTAAAGAGATATGAGGAAACTCAGCACAGAATCGCTGACCTCATGAAGAAGACCAAAGAATACCAAGAGTCTTCGGATAAAATGGAACAAATAGTTGAAAGCATGCCAGGAGTCATAGAAGAACTTCAGTAAGATTTCTGCCTCTGAGGAAACGCAGTGTTGCTGTGATTAAGAAAGTGTCTGGAACTGCTAAAAATGTTCATTAGTTCCAAGTAGAAATCTTAAAGTTGTTGATAAAACGAACATCAATCTCTCTTGTATTTGATCCTCAGAAACTCAAAAATGGCGACTTAGTTCATTTCATTTCTGTGGCAGGATCTGAAAACATGATTTGGAAAGATACAAATGACTACCTTCGGTTATTGTGCGTGGGTGTCTGACACTTCTAATTAAAATGGGGCACAATTGGGATTTTGATGATTTAATTTAATTTGAGCTTCGTGTCTTGTGGCTCCTTAAACACAGTCCCACCATAAAATACTGTTTATTAATTTGATGTATTCGATATAAAAAAAGGCTTTTTATATTTATATTTTTTATATATTGTTCTTGCAGAAGTGTGTTTGATTCGGTGGATTTCCAGTACAAATCAGCTGTTCTCATCATGAGCACCTTACAGGCTGATAGGAACGAGTGCCAACAACGAACACGGAGATCAGTGCAAACACACACTGCTCATGTCAGAGCACGAAAAAAGAAAATGGCAGAGATGAAGGTGAGAACTTTTTTTTTCTTCTTCTTCTTTTTCTCCCTGTGACTATACTGTACAGCGCGCCGTGTGCCTTTCATATAGCGTGGAGTCGGAGTCGGGCTGTTAAAAAACATCTCATTGTTTATTTGTTTGTGGATTAGTGTCAGCACATTGCTTGTCACAATACTTCCCTTAAGATGCAGAGAAAAGAGCTGCGTGCAATTAAAATTACAAGCCATGGCCATCCTGTTTAAGTGCTTTTCCCACAAATGACAACTCACTGTTGTTATAGTCTTTTGTCTGGACGAATTTGATGATGCGTGTCGCGGTGAGAAGCTTTGCTGTTTTGTTACCTGTGGGCCAAACATTTTCAATAGCAATTTCCAAACGCACGCATATATCCACAATATCAACTAAGAATTCAATCAGTATCCTTTTCATATTAACATCACAAATAGGTTGTTCTGAAAAAGCCGTGCACAAAAATGGGATGTATTTGAAACAGTCCTTTGTAAGAGAAGCCCCTGTTTATTGTAGGTTTTCATCTGCAGGATTATCAGCCCCAGCCAGAGCCTCTTTGCTGATGGGGGTTTCACATGGCTTATCTAATGTGAAATCGCCATGTGGTATATAGTTTCATTAAACGGTGATCAAGAATGCATTAGTTCAAAACAAGAAAAGGCAATGGAGCTTAAGCCGCCATGCATCCAAGTGCAGCAACTTTAAAGAAGTTGTTGGTGTGAGACAGTTTAAGAATTAGAAGTCTTCCTCATAGACAACTCCCATTAGCTGGATAAAAATTAGCCATGCAAAAAAAAACACTCCACTTCCTTTCACTTGATGAAATAAGATGATACAAGAACAACAATGTCTCCTGACAAATACAGACATTACACTGAGTCTAGTTCTCAGAGAAATGGTCACTGGTGGACTGGTGTAAGGAACACATCACATCCACATTAGCATAACATAATAAGCAGGGAGTTCACTGTGCATGAGGTGCACGGAGGCACACCCCAATAGTATGGAAATACTGACCTGAATAAAAATGTCCTCTCTGGCCACATCATTAGGTCAGCTTGTTGTCAAATAACAGATCAGCCAATGAAACTGAGCATCAGAATAGATGACAACAACGAAGACATTGGTCTGTGCAAAAACTGCCGATCAACTAGGAGTCACAACTATCACGGTCACATCACTCTACATCATAAATAAAGTTATATATATATATACATAAAATCTGTATAATACTATGAATGAACAAACAAAACAACTGAAAATAAAATAAAATTTGAATTCTTATTTACATGTAGTCACGGGCCAGATGCAAGGTATTTGTGGGCCGCTAGTGGCCCCCAGGCCCAATGTTTGAGACCCCTGCTTAAAATAAAATCTTTCTACAAACAAGAAAGCCTAACGACGTTTTTCAAAATAACTTTAGTTTTAATTTTACGACCTTACACCAACCTATCAGATGTCTGACAGTATAAAAATAGATGTCGACCAGCTAAACGTTTAAGTGCCAACCAATTAATCTACTGCTAATTGTGATTTGAGCGAGCAGACTGATGAACCCGCGCGCACATCTGTACGGCCTTCAGCTTTCATGAATGCATCTGGTTTTCTGATTTGATCGGGGCTTGTCGTGTGGCGAGGACAAAGTAAACAATGCAAAATGCCGACGCAATCAGTTTCTTATGGGCAATGAAGTGTAATTTGTTCCATTTACACTTCACAACGGCGTCAGATGGGCTTTGTCAGTGCTGCATGGAGTAATTAAACCTGAAATCAATAGCAGGCATTTGTCATGTTTACAGCCCCTCTTTCTGCTGGGTTAAACTCATCACTTTAGTGCTGTTCTGTTTTACTGCAGAGACACACTTCATTATGTCTGCAGGTACTGTTGAGATATTCACCAATCACATATCCACTACTTGGGAAACACTTCTCAAATGAAAGAGGTGCACGCAGGAAGACACACTGGCTGTGATTTATTTGCCTGATTTGACAGAGAAGCTGTCCGTTGTTGTGTGGTTTGGTGTAACGGCGGTGTAATTAACAGTACAAATAAGGAATGCATGTGTCGTACCGTGCCGTATTGTATTGTACTGTAGTGTAGTGTAGTGTAGTGTATACACAGGGCAGGTCAATGTCAAGTCCGATGTACATTCCACCTGGCCCCCGTGGTTTTTCCATGTGGTGCTTTTTATTGTGATCTCTCCTGTACACAGTGGTTCCACTTCCCTGTTCTGTCTAGAACATATTCCTTCTATTGCCTACGTGCTTCATTGTGCATTATGACTGTATTGATGTGTGTGACCATCCGTTTTATATGATATATTTTAAAAATGATGACTCGGTAAGCGTGGTCAGCTACCAACTCATTGGTTGAACAGATTCAAAGTAATAAGTTAATAGTTTTTTTTTTGCTCTTTTTTATTTTTAATATTACCGTCAGAAAAAAAAATTTGCTTTTATTTATGTCTATGTTTGGTGATTTGGCCTTTGACCTGTTAACTTTTTTTGCTACACTGTCAGCTAATACTTTAAATATTGTTTACCTTTTAGCTACACTTTTAGCTATTTCTTTATTAATTTTTATTACTGTATTTTGGATACTGTCATTTTGTTTTTTTAATATTTTAATATTGTTATTTTCCCAGTATTACTATCATTACATTTTTCATACAACAGTAAACGAGTTTATATTTAGCAATTTTAAGCTCATTATTTTGTCGTACGTATATCCAGCCAAACTGGAAGCTGGATAGAGGACCTGTGTTTTGGCTTTTGTATTTAAAATAATTTCTGTTTTTGGATAGCCTCTGCTATTTATAGCTGTGTTGGTTGGCGTTATCGGACATTCAGTGCATAAAAAAAGTTTAATGGTCTGAATAGGATCTACCCTAAACTTGGTGGATTGCAATTTTAATTAAGAGAGAATTAAGAGGAGCAGTGAGCTGCTGTAGTGTTATACATTGGCCTCAGTAGACGGATGAACCAAGAGTGAAGTACCACAGTAGTACATGCAGTACAGTCCTCAGATTGGTACAAATATCCTTCTTAGTCAACATATATTTTTACCTTTGCTGGTATTTTCAGAAGCTTTTGATTATTTCTCCCCGTCTCTGTCTCTGTCTCTGTCTCTGTCTCTCCTGGTGTTTGTGTGTTTACACAGGAATTGCTTCAAATCGCCCTAAAGGAAAACAAACAGCTGGCAAAAGAGTACGAAAGTATGAAGAAGTCTCTGATGAAGGCAAAACAAGAGGACGTGTCGGCGCAGATCAAGAGGAACAGTCAACACGGATCGTTTCTTTATTACAAACAGGTAACATGCCTCCATATAAACAAACCTCAATTTAAGAAAAGTAAAGGTGAAGTGCAACAAAAAATAAAATCAAAACCAAGTTTTGTTATTTCTGTATTTAACTCTTAATTTCCTTTTTTTCCTTTTAACATTAAGATAGCATTTAAAATCTATGCCTGCAAAACATATTATGTTTTGGAAAGAGGGGCCAAAAGGTCATTGACATAACAGTCCAATAACTATTGTTGAGGTTGTAGTTACAATTTTCACCATCCAGGTTGAATGAATATCTCATTCTGGGGACAGTCGGCCATTTTGTGCCTGTTATCCCGTGTATTACGGCTTTAAAAAGTTCAAATATGTTCTATGACATCCAGTCTCTGCTGTTAATCTTTCATGTTTTGTTTTTTTTCTAATCTGTGTTTCTTCTTTTTTACCATGGGATAAGTCTTCTTTGCATGGGCAGTAATTTAGGGAGCGTTTCAGCTGGGGAGCCAGTGAGGAGGTTACTGCAGCAATCTCATAATGATTAGATAAGTTGAGAGGAGGAGGATGATGGATGTGACATAATGTAATGATAACTATGTGGTTTTGCCACCAAGGGGAGTAAGGCAAGAGGTTGATGGTACATGCACATACCATAACTTTTTTTTTTCAATATAGACTTAATTATTAGTGCGATACAAAATGTTCCTCATCCTCATCTCACCAGACCTTTTTCAGATTAGACAAAGAACAACCGTCCGCTGCTAAAATAGCATCCGGGTTGTGGACGAGTTGACAGAGAGAAAACTCCACAGCATTTTAATCTCCAATCTTTTCAGTTTATGACACAGTTTAAGAGGAACAGAATCGCACACGACAGCCATAACATCAGACAGAAGCCATGTTGCTCCTACAATTTAAAAAAACACATATTATTCATTCCAAAAAAAAAAAAAAAGACTAATACCTTTACTTGAGCAATTCCTCATCTAACTGCATGAATGTTATCAAGTGAGAAATGCATGCAAAAATAAAATCCTGTGGACAGGATTCTCCACGCTCATGATCAAAGCCTGATTTTCTTTTACTCTGGGTTCAGCCTTCACCATTTTTGTTTGTTTCAACTCTAACACTTCCACAGCCTCTGCCTCTCGTCGAGTGTTTCATGCCTAAATTTAGTTTTTATAACAAGCTTATAATCAACAATGTTTCTGAAATGTGGAGGCAGGGCCGTTACATTTAATCTGATTCATACAGCAGCGTTCTCCTTTCTCTGCCAATCTCCCATTATCCTCATCATGTCTGTCTGTCTATACTGTGATCACACTTTCATTTTATTAGTTTATATATTGTGGTCTCCATAAACAATTCATGCTCAACACTGACAGGATTAACTGAGTTTAAAACATGGGTTCATATAATCTTTTGTCACCTGTGTACGTCAGGTGATTTGTTGAAACCGTTCTTAATTCAACACCAGCCACAGTATTATACAAAATGAACTGCCATAACATGAATTAAATGTTTAAATTGATCTTGCCAGTGTTATTACACATTAGATGATAAATTGAATATAAAAATAGTAATCGTTTTTTGTGACAAAACTTACAATTGTTGTGGGAATTATTAAAAAATCATTTGTTATAAATTGATTTTATCAAATAGTAATATTTGATAAAATATGACAATTTTTCTTCTGCCTTCTAAATTCATAGATTGCTGCAAACACATTGTACAATCCTGCTGTTCTATGGTTTACTATGAGTGGTTAATAAAATGAAGGGGAGAAAAGTAGCAGGTTTACAAGGTTTACTGAAATATTTAGTAAAACAACAATCAAGTATTTGTATGTGCACAAACACAACAGCAGGGTTGCATCAATGTTGCACCAAAGATGCAGCAACATGAACACACAGATTAGACCCTCTCTTGGAGGTATTTTAAAGCAGAATTACCCATTGTTTAAGTCTTACACCTAACTCTCATTTGACCCATATAACATAAAGTGTGAATTGTTGTATTCTGTCCGCCCCTGTTTTCCAAATGTGGGCCATACGTTGGTCATAACATGGTCACATGAGCCAGAAATATCAATAAGGAAGATATGTGGGTCACATTTTGGGCTGTTCTACAAGTGGGTCACTTCATAGTGGAATTAAAGCCCTGTTTTTGCTGCATCACTGCCGGAAGTGTCCCACATATGACTAACATCGGCGACTATAAATACCACCTTTAAAGGTAGCTGGACTTTAGAGGCAGATTATTTAACTGTCCTAGGATAACACACATGCTGATTCTTTCAAAGTTCGCAATAGAACAAGTAGTGTAGGCACAGTATTAAAGTTTAAATTTAAAATGCAAAGCTGTGCCTTTGTTAAACAAGAGATATGTGAAGTTAATTGGCATCTGTTAGCACAGCGTCTGCACCTCTCATACAAATCCTCTCCAATGTACAGTACATGTTAACATTGCTTTGTTTATGTGGCGGCTTTCATCTCTGGGCTTTTAACAGGGAGCACCATAAAGAGCATTCTTGTTATTGTCTTTCCTTCAGGAGCTGATGACTGAGCTAATTCGCTTTAGTTTTCAATGCACTGGGGAACACATTGCCAAGCAATGATAAGCTTTGTAGGAAGAGTGGAGAGATGGAGGAGGAAGAAAAGAAAAGCAACGGCATCTATCAGAATTTAAACCTCTTTGCTCGAAACTGTGTTCAAATAATAAAGCAAGCAGCATGTCTTTCCAAGAGACTAGGAATAATTTCTGGTTTCAGTGGGGGGTTCATGACTCTGTGTGTATGTGTAAAATATGTCTTGAGGGGATTGGTATAAAGTTAAACTGGGTGAAGTAGAAATATTTTACTCATCAGCTTTGCAGTCACAGAGTTTGCCTCGGCTAGAACAAAACTGCTGAAGCATTTAGAGAAAATTAACCCCCCATCCTGGCAGCCAGATGTGACTGGATTCTGATGAGTGCACACGAGTGGGCAGAGAAACCAAGAGACTGTGAAATTCCTGTCAGGCCCGTGTACTGCAGAATGGGCTATTGACTGCTTTCTCTATTCCCCTCCATCATTCTTCTTGAACACTGCCATTAATTTCCTCTCCTGCCTTACCAATTCCTTTTCTCTGCCTTCTCTCCCCCTAGCTCTCTTTGTTGCAGAAGAGGATGCACAAAGCTCTGGTGAAATACTTCAAACGACGCAGCCTCTACAGCCAGGCTGAACTGGACCGGTGCCAGGCTCTCTCCCAAGAGACCAAGCAGAAAATAAAAACAGCCCAGGTACTGGTACATATACATGTAAAACAGGCAGGAAAACTGCACACAGCGTCGCCATTGGTTTGAAAACCCAAGTGCTTTTAATTCAGCGTTTATAATTATCCAGCTCCATGGTGGACCCTCACTTCACTGTTATGGTCGATTTCGTTTTGAGTCTGGTCTGACTCAGTTGTCTTCTGTCGTCTTTGTGAAACACGGGCAGACAGACAGACACTGTGTTGAAGCTAAAGAAAAACCTCACTTCCATTACAGTCCATACATGAGACATCCAGCTGATGTGATGGATGGTGTGTCTTGAACAGGGCCTGGGCTCTGACCCCACGTCTCTGGAGATAACTTCATACATACGACGTGTACGATGTGCGTTTAGGTCACATCGTAATAACATCTAAAGCTGTTTTCTGTTTAGCCCGCGACGTTTCTTTTCACTCCACGTCTATTTTAGAGCGACAAAAATAGTTGACGTCTGTATTACAGCCTCCCCTTGTAGGGTGAGAAAAATGTCCTCCCGTCTGCCTCCGAGCTTATTCTACAAGGTTGAGAAGTAAGACTCTGACTTCAATTAGATGATAATCGCTGTCTAATCTGTGCTGTGACGTGAGATGAGGTCAAAGCGGACGTGGGGACAGTGATGAATCTTTATGAAATGTTCCGTCCGGCCTCAGAGCAAAGGCAGGAAGCATGCAGCCATAATGTGGATCACTTTATCACTCCCTACTAACTGTAGGACTTTTCTTACAGCCACTGGCATTAGTATTGGTAAATATAAAGTTGCTCTCCTGGTCTCCTCAGCAGGTGGTGCTGTTTTTATAGTTAATTGATGGCTCAGGCACTATATATATATATATATAAAAAACATCACTGCAGATAAATATTCATACAGTGTGTAATGTTATATTTTTGTGCAGAGTCCACCCCTCAAACTGCAACTGTTTCTGTTGTTAAATAGTTTATCTGTCTGTATCTGTTACTGGACGCTGTAGGCAAATATGTTTTATGAATTTGTTTAAAGGATTTGAAATAAGTTTCCAGTGCAGTAAATGAAGTGGCCTTCATTTTAGTTTGTCCTCCTCTGGCCTGCTGATATGTTACTCTCTATATATATTTATATGTTTGTTGTTTTTTTTTTTGAAAGGTCTGTTTCAGACGTATATATGTTTGTTGTTTTTTTTTTGAAAGGTCTGTTTCAGACATATTTATATGTTTGTTGTTGTTTTTTTTGAAAGGTCTGTTTCAGACATTACAGGGAGCAGCCTTGTCTCAGTAGCCCAGCCTCAAAAGACCAACAGCTCAAGGCAGGGAGGTGTGGGGCACAGGGGGAGGAGCTATCACAGAGCTGCAGAGTGTGAAGGACAAAAGAGCTGGGGTATTCAAGCGCACCGCACCGTCACCCGTCACAGCTCAGCACAGGGCTCATCAGAGCAGGCAGCATTCACTTTGAACAGGCACAGTCCAGCTCAGGGTCTACACACACCATGTAGAAAAGCCTTTTATTAGTGGAAATAAATATCTTTATGAGTTTATAGGTGTGCTGTACTTAGGCAATCGGAATGGTTTTCTAAATTTCCGGAGCTTAAATGTGTAATTAAACTGACATTATTCTATATGATAGTATAATTGCAATAGTTTTTTTTTTTTGGGTGCTAAATGTTACTTTTAAAACACCGCCATTAGATTAGACATGAAGAATCAGAGTCCTGAGACTTTACTACTGAGTAAAGATAAGTCAAAATGTATTAATAGCAGTAGAAACAGGAGTTAAACCAGAGTGAGTCTTTGATTAGGCCTATACTAATCCATCATGTCCACTTAACCTCACGAGCAGAACATGGGAGAGGTCAGGTTAGTGCTTCATGGATAAAGCTGCAGGAATCACCAGCCAAATAGCGTTTTTCAGAAGAGTATCTTGAGGGGAGGAAGAGGCCGGGAAACCCTTGGGTTTGTGGGTGGGTGGTAGTGGTGTGAGTTTGGGAGGGTGTGGAGGGGGAGGTGGAAGTGAGAGAGATGGAGGGGGGGTTAGGGAGGCGGCTTGCTGTCATCCTGTTACACTCCTGCCAGAACTGGCAGTTCAGCTTTGTGTTCTGCAAGTTTACACTAGGGATGGCGTAATTGACAATGGCTAACAGCGGAGAGCAGTGCAGAGCCTTGTTGAATGGCCAGTAATGATTGGAGCAGACGCCCACTGCCCCAGTCTCGGGGGACGGTAATCCAAGATCCTGTTTCTGATATAATTGTTAGTCAGAGAATTTCTGCATGGCTAGTCGGGTTCAGATTCCCAAGCTGGTTGACAGTGCCAGGCAGTTTAATAGAAAAACTGGATGCTGAGGTTTTTAAAACAGAGAGGCACTGAACCTGGACATGGTTCACCAGGAGCCTCTTGTTCTCCCTCCTCACAAGCTGAGCACAAGATGATACCTCTCCTCCCACTACTGTACTGTATGGGATGCACACGGACGTGCATTATTTCCCTTTTAACAAAAACTGCACTTTTTAATTAGGGCTCCCTGCGTTTCTGTGTGGCCTTTTCTTTGAACAGGAGAGCTTGTCAGATGAAATCCACCTCATCTCTGCCTTCCTGCGCTCCCTGACAGATGACTCTACTACCACCGAAGATGCTGCGGTGGACAAACAAGGCCGTCCAGACGCCGCCGGATCGAAATAAGTAGATGCCTTCACTGCGGCCCACTGTAATTGAACATTCACCTGTACCAGACAACTTACTTACCCTAGCACGCTTCACTATTCCCTCCTCTTTACTTGCAGCAAATCCATAACAATGAAACAGGTGACTTTCATGCTGCTGTCAGGACTGATCTAATTTTAGCTGGGTGAATGATTGCAATTGGCTTTGCCTCATCAGATAATTAATCTATGTCACCATTAATTGGAAAAGAGAATAATTACAGGCAGTGTTGACAGAAATTCTACGCTTCTCCAGATTCCAACATCTAATTACAACTAGTGATTCCCTGTGACCTTAACTAGCATTTATAACACCTTGCCCACCTTGACCACACTCACGAAGACGTCAGTCTCCAAAAAAGTCCCCCCGTGTTTGTAAGGGCGGGCCACGCTTCTGCGCTCACTTCACTCTCCACGTTCTCCGAGAGCTGTCTCCCTCAATCACTTTTCAATATTCAATCTTAATTTTGTGGAAGTTTAGCATTTTCAATGAGCTGGAGATGAATGATTAATGAATAAATTTAAATGCTTCATTTTGTCCATGGATCATTAGTTAAGTCCTTTGTGGGAAGGACCTGAGAAAGGAGTGAAAATTATTGAGACATTAGCCTGAAGCAATCCAGGGGTAAATAGTGTGCACGGAAGGATGTTGTGTGTGCACTATCCACTGGCTTTTGTAGAAGAACCCTGGGGAAACACTGTTTTCAATTTGGAATCTTAACTGAATCACATTTAGTACTTGTGGAAAATTGATTTTTGTTTCATCACGGTGGTGCAATGTCATACTAATGGCAGACAACACTAATGTCTTCTCCGTGTGGCCTTTTAATGGTGTAGTGAAAATGTTTCCTGAAAAAAAACAACAAAAAAAAAAAACAACAACTTTTGTAATTACGAACTATACTTTTAGTATTGAAAATTTAAAAAAAAATCATTTAGTGAAGACTATTCACTAGTTTGCATTTCTGTCTGAGTCTGGCTGATAGAGATGCTGTTGTGTTGATTAGCTGAATGCCACTCCTACTGGTGGAGACAGAAGGGTGCAGCATGGACAACACAGCCTTGAACAGACGTGACTGACAGCAGCGTCATGCCTTTTATCGGTTTATTATCACGGTACGGTTAAAGAACTATGACCTTGTCGATTGTTGAGAAAAATAATAAAATATAGACTCTAGTTAGGATGAATGTTCATGCTGGAACATACATAGAATTCATATCAACAGAAGGAAAGCTGTAGTCAGTAGATATTATGTCACTGTTACTGTTCAGACTTCATGGTCGGCCAGATACTGTAAGAACGCAGGACTAAGTCTTCAGCACAACTGACTGAAATGCAGCCCCAAACCATTACACTATTATGTCATTTAAATCCATGCCTTTAAAAACCACATAACAACCTCATAAATAGCACAAAACCAAAGGTAACACAAAATATTAAAAGTTAAAGAAATGGCAAAAAAAAATGTATAGCTCAAGTATTTTATGATAGATGCAATACTTAACACTCCATTGTCTCCCGAGAGACACGCACTGTACTCTAACAACTCCTATGGACTGCTCATGAAGCGACGATGATCCAGAATCTCACAAAAACACCTTGAGTTGAAAAATGCTTGCTCTCATATTCCCTGCTGACTTTTATGGCAATAATTCAAAATCCAGACCCTCCCCTAACACATTCGTCCACGCTGCCAGCATCCAATCAATCCCCTAAATAAATGAAAGAGAGCTACAACACCATGTCATCACATTTATCTGTGGGCGTCCCATCGACGTGGGAACACCTAACTGGTGAGAAGGTGAAGTTTGGAGACCAGTTACAGAGGCTCATATGGATCATATTTGCTTTTAGATATTTTATCACAAAAGAAGTGTTGAAGAAATCTGATTTCCAGGCAGCATGATTCCCAGCCTGACAACACCATCCAGGCAGCGGGGGCCCGTTTCGTTCCGATTCACTCCAGCGATTGGCTGTGATTGTTGATGTGAAGCCGAGTGAGTCAGAGCAACGTCCTGACTCCTCATGCCTACCTGAATCCTGTTTTGGGATCTTTTTTTAAAAAAAAAAAAACCTCAGGAAATGGAAGTGACCACTCCAACTGTCCTGCCTTTGTTCATGAGCCAGTAGAGAGTTGATCCATGGTGCTGATGGAGTCAAGGCAAGAATGTGAGGGGAGAGAGGAGGTGCCACTGTGTCTAAAATATCAATGAGGGAGACGCTGCCGTGTTGTGGAACACACACGAAGGACCAGGCAGTTCTGCACTGCTCCATATGGTACCTCTTCATATCTCCTTCCATCCCAAATTATTAATATAATTTCTTTTCCCACAGTTTGACTCAACACCGTCTGATCTTTATTCCCTACAGAATTTATACATTTCAGCAAGTTATCGCAGAGTATGTTCCTTTAAAGTTAAGGCAACCGCAGCGTCTGTCAATCAGTCATACTGCACGCCTTGACAATACACCGGAACCGTGTTTGCCCAGGTGATCCTTCAGCGTGGAAAAAAAAAAAAAAAACTCGGCAGAAAACATGCCAAACAAACCCATCACTATAACAATACATGTTCCTGGTGTTTTCACACCCGTTTGGTTTCAAAGATATTTATCTTAACAGGATAATAATTTGTGAAAGTCTCTGACATTTGTGGCTAGCTAGCATGATAATAAATCCGTGGCTTGGAACATTTTTTAGTTAATTAGAGTCAATCAATCCAAACTTTTCTCACTTACCGGTGTGAAACCAGAGTATAATGAGCAGAAATCAGCATGGTGATTGGAAAACACAAATTACAGCTGTTAAAGAGAAACTCATCCACTTCTCTTCTGTTGATGCCAATGCCTGCTGAGAGGATTTAAAATTAGCATGGCATTCCTTTAATGGATGAAGTGGTGGGGGTGGGGGGTATGTGTGCCTCTATAATTAAAAAAAACTGTTAATACCCTGGTAGCCTAAAATAAAATAAGAGGGGTTATTATTATTACACGACATCCCTTCACAAGGACAAATTGGTCAGTTGAGTGTTAAAAAAAAACAACCCCGACCCATGTTTGTTTGTTTGTTTCAATATCTCCATCACAGAGATCACACCTGAACCTCCACACACCACTTCATATAAGTCACTGTGTGTAGCAGTGATATTTGTGTGTCTGTCAGTAAAGTTGTTTATCTGTATTATGAGGAAATGAAGTAACACTAGATAATGGTGTGTGACCACAGCAGTGAGGTTGTCGGCACCGCTGCCTCACTTAGATTCTATGGCATATTAATGAACTATATATATATATATGTGTGTGTGTGTGTGTGTGTGTGTGTGTCATTGAAGCCTCTGTACTACTGTGGTGGTCAGGACTACATCCATATTCTTGCTGACATATTCCGTGCACCTTAAAGTCATGGAGTAATGATGTGAGTAATAACCTGATAATGTTAACAACTTCACCTGTGTGTGGTCCAGGCTTCCAGACAGGGGCAGGATGTGACCCGGCTGTTGGTGTGAGACTCCACCGCTGGATGTTATTTCGTGTCGAGAGTTCCTGAAAAGGCAGAAAACAGAGAGTGAGAGAGTGAGAGAGACAGAGACAGAGAGAGAGAGAGCTTATGTTGTCGGGCTTATGTCGTGGAGGCTGTGTAACAGCAGCTTGCCATTGTATTAATTATTGTCAGTGAATCCAAGGGGGTGTAGATAATACAGAATGCACTGTTTGGTCCCATTTGTTTCACTTGTCAGTGGAGTGAATAATTGGGAGTGCTGACCATATTAGACACAGAGAATTTCTGAAAGATACGTTGCAACACAAAAGTGCGGCCCAGAAATTAAAGGAGCCGAATGTCAGAGGATTTCACATCAGTCGGGGATAATTTGCTGCCTTTGCACCACCGAAGGAATTCAACAAAGGTTACCTCTGACAACATTTGTTATTTATCATACAGTTAAGGAATTATTGTTAAGCAAACAAATTATAACAGCAGCTCTGGTAAAAAAAAAAAAAAAGTGACTCCCACGACATAGGTGTCTAAACATTATCAACGAAGGTCAGATCTGATATGAGAAAAGGTAATGAAATAAATAAATAAACAAAATGACAGAAATGGTTTGATTGGCCTGAAGATCGAACTTCAGACTTCAGATTTTATTTACAACTTTCTTTTGTATAAATTGTTGTCAGATTTGGAGCAGTTATTACAAAACAGAACTTTTCCCCCTAAAAAAAGTTTGGAAAAGACTTTTCCACAGTTTAGAAGAAGGGACTGCTAATACAATGGAGCTCATCTTGCAATCCTCCCTAGAAATAACTATCAGTCCTGCTACAGCAGCTTCAGCGTCCCTAGGTGACCGCGCCACTGAGCCCGTGCTCGCTCCATCGCACCCCACTCCACGCCGGCTGCCATCCTGAAGGTAGATGCATCACGCTGGGGAGGCTCTGCAACAGCAACCCCCTCTCCCTCTTTCTCCCTTTAGCCCCAAAACCTCCTCCACGGCACTGTGGCCTCCCGTGGCCCTTACATATCTCCTGGTGTCCACTAAAGCCCTGGCCCCAGCAGCAGAGACTCTCCCTCAGGTGAGCTGCCACACCGCCATCATGTCTCCTCCCACGTCAGCTGCACAACTGGTATCCCCTTTTGTCATCTGAGAACGCCGCGCACACACACACACACACACACATACTCCTCAGCTCGCTCTGGAGGGGACACCGCCTGTTCCTCTCTGCTCACCTCCCGGCTGCTGGCTGACTCTGTGAGCCGTGTCTGTGGTGGCTACGCCATGTGTGGGGATCTGGGGGTTTAAAACAGCAGGCCTCCCAAACTCCCCGAATGGCAAATATAAGTGCTTCCACTTTATTACACAGAGAGCGTTTTATGAATCATCTCTCCCTAAGTTTGATCTGAGATGACAAGCTTTTACTAATCAGCCCCGAGATCGAAAATATACGCAGAAAAGTAAAAAAAACAAATCAGTCAAGTTAACAGGTGACTGCATTTGTATTTATATTTAGCAAATCCACAGCCATTAAGACGAGATACTTTATTAAAGTAAAGCTTTAATAAAAAGATGCTTTTGTTTAAATCTCTGGGGCGCAGCTCTGCTGGGGGGCGCCAGATCACTTCAAGGGACACAAAACTAAAGCAAAAGAAAAGTGGACGTTCAAATATTTGAAGCCGACTGACATGAGAAGTAGTAAATGAATTTGTTACATGAACAGAGAGGAGGAGAATAACTACAACAAAATAAATAAATAAATACATTTCAGACTGGTGTTGGACAAAGAAACATGTCTCAAAAACTAAATATAATGATTGAATGACAGTGATTGAATTGCTCACAAATTGACCTACCCATCATGCAACCTGGGCCTGTTTAGTTGAACACGACACTGATATACTTGCAGAAATTGAAGAGAGGTGATTTTTTTTTACAGCCATCTGCTGCAACCTAGTGGATGCATATTTAATTGTTCGCGCCTGTCACGGTCAAAGATGAACAAAGACAAATTATTTGCATTATTTTCAGACCAATTAATGGATAGTGGATACTTTTCCGTAGTAAACCTGGGGATCTCAGCCCCTCTGCGTCCTGTGCTACTCGGCCAATAAGAATGATTTGGATCCGATTCTGATTCTTTAAGTTGCACGACTGCCACCTACTGTACTAGCTGTATTCTTCACTAGTATCTGACCAATAAAAAGGGGTGAATAAAAAAATACTGCTTGTGAATGTACGTAACACTACATACAATAAGTTGAGGGTAAAATGTTCTTTATTTTACAGGTACTTTTACTTTACTGGTTCATTTAACACAGTTTCATTGGTGAGAGAGAATTGACGCAACCACTGGTATGGACAATAAAAGCAACTTGTTACTGAATCTGACACAGTCGCAATGAAAAATGAAATATCCACAGAGTATTCTTCACTGAACATTCAAATATGAAAAGCTGTTGTTTTTTTTTCAGGATATATTAACAGTCATCTGGTGTTTAGAACTGACAGGGAAACAGTCATTAAAGGTAGACAAAAGCAGCAAATAGATTTTAAATTTAGCTTTTATCACATGTTACTATATTCATTTGATCTTTTTGAGGATGTTTTCCTGCAACATTTTCCCAGTTGCTCTTCTCTGACCCTTTTTAATCAGAACACAAATTACAACTTTGACTTTATAGGTTGCTTTACTCACACCACACTTAGTTAACAAAAAAATATTTTACAAACAAGATGATATCACCCTTCTCCATGATATTAATATGATATGTTCTCTGATCTGTAAACAGCTGGTTATCTTGCTTTTCCACGATAAGAAAAAAAGTGCTGAGGATTTACGCTTGGTGAGCACATTTGGGCTGAATCTTTCACACGTCACAAATTGCAGATGGGAAGCAGTGATCTTGAACAGCCGATCACATTTCCGTGACCATCTGACACCTTCCATTTAGGAAAATAATACTTTCTATCTTAGCATACCCCTCTGCAGCAGCCAGCAAAAGGAATTATGCCTGGTAGATTTTGGTATTCATAACTTTAGAGTTTCTATTTTGCTTTTGTTTCTATGCCTGGATTTGATTGAGTGTTGACTCTTAAATTTATATTTCCAGCCAATGAATGACAAATATATTACATGGTGTGGAATTATTCATTTAAGAATCATAATTCCAGGACAGAAACAATAATTCATCATTTAATGTTTTTTGCAAATTCTTTTTTTATTTTATTTAAATAGATATATTTGTTGTATTTGTACAAAAATGTATAAAAATAAAGGTGTACTAATTTTTAAAGAGTAGTCAAGTAGTCAACAGTTTCCTCATGCTTTTATGAATGTACCTCTATTGAAAATGCTGCTTTGTATTGCTGAAAATAAATTGGCAGGTTAATGTTAACATTATGGTAAATTACACCACAGTCTTGTTGTATTTTTCATCATAACATCTGTCCTGAGATTGTTTTCTTTTAATTTATTTATTCAAGACTGTTTGCCAAAGGACAAAAAAAATCTACTGGGACTTGATATCTGCAGCTGAATAATGGCAAACAACAAACAAAATGGGTTGGTGATCTGGACAAATCAGTGATTTTCAAAGTAGGGGGTGGGACCCTCTTGGGGGTTGTAGAGTTATTGCAGGAGGTCGAGCAGGTCAAACATGTGAAACCTTTCTTTTTTTAAAATCTGTGTA